AGGGCGGTGGCGGTGTGTCTTCCCATCATCGTCCGCCCCCCCTTTTCTCACGGCCATACCGCACGTGCCGTGGTCGCAAGCGGCACCGCCGCCGCCGTCACCGCCGCCGCCGTCGGGAGCACCCCGTGATGACGGCGGTGCCGCTGGCGGCTCCCCCGCCGACCGTTCCGTCCCAACCATGCCGCCAGCAGTAGCAGTAGCAGTAGCAGCAGTAGCGGCGGCGGCGACGGCGGCAGTCCCCGCAGCAATGGTGGCGGCGGCAGTGGTTGCCTGTGGCACGGTACGCATGCGCTTGCCACGTCTTCGGTCATCGCAAGCGGCACCGCCGTCGCCACCGCTGCCTGGCGGCGACGGCTGCCTCCGGTCCTCGTCGTCACGGGGACCACTGCCGTCACCGCTGCCGCCGTCGCCGTCGTTGCCGCCACCGCTTCGGTTGAGATCCGTCCTAACCGCGACCGGGGTGCTGTTGTTGCTGCCGTTGCCACCTTCCCCTCTTACTTCAGCGACATGACCAATATGTCCGAAGGCCGCAGCAACTCCGACCGCAGGCGGTGGCATGATGGCTGGTGCGCCAGGCTCCACGGGACGTGGCTCGCCAGCTGGCGCCGCCGCCGCTACTGGCGCTGCCGCCGCTACTGGCGCTGCCGCCGCTACTGGCGCTGCCGCCGCTACTGGCGCTGCCGCCGCTGCTGGCGCTGCCGCCGCTACTGGCGCTGCCGCCGCTACTGGCGCCGCCGCCGCTACTGGCGCCGCCGCCGCTACTGGCGCCGCCGCCGCTACTGGCGCCGCCGCCGCTACTGGCGCCGCCGCCGTTACTGGCGCTGCCGCCGCTACTGGTGGCGGCGGCGGCGGCGGCATCAGCAGCGCCGTCTCACGCTGCGGGACGGATAGCTTCAGTATGGGACGCTTGTGGCGATGCGTTACCCAGAGAGTACGGCATCCCTCCAGCACGCCCCACTCTCCAGCGCCGTACGCCCCCCGCGTCTCAATGCCAAAGCTCAGGTACCATTTATACGTGGCGCGGTCCGGGTCGTACCGTGTAATGGTTCCGTACAGTGGTGTACGACCGCACGGACCCGCCAGCTGTGGGTTAAATCCGTACACCCGTACGTAATACGGAGGGTTACAGCGTTTTAACGGACACAACAGAAACAGCACCGGGTACGGCGTGTGTAGTTGTGGCAGCTGTCAAGGCAACGAGCAGCCGGGCAGATGCGTGTTGCGCAGATGTTGTACGACTTTGATTGTGCGACTTAGAACGCTAAGGGCGTGGGCGGCTTTTGCTCTCCTTTTACTGCCTTGTCGTGGCAGTCGTAGAGTCGTGACTGCCCCGCTGGCGGGTGTGTGCCGGTGGTGGTGTGGTGAGCTGTTGCCTCTGCTGCTGCCACCCACCAGCCTGCTGCTCGGTATAGTTCCTTTCTGTGGTGATCAGCTCTCTTACGACGCATCCCCTCGCATGGTGTCTCTGGATTGCGCTTCTTCATCTAACCCTGCCTGCTAACCCCTCAACACCCCCGTCGTACACTGTCGTCGTACACGCCTATACCCCATAGCCGCAAATACCCTCGTTCCCCCATGCACCTGCAAAACAGCGCCAATGGCCGCATCCCCCGTAGCGATATCGCCACCGCCAGAGCCGCCGCCGTCCCCAGCCCTGGCTTCCGCTGCGGCTACCGGGGCCCCCTCCGGCCCACCCCCCGCAACCGCATCGCCACCGCCGCTAGGACACGTTGCTGCTGCTCCTGAGCCGGCGGCAGCGGCGTTCAGGTCCTGTGCGACGGTAGGCGATGGAGAGCCAGCAGCTCTGGCTCCGGACTTCGCAACGGCAGCGGCGGCGACTGTCACCGCAATCGCCGCCGCCACCGCCGCTGCTGCCGGAGGCGCCGAAGCCGCCGAGCCGGAGCCGGAGGCCAGCGCCGCGTGCCCCTCAGCCGCCGCAGCGGCTGCCGCCGCCAAGGGATCGACGGCTCCCAAGACGCCAGGTGGCAGTGTGGCGGCGGCGATCTGGCCGCTACCAGCGGCGGCGGCAGCGGCGGCGGCGGCGCCACCGCCGCCGCTGCTGCCATCTCCACAGCACGCTACCGCTGCCGCCGTCGACAGCTCCAGCACAGGACGTTTGTATTTGTACGTCACCCAGAGAGTACGGCACCCCTCCAGCACGCCCCACTCTCCAGCGCCGTACACTGCTGCCGTCGCTACGTCAAAGCTCATGTACCACTTGCATTTGGCCCGTTCAGGGTCGTACTGTGTGATAGTGCCGTACAGCGGTTTGCGGCCGCGGGTGCCCGCCATCTGTGGTACGGCAGAATGCGTGGGTTGCCGGGGGAGCGCGGGGAGCGCGGGGAACGCGTTGGCAAAAACTCAAAACCCGCATCCCCCTTTTCGGATTGAGCCGGCTCAGCTGCTGTGACCGTGAATCCAGGCTATCACGGACGCAATCCAAAGACGTTTCCTAGACCTAAGCCCCGTAATGCACACCGGAATCTGCGCTCTTTGTACCCACCATCGCGCGAGCTCCAATAAGCGACTCTCGGGCATCGGCTGCCTCCGGTGGTACCGCCGCCGCCGTATCTTCCAGCCGGGGCCGCTTCGCGTCCTGGTTGCTCTCGCCACCGTGGATTTCGTCCCCCTCGCCGCTGCCGTTGCTACTTGGGTCGTATATCGTTTCGTACTCCCGTTTCGCGCGACGGCACCTATCGCCCGCATCTACCGCCGCCGCGGCCACCACCACCGCCGCCGGCGCTGCCGCCGCCGCCGCCGAAGGATGTGCGTTCGGATCTGCTGTGACGGGCTCCACCACCGCCGCGGTAGCAGGTGGAGGTGGTGGTGGTGCTGCTGTCTGAACCACTGCTTCAGACGCCACCGCCGGCGCCGCCACCGCCGGGTTGTCGCCATTAGCTGCAGCGGCACGTCCACTCGGCGCCGCCATGTCCACCTTTGGAGCTCCTTCTCGCTCCTCTTCTGCTGTCGCCGCTACTCCCCCCTTGCCGTCAGCGTCACCGCCATTGCCACACCCCTCCGCCGGATTATGTAATGATACGATACCACTCTCGCCGTCGGCTGCGCCGCTGTGGCGTCCGCCGGCTCCGCCCTCACCGCCTGCGGCCGTCTGCGGCCCGCCACCCTCCGCACCGGCGCCACCGTCGCTACCGCCTGTACCTACTCCGCCGCCACCACCACCTGCAGCGACCTCGCCACCGGCACCCGGTTCGCACCCGCTGCCGCTCCCCGCTGCGTCGTTCGGCCCCGTCGGGTCTAAGACACAACCACTACCACCACCACCGGCAGCAACATCAAGAGCACAAGCCTCAGCGACGACGGCATGGTCGCGGCGGCATCTGCCGCCGCCGCCACCATTACCACAACCGCCGGTAGCACCAGCAGCACCGGCAGCGCCGCTCTCAGCGGCGGCGGCAGCCGTCAGTCGGCCGTTGCTCCCACGGCCAGCTGCCACCGCCGGCGGCTTCCGCGCCCCCGCCGGCCGTAGGGCGCCATCAGTCCGCCGTACATCATCCGTGCGCCCACCGCCGGGGGGGAGACGAGATGACGGTCCTTCCCCGCCGTCGCTTCGGCTGCCCTTGCCGCCGCCCTTGCCGCCGCCCTTGCCGCTGGAAACAGCAGCGGCGCGCGCCGCTGCCGCTGTCGCTGTCGCTGCCGTTGCCGCTGGCAGCGGCGGCGGCGGCGGCGGTCGTGGTGGTGCCGCCGCCGCCGCCCCCGCCCCTTGCATTGACTCCGCGTTCACCCTGCGCATTCCCCGCCCGAACACCTTCCCCTCGTCTTTGGCCTTGGGGCGATTTGTCTCCAGCGCGAGGTCTGCCAGCGGGGCGCACAGCTCCCTCGGCAGCAGGCGGCTGTAGCGGCACTCGCCGGTGGCAGGAGACTGGTCCGCTGCTGCTGCTGCTGCTGCTGCGGGGAAAAACACAATTTCACAGCCGTGGGGCACGGCGTGGGTGCCGAGGCGGTCGGGCGGATGGGCGGACGGGCTGGTGGTGAGGGAGAACCGATGTGGGCCGATGGAGGGAATGGTTTGTTAGAAAGCATGCGTCTTAACTTCTTCATTCCTCCCTGTCACGATCTCTCAGACGGGGAGAGAGAAAACGGACACTTTCAGTAAAAGGAACATGTGTGTGTGTACACACGTGCAAATCACATGACATGACATGGCATCACTTCACATTTTTAACAAGCGTTGCATTCTACTGCTGCAACGATTAATTATTTATTTATTGTGAAAGACACCGAACTGCCTGCCAATCCTGCCGCGATTCCTAGGGCCCGTGGATTTCCACGTGCCGTACATGCCGTACATGCCGTACCTGCGCCCGCCGTTGCCGCCGCCGCCCCCCGGCGCCGCTTCTCATCCTCGGCTTCCAAGAACTTGAGCTCCTCGGGGCTCCGGGCAACCAGGCGGTTGAGCTCCGAATCGCTCAACATGCCCGGAACGTCCTGATGGCCGCTGGCGGCGGCGGCGCCGTCAGCTGAAACGGCAGCGGCGCCGGCGGCGGAGCCTGTGGTGGCTAGCAGGTTGAGCAGGTATTCGCGGCGCTCCTCGGCGCTGGTCTGGCCGTCGAAGAAGCCGCCTGATGGTGGGTGCAACGGTAAAGGGCGGGACGGCTAACGAGGCTTCCAGACAGACAGACAGACAGACAGACAGACAGACACAGACAGACAGACACAGACAGACAGACAGACAGACAGACAGACAGACACAGACAGACACAGACAGACAGACAGACAGACAGACAGACAGACAGACAGACAGACAGACAGACAGACAGACAGACAGACAGACAGACAGACAGACAGACAGACAGGCAGACAGACAGGCAGGCAGGCAGGCAGGCAGACAGACAGACAGACAGACACAGAACTCATAATCATCACCCAACCTATTATACAACCTTTACACACATCCACCAGCCTACATGTACCCCCCTCCCCAGCATCTCCTCCAAAGGCGCTACACGGGCACCTGTGATGGAGCTGTCCGCGAATTTGCGTTTCTCTTCCGCTACCGCGGCGATGTGCTGCTCGATGGTACCCGCAGTCAGCAACCGGAACACCCGCACCTCGCGAGTTTGACCGATGCGGTGCGCGCGGGCCTGGGCCTGGAGAAAAAAAATTCAAATTTGAAAATTTGGCGGGAAAACCGAGGCGAGAAAATTGGCGAGAAAATTCAAAGGCAAGACCGTACTCTTAATTAAATAATCCCAAACTGATTTAATTAATTTAATGTACGGACACATGGCCATGCACAGCGTGCGGCAAACAACTGATGAATTTCCTCAAATTTGATAACAACATAGATGACCAGTCGTCATTCTCCGCCCTAATTGATGGTCGCACACCCGCCTGGGAGCCCACCCAACTTTCTCTCCACCGCCCCGCCGGCCGGCCGACCCCCAACCAAAATCTCTACCTGTAAATCCAGCTGGGGGTTCCAGTCGGTGTCGTACAAAATAACCGTATCCGCGGCCTGACACGCGGCGATGGCCAGGGGGTGGGGGGTGGGGGGAAAGACGAACCACACGCGATTTAAGCTGCTGCCAGAGCAAGATAGTAGCAACCGAAAGAACTGACCGAAAGGCGTCCGTGGCGACTGTGACGACTGTAACCTCGGGATGACGACTGTAACCTCGGGATGAAGAATTGACGTAGAAGTTGGAAGTCCTACCTACCTAAGCCGCCAGAAATATTATAGCCAAACCGTAAACTAGTAGGAGTAGAAAAAGTAGTGAAGGCGGCGAGAAAATTTTTTTGACGTAGAAGTGATGTAAAGTTGCTGGCCAGGAGAGAGAGCTGCATTGCTGATACTGAAAGGCTGCCGGTATGCAAGTGTTCCTCCCAACCCCCCAAAAAAACTAGAACTCGCGACTGACCCGACCGACCCAAACTAAACTATTCCGGCTAGCCTACCGTGTGGGGGGTGGGGGGTGGGGGGGAAAAGGGTACTCAAGAGAGTACCAAAAGGTTACTGACTGGAGGTACAAGGGGAATCGATGGGAACCGGATCGGACATACACACGGCTCGGAAAACTTTAAAAAAACCCACTAGTATCATCTCAGTAGTAAAACATACTCCTAAGCACGGACTCGGATGCCAAACCCAATCCCAGCTCCCCCCCACTCTTTCTCCCCTCCCAACCTTGCAGTATCTGTATCTAATCCTGGACTATCCGTCTATCTCTGGTATCCAAAGATACCAGGTATCTATCTCTGGGGGTATCTGCTTCAATCGTCAGTGGTTCGTCTTACCCCTCCCCCTCTCGTACCTTTCCCTGTAGGACCCGATTTAACCCCACCCACACACCCAGCCACCCCACACACCCAGCCCCCGAGACTCGCACCTGCAGGTTTAGACCCACACCCCCCGCCTTGAGGCTGAGCAGGAAGATGAACGTATCGGAGTCTGTACGTGCGGTTGTGAAGAATGGAGGGAAGCACGTGAACACGAGGCAAATGGCTGCCAACACAGACGTACGGCAAGTACGGCAGAGAGACACAGGCACAGGCGGCCTCCTTGCATCATCAGGAGTTCAGGGAAAACCCAATACATCGTGATGACAGGTTTTTATTGTTTATTAAAAAAAATGACACTCTCCAGGCTTGCTCTCATCTCTCTTTCGCAGCGGCGAAACCTAGAGCGGGAAACCTCTCCCCCATATACCGCGGAGTAGTCTTCCAACTCTGACGGGTAGACATTAATTAAAAATCTGCATGCACATACATACATACACATACATGCATACATACACGCTCCTTGTTGAGGCGCCGTTGATCCGCTATATTTGGTTGGATGTTGGCGGTGAGTTGCTGAACCCAACGAATACACTCTGAAGTCGGATGGGGTGAATGGATTAGGGTGCCCCTCTCGCAGGGGAGAGCAGGGAACTGCCTCGGGAAAGGGGGCCGCTGGTGAAGTAACAACATACATACATACATACACGCGCCTCCTCCCCCTCACCAGGCCGGTTGAAGTCCGCGATCAACGCCCCGCGCTCCGCCGCCGCCGTACTGCCGTCCAGTCGGGCCCACTCAAACCCCCGCCACTCCAGGTACTCCTCCACCAGGTCCAGGGCCCGAGTCATGGTGGCGAACAACAGCACCTTGTGGCGGAAACCACCACAACCACCGCAACCGCCAGTCGTGTGGTGGTTATGTAGTCGTACAAGCAGGCGGTCCAGGAGTTCCATTTTTCCACACAGGGTGACGAGGGGGGGTAGGCCGCAGTGGCGCTGGGCTGTGTGGGGGAGGAAGGACTCCCCGAGCTCCGGATGCAGCTTGCTGTGTGTATGTATGTATGTACGTATGTATGTACATATGTACGCAGATGTGGAGATGTGGGCGTGAGTGTGCGCACAAAAGGGAGGGGGAGGGGCCAGGGCCTCTGGGAACGGGGCTATCCGGAGAGTACGGCACCTTGCGGCCCGGTGTACCGGGGGAAGTGATAGGAGCTTTGGGGTCTCGCATAGGACTTTAGCACGGATCGTTAAATGGATTCAAAATGCGTCATTTATTTATATATTATTTATTTATGTATATTTAATTTTTTAAACGCAAGATTTCAAAGTAAAACTTAATTGAGCATGTTCAAACTTTTATTCGGTATTGAAACTCCGGAATCCAGATCCTGACCTGATGAAGGGGTGGTTGCAAATGTTGCGCATCTCCATAACGGTATTGTTAACCGCCTTGTTGACTGCCGTACTACTGCTACTGCCGCCGCCGCCGCTGCTGCTGCTGTTACTGCCACCCACCGCCGCCGCCCGCTGGAAGCCATTCTTAACGATGTCCATGAGCGACGCCTGGTACGGCCCCAGCGCCGCCGTCAGTACGACTTCACTCTTGGCGGGCAGCTCCGAAGCCACGGACTCTTTCAAACGCCGGAGCATGAATGGTCGCAGAACCTGAATACATACATACATACACACACAACCACGGTTGGACGAAGCCGTACATCAGGGGGCACCGAAGAAAGGCGGGCAACACGTACGGGCCAAACATCCCCGGGGCTGCACGGGAAGCAAATCCGTTTACAAATCCGTACAAATCCGTACCTGGTGCAGTCGACTTGTGACGAGCAGGTACTCCTCCTGGCTCAGCGCCGCCACATCGCCCTCCCGGGAGCCGCACCCCCCCGCGCCGCGAAGTGCGTCCAGGGGTGCGGAGAACCAGGCGGCGAAGTCGTCACCGCTGTCGAACAGCGAGGGCATCAGGAAGTTGAGCAGCGACCAGAGCTCGTCCAAACGGTTCTGGAGCGGAGTACCTTTTGGGGGACGAAGGTCAAGTGACGTCCTCAGGGTTAAGACCCAACCTTACTCCTTGGCAAGGAAGGTAAACATGTATATAATCCAACCCCCCCCGGGAGAGAGTGATGCCATTCACCTTCACCAGAGCTTTGCGGTTTTGGGTCACGTCTGGACACGTTTGACACGTCTTTCCCTGGCCTTTCCCAACCACCCCTTCACCCTCCCTCCCCCTTTTCACTTCCCTCCGCTTCCTCCTCACCTCCTCCTTACCTCCTCCTCACCTCCTCCTCACCTCCTCCTCGCCCCATCCCCCCTAACCCCTCACCCGTCAGCAGCAGCCGGCTGCTGGTCCGGTAGTGCGCCAGCTCGGAGTTCAGTTTGCACCCCGCGTTCTTGAGCCGGTGCCCCTCGTCCACAATGATGTGGCAGTAGCGCAGCCGGGACAGACGCGGGCGGTCGTAGCGCCCCATCAGGAACTCATAGCTCGTCAAGAGCACGTGGAAGGGAGGGGAGGAGCCGCCGCCCTTGCCGGTGCCGTACCCGGTTCCGGAGCGGTGCCTGCCCCCGTGGCCGCATATCTTGGAGGCAGTAGTTGGGAGTAGTGAACCAAAGGGACCCAGAGGGAGGGGGGGAGAGGGGAAAGGGGAGGAAAGACGAACCACGAACGAGTGACGAACGAGTGAAGCTGCTGCTGCCAGGGAACGAGTGTACAAGAAGTAGAACTGACCAAAAGGCGTTCTTGAAGGCGGCGACCTCGGGATAACGTAGTGAAGATGGGGGGGAGGGGGGAAGGGCAGATAGGAAGGAGGACAACGCAACACGACCAAAGCAGCTTGCTCCCTCCATCCCTCCTCCTCTCCCCCCCCCCCACACACACGACCCCCAGCCCCCGGGGCCCCAGCCCACCTGCTCCAGCCAGATCTGTTCCCGTGTCTCCGCCGAGCCGTGGTAGTCCACCACCTTGAGGCGGGGGGCCCACCTGGCCAGCTCCCCCGCCCAATTGGGCAACACGGAGGAGGGCGCCGCGATAAGGAAGGGACCCACCTCGCCCCGCACCTCAACTAGGTAGCACAACAGCGCGATGACCTGTGTGGCCGGGGGGCGGGGGTTGGCGAGGTACGGGCCGGGAGGGGCCAGGTGGGGGGAACTGGAAACGGGGGGGGGCCATGGAGGGCATGCGAGGTCGTACAGACACACATACACGCATATATGCATACACACACACGCGCGCGCGCACGTGTGTATTCGAGAATGAGCCCCCCGGGGTCAGGATAACCCCCCCCCAAGGGAATGCGGGTACAGATTGTCGACGATTATCTAAAGCCAGTCCCTCCCCCTCCCCCCCTCCCCTCCTCCCTCCCTCTTTCCCCCCCACCTGGACCGTCTTCCCCAGGCCCATGTCATCCGCCAGAATACCGTTAAGACGTGCGTCATGCAAGCCCACCAGCCACCGGAGGCCCTGAGGGGCAACGGAGGGGAGTACGGCAAGTCCTGAGGGGTAACGGAGGGGAGTACGGCAGGCCCGATGGGGAGATATAGTCGAGGGGGAGGAGGCGGGGGAAATGGGCGGAAGGTGATGGGGGAGAGGTTCATGTGAATGGGGGGGGACCGCGGACTTGAACAGCCCCTCATCCCCCAATGGGGTGGGATTACCCTGATGCGTACAGTGCTTTTTTTTAATTTTGTATTTTTGTTCAAAATAGGTAATAAATCGGGATTTGGGGCTTGGAAAAAAAGGAACGGATCGAGGCCGACTCCTACATTTTCATTTCTCCACACCCAAAAATGACAGACATCTCTTCTTAAGTTTAGGAAACATAGTTTCTGAAGTTATAGGAAAGAGCAATGAGGGTGCATGGGACGGCTGTGTAAAAAAGTTCACGCCCGTGAGTCAACGCGGCTTTTAGCAGCGTGTACGACTGGTCCAACCACACACACCCAAAGTATGCGCAAGCCAAAGAATCCAACCTCTCGAACCACCGCCAAAGCAGCAAATATATAAACAGGAGGTACTTATAGTGACGGCGTTTTGAAAACAGTGGTGCTGACGTCGACGATGGTGGGTTTGCGAGCGGACTTGCAACCTATCCGGGGGGTTTTCAGGGTGGTGGTGGCTAAGACTAAGAAATAAATCTCATAAAATCATAAAAATCTACTAGTTAATAAATAGTAAGAAGGGATACTTAAGGTCCTAAACAAAAAAAACACTCACTAAGTGCCCGTGTGACGTGCAGTGATGCATCAGTGATCCTCAGACACCTCCAGGCTACTACATCCTGTGCGGGGGGGCCCCACACACACGTTCACCTCGTAACGGCCCCGGGCCGCCTGCCACGCCTGCGATATATACCTCCCGCTATATAATTCTCCTCCCCCCCATCTATCCCCACGAATATCCTCTCCATATTTCATACTGGGTTTTCCGTACTGCCGTACATGCATCTGATAGTGTCGTAACTCCGCTTTGAGGCTGCTGGGCTGCTGGGGGATGTCCGCACACAGACGAGCAGCCAGACGGCCCCAACCCTCGCTGCTTTCCAGGAGGGCATCAGTGCTGGCAGCTGCGGCGGCGGCGGCGCCGCCGCCACCGCCACCTCCGCCGCCGCCGCCGCCGCCCGTCATAAGGTCCTTGTCGAGTCCCAGTCTCGTGGCGAAGGAGCGCAGACACTCGTCCGTTTGGCGGAGCATCTCGGACAGTCGAGAGCTCTTTTCCGCGCGAACCATTGCCAGGTACGACTGTACGACAACGGACAAGACTCATAAGTACGACATACGGCATCATGTGCATTTATAGTACGGCAATGTCTGGCACATACATTGTCATTATCAAATCCTTTCAAATTCACACTTAAATTGTCAGGAAAGAACCCCGCCACGATTGGCAACTGTTTCTTGATCTAAACCGTACAACCTTAGTTTCGTACATTCACTGAGGCACATTACCACTACCGCCGGCTGCCCCCCTCCCTGCCGTACGTGCATGTCACTCGACTTCAGGAGCTCAATCCGCCGCCGTGCCGCCTCCTCCCGCCGCCTCTTCATCTCCACCACGGCTTCCGCATGCCAGTTGGCCACACCCGCCACCGCCGCCGCCGCCGCCGCCGCCGCACCCGCCCGGCCGCGAAGTCCGGCTCCCCAACCGCTCCCGTTGGCCGCCATGGCGCTAGCTGCAGCTGCCGCAGTAGCTGAAGCATTAGTTTCGGAGGTTGCCGTACCGCCACTTGCCTACAATGTTGGATCCCAAACGTATACCACTTGGAGCTCACCGCGGGCAGTGGCGGCGGCGGCGGCAGCTAAAACCCTCCAACTGTAACCGTGTCGTACATTCACATGCCCTAGAGGCCCCGACTGCCAAAAAAGACATGACGGCGGGGAAATATCCTAAGGGAGGCAAAGCGACTGACGGGGCATCCCCCCCCCCGCGCGCGCGCGCTAATAACCCGTATATGGATGCATACACCATTCCATCTAACCTTGCGCCGCGCTGCGGCTGCGGCCGCTGCGGCTGCCTTCCCGGCTACCTTCACCGCCTCCTCCGCGACCGGCCCCCATGTGGACCGAACCTCCCGACCGTCAAGCAGGTCCTGAGCGACCAGTTGGAGGCACTCCCCACGTTGACGGGCACTCAGCTGGGGCCCGCCGCCGCCGCCGCCGCCGCCGCCCCCGGTGGGTAATCTACAGGGAGGGCGAGATGCCGTACATGCCAGAAGGTGAGTTGTGTGGTTTGCCGTGAAGTTTGGAGTTTGGGGAGAGTTGATGTGAGAGGGGAGTTGCTCGGGGTTTCCCTATAACTTGAGGATTCCTGGACGATCGTGACTAATGCTGTACGGCACGATGAAATCCCAATCCGAGCCGAGGGGTTCGCAATTAAGCTCTCACTCAAAAGCTACAATGCCTCATCCGATTTGGATCTGGATCCCTCCTCCGCTTTGGATCCAGATCCCTCATCCGCTTTGGATCCAGAGCTCAAACGGGTTTTAGGGTGAAGGTGAAGATCATCAATTCCTTTGCCGTACGCCCTCACTCTAACAATGTCAATGTGTATTATCCATCCCACAGCGCGCGCACCCGCACCCGCACCTGCAGCTGCACGGGGGCAGCGCGATGCCGGTGCGCACCGCTGCCAGCACCTGGCCGCGCAGCCTGTGCAGCGTGCGAGCAGCCACCAGTGTCTTAGACTTAATCAGCGCATCCAGACGGACCCGTGAGTCGTCGCTGCTTGCACTCATTGCGGAGGCTTTCACCCCTCGCGTTGCGGTATCGTTTGCGGTATCGTTTGCGGTGGCGGTGTCAGCGGGGCCCCTGTCCGGCAAGCTGGAGGACAGCAGCTGGTGGTGCCGCTGCCACGCCCTGGCCGCCCTGCTCAGGGGTTGTAGACCAGGCACCTTGGGCGTCGGGATGGCGGCGGCGGCCCTTGGCGGCAGCGCTGGCGGCCGCGGCTGCTGCTGCTGCTGCTCATGTTTTTGCCTTTCCACTGACAATAGTCGTCCGAATGGCGCCGCTGGAGGTACCGCCACCGCCACCGCCGCCGCCGCTGCCGCCGCCGCCGCTACCGTAGCAAGCTGAGGACAGCTTGTTACGTTCCCGCTCTGGGACCCGTCGGGGACGGCAACGGCAATAACGGCCGCTTCCCCCGGCAGCACCTCCGCCGTTGCGCAGCCCGCAGCGGCTTCAACAGTAGCCGCCGCAGTAGCCACCCCCGCCGCCGCGGCGTTTACTCCCGCAGCATGCGACGGCCCTGGCGGTGGCCGTACGTGGCGGTGGTTCTTTTCGGGGCTTGCGGGAACTCCAGTAGTCGCCGCCGCGAGTCCTCCGCCTCCTGCCGCCCCCGCTGCCATCACTGCTCCTGCCGCTTCCGCACCTCCTTGCGCACCTCCAGAGTCAGCTGCCGCCAGCTCTGTCTTTGTGCCGGCACTTGCATTTGCACCTCCCTGCCGACGCGGGTCCCTAAGACCGCATTCGGCGGCGTCGGCGCCGGCGATAGAGCCCGACGACCCAGATGTGGTTCCTATGGTGCCTCCGCCGGGGGGGGCACCCAGCAAGCCGGCGACGTCTGCCCTGCTTGCGGTCCGGTTCCGTCGTGCATCCATGGCGCAACATACTGCCGTCAGCGCTGCAGAGCGCGCCCTGACCCACATGGCCCCGTCGACGTGTACTTCCGTACATGAAGACCGAGGCGGCGCCGCCGCCGACCCAAAAGACGCCGCCGCAGGTGTCGCCAGCGCCGCCGCTGGCGGCGCTGATCCGTGTGGTCGCGCTTCCTCCGCGTCTTCACCATGCAGCTGGACGAGTGCCCCAGTCGCCGTCGCCGTCGCCGTCGCCGTCGCCGTCGCGCTGTATAGCTCCATGTTGTCCAGTAAACGCGTCTCCGTCGCCGCCGCCGCTCCCGCTGCCGCCGCTGCCTTCACGCTGCCGCCGTCTTCCGCTGCCATTTGAGTTCCTGTTGCAGAGCCGTCCTCTGCGCCGCCGCTCTGGCAGTCCGCCACGGGGCTCGGCGATGTGGGTCTGGAGCGCTTTTGGCCGGTCCAGGGAGGTTGGGAGTCGCAGGTGGTAGCGGCGGCGGTCGCGTTGGCGGCGGTGGAAACGGGCTGGGCTCCGCCGCCGCCAGAGGTCTTCTTGGCTGACGGAGCCCCGACAACGGCCCGACGGCGGCGGCGAGTGGCGGAGGGTACGCTGGCGGCGGCGGCATTGCAGCGGTCTTCCAATCTGTGAATATTCGTGGAGGGAACGTATGAAGAGGCAAGGATAGAGATCGAGTTCCGGAGGAGGGCGGCGATTTGGGCAGCTTCTCGTGAAGATCCCTTTTCACCGCCCTAAGATCCAAACAAACAAACAAAGTGTAATTTAGCGCAACTGCTCAACGGCTTTTCGCGGAACAGACAGGACGGATGGCCATTGCCGGACGGAGAACTTTACACAAGTGCCTTCTTGAGCAAACGCGCAGTGCCAGCACCAGCACCAGCACCAGCGCTTTCTTTCTTTTGCGGACTTGCTGCGCGATTCAAGACAAAAACAAGACTGCTGCTTGCAAGTCTCTGTTTTCATTACAAGGCACGCCCGTTTGTTCGTTGTAATGGCGAAATGTTTTCTTTCCAGCCCCAAGGAAATAAATCAGGCAACCCAGATCCCCAGCCTGCGAGCTCGATGATTCTTAGTTGAATACTCCCCAATCAATCCAACATGCACCTGGAGAGAATGCCGATCATACGCTGCGAGAGGCCGCCGCACTCACGCACTGCATACGCCCTCGCCTGCGTGAAGAAACGGCGTCATAAGAAGGCACCAGCCCGTGAAACGGAAATGTGCCGGTCTGTCTTCCTGTATTCCTTTTTCATAGAGTCTGCACAGGAAGCGAGAGGCTTACATGCTCGAAAATACGCGCTCGAGACGTGGAATCTCCAAGAGCGGCATGTAGAGATTCCATTTATAGGCTTTGAAAGCTCCGCTGAAGCGGTTTACTCTTGATATAAGCGATTACAACTCACACGGCTCACAGGCACGCCGTAAGTGCCCCTCCCCTGACTGGCTCTGGGCTAAGTTAAATGAACCGTGGGTCACAGCGCCAAGGTGTACAACGCGTAAATACAATTACACCAATAACACATCGCGCGCCAACAGCGGCAAACAATTATCTAGTCCCAGAAAATCATGCCGTGTTAGCGCCATTTTTTCACGACGGTACGACAGGTCACATCGCCTAAGCGACAAATGCGTTTGATTAATACGTAGTATTTTGAAGTCCATGAAGGCCTGGCAGTGCTAATGGTACAAGCCTCACCTGTCAGGATGCTGGATCCACTAGGACAGCAGTGTGGAAGTTCGATTAGCAATTCGTGAACCCCATAGCCCGCACTTTACCAATTTCAGCATAAAGAAGCACGATGGGTACTCTTCCGGAACTTTTGTTATCTTCCAAGCACGAGACGCGCATTTGAGCTAGAGACAGGCACGAGTTAGGCCTTGCCCTGGACCCTGGCCCTTCTTCAGCACTTCTGCACAACCGCAAATCCGCTGCCACTGTAGGCCAAAACACTGCTCTCGAAAATGCTCACGGTAGCCTGGGCCCCCAAAAGGCAGCCATTTCCGGAAAATGTCCTGAAGACAAACAAAGGCACTCATCTGTGCCTAAGCGGCGACTCGCATGTGGCCCAACGAAGGCCATGCAGCTGACTTTGCCTATACCATGATACCCCCAAGAAAAACGGCCTCCAAGACGTAAGAAACAAAAAATAGCAACGCAGGGTTAAAAGGATAAATGCCAAAGCGTCAACGAGTTACATCGCAACGCTGTCGCAGTCCCGCGCAGCCGAACGGCAGACTACGCATTCCGGAACACAAATCAAACGCCTGTAAAAATGCTACATCGCACGGCATGACGGCTTAGACCCGGCGGGACTTGCAAGCTTCTGGGATCTAACAAGACACAGGTCGCCGGAGCGGGTCGGCCAATATGCCCCACCACAACCGTCTCAACCGACCGCATCGCCTATGTATCCAGCTCTCGCGCGCCAGAGCCGCCAACCCATATCGCATGTGACCCAAATCGTGGAATCCATCAGCCGCCGACCTAGATTGTGCCCAATGCGCCGGACGCGGCAGTTCGCAGACACTGGCAGTTCGGTGGGTCACCGACCCATTGTTCACCACCCACATGGTAGATCGTCGAACCCTGCCCTTCATAAACCCGCGGGTTGCCGACCACGATGCCAGTGACCCATGGGTCATTGTGGGTCAGTTCCACTCCTCACCAAGGCTCAAGCCCCGCCCGGTACTTGGCTGCCTTGAGGGTGTTGTGCAGCACTGCGGCAATGGTCATAGGACCCACGCCTCCTGGTACCGGGGTGATGGCGCCAGCGACCTGCGGAGGTAGTTGGTTTAGTTGGTAATTGTCAATAAGTTGGTTGAGCTGTTGGCGGAAGATTTATGGTGGCGAGGAGTGGTGAGGAGCTGGCACTGGCAGAAACCAAGTATGGAGGTGCGCACAGCAGTTGAGTCGCAGTCGCAGTAGCTCACCCAAATCCGATCGTCGAAAGGCGACCCAGCTCTCTCTCCGCCGTGATCTCCCCCCATCATCACCACCATCCTCAACTACCCACCCACTCACTCACCCGTACACCCACCTGCGAGACCTCGTCAAACGCCACATCTCCAACCACCTGGAACAAAACATTGCGGCCGCCGTACAACGAACAACTGCTGGACGTCCAACCCACGCCGTCATCGCTGCTTCTGTCGCCATCGCTGCTACAGCCACGATCAGCGACGCACTCGGCTGCTGCTACTGCGGCAAAGCCCCTATCACTAGCGCTGAACGATGATGAGGCAGCGGCGGCGGCCGCGGTGTTGTGCGGTGACCCATTAGGCCCGAGCGCCGTCATCTTTGCCGCAGCCGCAGCGGCAGAATCCCCTACGGCTGCATCACCTGCTACTGCCGCTGCCGCAGCCACCGACGCCGCCGGTGCGGAGCTCCTGGTTCTAGGTAGTGTGCTGACGACGTTAATACCCACGTCTATGACCACAGCGCCCGGCCTTACCCAGTCGCCTCGGACGAGCTCCGGATGCCTGAGACGGCACATACATACATACATACATACATACATACATACATACATACATACATACATACATACATACAAACACACACCACCACAATCACCATCATAATCGGGAAAACCATTCGCATGTCACCACCATTTTTAACATCATCTCAAACGACCATTACTATCATCAACCGTGTGAAATAATGTAACATATAATATAATGTAAATATAAAATAAATATAAGAAAATATAAAATAGGATAGAATACAACGGATATATAATAAAATAATGTACTGTAATATTACAAGGATTCATATTATTGTTGCCACTCGACCATATTCTAGGAAGGCGGAAAAAGAGGAGCTATAAGAGTAGTTCTGCTCTGGCCCCGCTGTCGCCGCATGTCGATTCGGGTCCAAGGCAATTTCTGTTTTTTTTTCCTGATCCCCCAGCAGCGCTGCTCTTTGCAGCGCTTCAACGCGCGCTCGCCGGAAACAGTTCCGCAACCATTAACCAGGATCGCAATTCCCCAACCCGTCCCTTTTCCCCCAACCCCAACCCGGGAGAAGAAAAACTCAGAGCAGAGCACTCACTCACCCGACAGCCACGACAAGTATATCCGCGCTGCGGGTCAGGTACGGCAGCTGGTACGACTGGAAGCTATCCCCACAAGAAGATAACGCTTCACCGCCAATGCCGCCGCCGCTGGCGGACCCCTTGCCCTCCACGTCCACTGTTTCGGCCTCAATAACAACAGCAGCCGCGGCAGCCGCGGCGGCGGCGGTGTCGACCTGCGTCACACTCCCCCTCCTCCCGCTCTCCATTATGACGTCTGTGGTTGACGGAGGTCGTGAGGGTCCCGGCAGGGGCGGCAGGCACACGGCGGCTGCGGCCCGAGTGCGCTGGACGTGCTCCTGGTCCTCGAACCACCTGGGCAGGGCGGGGGGGGGGGGGGAAACGAAACGAAACGGAAGGGATTAATTCGGCGAATGATGGACAAGGGGAAGGGGAAGAGGAAGAGACCGCGGAGGAAGAGGAGAAGGAGCAGCGAGAAGGACGAAGGACCGTCGGCCTCTGGAAGAGACTGATGAGATGATTTGCCCGTTCAAATTTTGTTGTTCAATGTTGTGCATTTCACAAAACGCGCACACATACATACATACATACATACATACATACATACATACATACATACATACATACATACATACACAACTCACTCACTCACTCTCGGTAGCTCCTGCGGTGGCAGATGGTGACCGCCGCAGCGCCCTTGTCCCGCAGCATGGCGGCAAGGGGGGTGCCCACGATGTTGCTGTCGCCCAGGACCACACACGTCTTGCCCTGGGCGAGCGGGTTGTCCGTTGTGCGGGGCGGACGGGGGGATTTAGAGGTGAGAGGTAATGGGGGCGGGGCTGGGGTTAGGAATGTAAAGCACCGGAGTGGTTGGAGTGGTTGGAGTGGTTAGAATGGGCCGACGGTTGGTAGGTAGGTAGGTAAGACGTCGATGAGGGGCGCCCGGGGGGGTTCTTTTGCTCTCCCCGAACCCCTCACCCTCCGCCAGGTTGGCCGCACTACCCCCCGTCAGTCCCCATCCCCCACCCACCCACCCACCCGCACGCATCTGTTCCCCTCTGGCGGCGCACCTGCACCTCTACCCCGCTCCTCCGCAGCAGCTCCACACAGCCCAGGGGGGTGGCGGGCACCAGCCGCACCCCCCGACCCCGCATTAACATGCGACTGACCGAGGGAACGGGGGACCCAAGGGGGTTGGGTGGGGGTTGCGTCGCGTGTCGTGTGTCGTGTGTGGTTGGGGTTGGGTTGATGGAATCATGTACGGAAGGAGCAGAGGAAACATATGCGCGTGGAGGTTGTGTGTGGGGGAGGTTGTGTGGGGGCGGTTGTGTGGGTGTTGTGGGGGTTTCGCGCAACACGCAAAGTCGCTAATACAATTCACGGCTTGAGACACGGGTGTGGCCGCAGGCAGCGAGCCAGCAGAAGGAACCCCCAGTTGGCGCCACGAATCCGTCACACCGCCATTCTAACGGCTACTGATGGTAGTTGTGTACGACTATACGACACACCTACCCCATGTTTAGCGGGTGGAAGCCGTCCACGTCCTTCCTCGGGTCGAGTACCTCCATGACCGCCTCCTCACTGAGGTGGCGGGGCAAGGGCAGCTGGATGAGCACTCCGTCCACACGGCAGTCCGAGCAGGCCAGCGACACGGCCGCCTCCAACTGGGATTGAGTGACCGACTCAGGAAGGTGGTGAACGAAGGTCTGCATGCCCGCCTAGAGGAAAGGAACGGGGGGAAAGGGGGTAGGACGAACCACTGGCAAATGGAGCAAATACCAAAGACCAAAGGGGAAAGAGGGGGGGAAAGGGGGGAAAGGGGCAAAGAAAAGGAAGGGGTCCGCTACCGCTCCTAAAGCTCTTTAGTCGCCTCATCCGCCTTCTCGACGACGCCCTTTACGACACCCTACATTACCTACATCCCCCCTGTCCCTTGAATCCCGGCTTCTCTGCCCCCTTGCCTGCAGCTTTTCGCAACCCTCCTCTCTCCTCAACTAACCTTCCCCCCCTCACACACACACTCACACAGACCGTCTCTCCCCGCCTTCTCCTTCCCCTACACCATTTCATTCTCCCTTTTTTAGCATTTGACCGTTTGCTCCTTGCTGCCATTTGGTTCCCATTCCTAAGGGAGTTTGGGAGGCAGCTGGTCGCACCTTTTGGCAGGCCTCCTGCTTCTTGGTGACGTAGAGCATGGAGTCCGGCCGGCTGCCAACCAGCACCACACCCAGACCCGGAGGTCGACCAAGCAGCTCCGTCAGGTGCTGGACATCTGGCAAAAGCTCCTTCTCCCAGGCTGCTGCCACCGTGCGGCCGTCCAGAACCGTTGCGCGACCGCTGACGCTGCTGCTAAGGCTTCGGGCACGGATGCCGATGCCTCTTTTCGCCGGGACAGTTTCGGCTGCGAAAGATGCGTTTCCAGTGACTGAAGCTGCTAAGAAATTGGGTACGTGTCCAGCACAATCTGTTGAGCCTGTTGCTAACTGAGGCTGGCACCGGCGCAGCAGCCGACAGGCAGAAGAGGCGTGCCGCATGAGCCACGCCAGGAAAAAGTTATCTTAAAAACATTTTTACAGTATATTTCTATTAGTGGGGGTGTCGTAAAGTCACGGAAAATGGTATTCCGCGAGAGACTTCGCGCTGAAGCAGCTCTGTCAGAGTGTAGACTACCAAGTACAGCGGCAGTTGTCGTTCACCGATCACAACTACTTTTGCTGACCGAATTTGGACAGAAACTGATAAAATTTAACATTTGCGATTTCGCATCGTAACTATGGCATCCTTAGGCGGGGTATGCTCTCAGCTGTGCAAGTCGACAACTCGCTCGCAGGCGCGGGCGCTGCTCGGTGCCAAGCAATTAAATACATTTGGTTATACATTGAAGACCTTTAGATTCATAGCGACATCTCCCTGTGCGGCGCACGTGAGCGAGCCTGAGCGGCAGCAGCAGCAAGCAACCAGCGAGGCCGACGACAGGACGAAGAGCTCAGCAGGGACGTCCACTTCGCAGCTACCAGCTGAGAACAATGTGGTTATTACTCTTCCAACAATGTTGACGCTCGGGCGTGTTGCGGCGATACCTGTCTTGATTGCTGGTAAGCTCTGTCATCTGTCCCATCCCAACCTTCACCCTACCCCCACAACTCTCTACAATCATTTTCCTCCCCGCAATTTCCGAAAACTGAAATTGTGCAGCATGGTACTGGAACTCGCCGTACTCTGCGGCCGCGAGCACCACTGTCTTCGCGCTGGCCTCCCTAACAGACTGGCTGGACGGCTACCTGGCACGCAAGATGGTACGGCTTCCCTTGCAGCCTCTTTCTGCCCGTACCCTACCCTTCCTGTCACGCGCAAAGCCACTCTACGCACTCGACTTCCTTTCCTAGCTCAATTTCTTTATGATTGCACGTGCACACGCACAGTAATTACCTATATGCAGTTCTCACCTACCCCAACCCCCACTCACCCTCCAGACCCTAACCCTTCCCGCGCGGGTACTCTTTCATAACGCAGAAAGCTTTCTCCCCTTTTGGCGCATTCCTGGACCCCGTGGCTGATAAACTGATGGTCGCAGCCGTGTTGGTGCTGCTGTGCACCCGGCCTATCGCGGTGGGATCTCTGGCTGGGAACGACTGGCTGCTGCCCGTCTGCACGTTGGGTAGGTAGCGGGGGGCCCCCCCGAGTGCTGCTAGTAGTGGTCCTTAGGGGGAGGGTTTCGGTAGCCTTTAGGGCTGCTGATGGTGGGTGCAAAGACGCGAAAGGGCGGCAGGCTGGCGGGCAGCACTCTCCCTGGTGGGGAGGGAGAGGGAGCGGCTTGCGGGGTCAGGGTGTGGGGAGGGCGGGCTGCTTTTGGAGCCGCTTGTTGGTTAAGAGGGGCTGCGGGCGGAGGGGAAATGGAGCAAGGATGCCCTGGGCTGTGGGCTCTGAGCCTAATAACTTATTACGTGCTGCAGTGTAAGGTTGAACGAGTTATGGCGGGTTGCACTGGGAGCGGCTGCCAAGGTGTTTGTGCCGGCAAGGGCCCTGCTATGGTATGAGAAAAGGGGGTCCAAGGGGCTCGGTTATCTGGTACCATACCATACCGTACGTTGAAAAAACCAATAGTACGGCGGAATTGGCGTAGCATCCGGAGTTACTTACAGGCGGCATACTCCTGGCGGTCGCATCCTGGGGCCCCCTGATTACCCGTTGGGTACTGTCAACCCTTATTGCCCACGTCCTGATGCCATTTTGACGGCGGGTGCTGCCTTGTTTTGCCGCTATTTTCTGCTGCTTTGTTTGATTCTGTCGAGACTGCTGTTGCATTTGCTGCTGATTCTACAATGTTTATTTCTACCACAACTACAACTATTATTGCTGTGTGTCGCCACTGCTGCTGCCACCATCTCTCTGCTGCTGCTGCTGCTGCTGCTGCTGCTGGGGCTATCCCTGCTATTGCTATTGCCTCAGCAATCATCGGCCGTGAGATCACCATGTCGGCCCTGCGGGAGTGGGCGGCTACTGCGGGACCGGAGGCCAGGCAGGCGGTGGCGGTCAACTCCTGGGGCAAGTGGAAGACGGCCAGCCAGGTGCGGGTGGCAGCGGGCGAGGGTGCCTTGTGGGGCCCTTGGCATGGGGGTTGCAGCGGGGTCCTCCATGGATGGGAGGGAGCACAGGTCGGGCAGGCGGGGACGGGGGACAGCCATACAAGCAGGGGGCGAGGGCTGAGAGACAGACAGACAGGTAGATTGACAGGCGGACAGGAAAGCGGATGAATGCGGGTCCACGCGGTAGTCATCCAGGATTAAGGCGGGTTATGATAAGTACCCATCGGGCAGGTGCTGGGTGCTCGGCCCCTGCTTACGAACCCCATCCTGCCTTCTGGGGCCCCCTCCACACCCCTCACCTTCCCCCCACCCCCATTTTCGCGTAGATGGCCTCTCTCACGTTGCTGCTGCTTTGTAAGGACGGCGGCTCGGGCTCCTGGCTGGAGGCAGCTGCCACTGCCGGTGTGGGGCTGCTGCTGGTGGCTTCCTGGCTCACAGTGCAGTCCCTGGCCATTTACATGCGGGGGCTGTGGAGGTTCATGGCGGGTGGAGCCAGTAGCAGTACCAGCAGTAGCTCCTCGAAGGTCTAGAGTGGTGGTAGGCGGTGGAGGAAACGCCGCCTGGACCGCCAGAATGCGGCCCAGCCGTGTTTGGAGTAGATACGATAGTGTGGAGGACGCGGAGAGTTCCTAAACAGGATCCAGCCGTTGAGCGCGCCGGCGGGGTGGAGGTGTAGATTACTGGAGATTGTCTGGATTTGGCCTACTGCCAACATTGACCTAACCTTCCTTTGCCGTATAAGCTAATAACCCATCAGAGAGACTTGTAGTCGAAATTGCCACCTCACATCCGTTCAGGCCAATCTGCCGCTGCTCCTGAACCTCCGCGGCGGTGACTCTCATTGAGTGGTGCTAGGGAAACCCTAGGCCGCCTGCCCCATCCAGCGCCGCGTCATACACAGTATTTAGTATTTTCTTCCTCGCAGTTTATTGGCGGGATGTTGGGGCTTACGCCACTAGTAAAATCGCCAAAGGGTGCATATGTTACCCTTGGCCACCTTTCCCGGCTGTAGCTGTGGACTCCCCTAAAGGACTTCAAAGAAAGAAGAAAAGCTGCACACCTGCAAGCGAAATAGCGCAGCCCTATAAAGCCCTATAACCTGCCAAAAACCTGCCAAACTGCAAAAGATAATGACGCCAAAAGCTGCCCAAACTCCTACAAAAACAAATTACTAATCCTACACACGTACGCACAAAGATACAGCAGCACACTCTTCGATATTCTTCTCTATAAGTTGTCACCGCACTCCTCTTTCCTGTCCCTTTTTTCCTTTTGCGACAGGCCCAACGATCCACATCTGCACCACCGTCCGCACACCCGCTGCCACCCCGGGCTCACCACACCGCCTCTCCAGTCACCTCTCCGCTTTTCCGTACTCACTTCTTTTCTGCTCACTTGTAGCCGCACAAGAACTACTTAACTCCCGCCCGATGCAGCTGTACTCATCAAAATTCAAACACCCCCTTCTCTCCCTTCGGCAATGCCCTACCTCCCTCACAGCAGCCCCCCATCGCTCTCATCCACAGTTATATCATAGCCCCACGCCCTCCCTTTCCGTAACCATCCCCGTCACTCTCTCCCCCTTCAGAGCTCGCTCAGTTTCTTGCCCGCCATCTCCGTCAGCACGCGGGGCAGTGTGGCCTGCAGGGCCGCAGCAGCTGCGTGCAGGTTCTCCAGAAACTCCTCCGATGTGGGTCGGTCTCCGTCCACAATGTCCGTCACTGCCTTGACGCACATGAGCGGAACCTGCTGGTGGGGAAAGCGAGGTGATGGAAATGGCGGTTGGAAGTTATGTAGTTGGGCAGGTCTTGTTGGGTGAGGTTGTGGTCATGGTGGTCTAGGTAGTTGGGCAATAGCAACTCGGTTGTGGTTGTTGTTTGACGGTGATGGTGTGATACAGTTCGCAGTTTTGGCTTTAGCGTAATGGATGTTTTTACCTCCTCTTCATCCTTGAGCAAAATGAGAGCCACCGACCGCAATCATGTGTGTACGCATTGCCTGCCATTCCACGCGCAGCACAGCACCACGCAGCCCCCTATTATATTCCCGCCGGACACCTACGTGGTACAGGTTGCAGGCCCAAGCAATTGCCGCCGCCTCCATCTCCTTCACCGCAACTTGGTGCTGGCCCATGATTTCCATGCACTTGTCGGTGTAGTCCAGGGAGTTGCCCGAAGACACAACGCCCTGTTTCAAGCCTAAATGGGACTGAGGCCAAGGGATAGGGGAGAGGTTGGGTTGGGGCGGAGTGGAGGATATGGGTTGAGTAAGGGTTAGGGGGAAGTACACAAATTCAACCTGTCCAGGACTGTGTCTATCATACTGTCGTACCCGCAGCTTTGGTGTAGCTAAGCAGAGGCTGTAGCCGATGCCGTACTTGTCAAAGCTTGGCAGCGGAATTCGCCGGTCGTGGTTTATAACGGCAGTTCCCAGGAAGACGTCTCCGATGGCGGCACCCTGGAGTGGAATGGAGATGTAGAAAAAGTGGCAAAAACCGCCCCGAACGGGTTTCGAACAAGAGGGATGGAGTGGAGCTGCGCACGATAGGGTGTGATGGTGGGCACAAAGGACTCCATGGGTCTTATAAACGCTACGGGATGTAGGGCACAGATGATAGGACGCGAGAGGCCTTAGGCTTGCCCCGATATGCATATCATGCAGTACGGCGTTGCTCCTATGCGCCGTATCTGGTCGATTGGTGTTAGTATCGTACCTGGGCCTTGAACCCGCCCGCAGTCCCAGCGGAGATGACAACGTCGGGTTTGAATGCCATCACCGCGAGGTAAGTCGAGAGGGATGCGGGAACGGTGCCAACGTTGTCGACACCCGTGTCCTTGTCTTTGCCGTTCCATACAACGTGCACCTGCAGGTCGCCGTGCTGACCAGAGAACGTCACGCATGGTGCGGGGCCCACGATCCTGTGAGAATGCAAAACTTGAAGGTAGAGTTCTGACAGTGTGAAGGATGCATTGTGTCGTGACCTTGTTCACGCCCAGTCAGCTTACTTTGGCGGCGCATCTTCCGTCAACCCCAGCGCCTGGATCAAAGGCTGCGCTTCCGCGTCCATGGCTGCATGTATACAAGAGCAGTAACGCGTTAACCATCTCGAGCCTTGTTCCAAACACAGAATGGCTAGCGTACCAAAAACAAGGAGAACGCTTTGAACCATCTTTTCTTCACCCATCTTGGCTCTTTTGTTCGAGGAACTTGTATGCGAGATATGTTGACTCGGGCTGGTTACAAGCGCCCGCCCGAAGCCCAAGCGAATTGGTATCGGAGCCATGAGGCCAGTAATTGTTTTCCTTGCCTTATTGTTTTTATGGGACATTGAAGGTAATGCACACATATAATTTCAATAATACTGTCACAAATAGTAAGAGATTGCTTTTCCATGTGTTTGGTTTAGCTGTTAAACGTCTTTCAGATATTTTTTCGGCTGGGGAGTGATCTACGCGGGGCGCACGAAAGAGATTACATGTGAAGGTTTCCAAACACCTGCTGCTTGGAACAACGGAAGCCTTTCCATGAAGGACGCTACGAACCGCTACAACCAACTCCACACTTGACTGTCAAATGTCTGTGGAGCGTGTCTCCCGTTCGCCACTTGTGGATTCTGTGCAATTGCTCGTCTTTTATGTTATGTTGTGTTACAAGCTCGCGAGAGCTCGAAAAGCCTTGACGAGCCAGGAGGCTCATGGGCCGCGAGCTCTAGCGTAGTAAAAAGAAGGAAGAAACAAAAATTGAAGAAGAAAAAAGGGGTCATGAACCCCATTTGCGAGCGAGAACAGTAACTAAAGTAAGGCTTACTACTCGGCTACAGCGTGCGTCGCTTCATCCAGATGTTGTGTACGATCTGCATAAGTCTGCGCTGAATATCTATCTCCATGACAGACCTCATATTAGGCACGGGCTCGATATCAACCTAGCGTACACCTATGTTGAGGAGTAGGTCGTTGTAGGCAGAACACTCAAGCAACGCGTGAAACTCATCAGTGACAAGTATGACTTCGCAGGGATGTAGCACGCCGTATGCTTCTGCTTTCCCATCCAATGGGTATGCCGGCACATCTTAGCCCCTGGTCTACGGTTGTCCGACACAAATTCCCAGGATGTAGTAATAAGACGTACTCATCATCAAATCGCTCCGACCTAACATTGATCAGATTCGACAAAATGAAATTAAACTCTCCCGCTTCATCCAGGTCCGGCTGCAGCTCCGGGAAGTGCCCTAAGCACCTGAAACCCCTTAGGATCATGTCAGCCCATGTTGGTGGCAGTATAAAATCAGAACGCACTGCAAGATGTATCTCCTCACGCAAAACATTGTGAAACAGAGTCACCTTCACCTGTGGGGGTGACCTTAGACTTCGGTTGCGAAATACGCACACGTGCTCAGCATCGGTCAACGGTATCGCTTTGGTCTTACACATAGGCCTCGGAACCTTGATGGCCCGAATAAAATAAAATGAGTTTAAGCTGCGACGAAAGGTTAGGCGAGGACAGAACAAATGTTCTCGATACCGAAATGTAGTAACCGTTCCTTATCTTAGGCATTTGAGCAGCAGTGACACTTTGCCGCGGAGTCGGGCGAGAGGAATGGAGCTACGTCCGGAAAGAACGGCGAAGCGGAAGAAGCGCATGTCGGTACGGAATGTCAGAGTCGGAAGACATACAGAGGAACGGTGACGGCTGGGTCTTAGATCTCCAGTACAATAGTATAGTGATACTTGACTGTCTGGCCAATTAACCTCACCGGGTTGCCAAGGCCACCTGCCGCTATCTCCATTCCTGGAGTCCTGATCGATGATGAGGATCGTTCGTACCGTCACAATATGAAATCGTAACGGAAAGCGATCCCTACAGTTTGCGATTGCAATTCGTAACCGCGTCGCTACTGCGATTAAGTTTGTAATAGCTTAATATATTCAAAGGTTAATGTGGCTTACTACACCCTCGGGCTCCTCGAGGAGAAGCCTGTCCAGGTGGAACATAATGGGTTCCGGCTTTGGTCGTGCGCGCTGCTCCTCTGCTGTACTAGGGACACTGAACAAGATCCCGTAGCTTGGGCCATATGACGATGAGCGCCGGTACTTCAGGCAGCCCAACGAGGAATTGTCGAAGTAGCAGCAAAACCTGTAGAATCTGAGGCATCACCTCAGAAAACGGTGCCAAGCAGTTCTTGATCTCAGCTATATTATTTCTGAGATCCTCCATTTTGTCATCCGTTAAATTAAGTATACTGGTGTGCCGCCACTCGGTCCAGCCATTTCCTGTCGTTCGCGTAGCACTTGTACGTCCTATCCTTGTGATTTGGAGAGGATAACTATGTCCTTATTTTGAGTAATTTTTGTTATATCATATACGCAGTCACTGCAGGGCTATACTTGCACCGCTGGGCTATCCTTGCAGGGCGATTCTTGCGAATGTGCTTCGTTGAAACTGGCATGTTTAGCTCTGGTAGAAACTAACCTGTTTCGCCTGCACTTATCTATACTCCAGCCCATGGCGTCAACGTCTGACCTCAGATCGCCCTTGCCACAAGTTGCACAGCAAGTATGCTGGATTTGCCTTGACGACGACCCTCATCCAGCACCATGTAAATGTCCTAGCTATGTGCATCGATTCTGCCTGGCAAGGTGGCAGCTGGAGAGGCTTGGACGGAGGTTAGTCTGGGCCGGCCTCCAGCATCCCTTCCCCCAGCGGTCCACGTCTGCACTATCTCATACAGGGTTAACGCGTGATTTATATAAAAGCTACAGAATTATGTGTTATTACCTGACCTTAATACCGGAATGCCCATGTATGCGGTGTTTTACAGTCTACACTGATGTAGGCAACGCCCGAGTTGCATGCCGCAAGGGTCGTTATATCTAGCTAATGTTATCATACCATGAATGTTTGCATCAAAATTCGGTTCAGCTTGCTCAAGCTGCCTATCTGTCTGTCATCGCTACTGTTACCATCATCCCGCACTCGCGCAAACGCAGAAAGCTTTGCAACATAAACCGCTCAAACACATATTATAAGGCTTAAGAAGATTTCATGTATTGTACGTACTGTTTTTCGTCTATCGCGGAATAGAAGGTAACCTGGACATGCCAGCTAGCCAACATTCCGTTCCCAGCCGACCACACTTTTTTCCATCCAAACGCACCAAATCTAGACCATAAATCCTTCATTTTCACGTAAGAACCTAAGTTCCGTTGCTACCGCAGAGAGGAGCGTGAATGCCGATTTTGCGGCACCATTCTGCCGCCATGGCAAGAAACTCTCCTGCCAAAAAGAGTCGAACCCGCGTCAGAGGCCATAGTAAATGTCCACGCACCGGACGGATCGAAGCACTGCATCCCCCTGCGGCCAGGCCTGGCGGGTCGGCGGCACTTCATGCGCGCCGTGCGCCAGGCACTGCACCTGCCTCACCATGCCCAGCTGGAAATGGGCTTCGAAGTCGCAGTGCCCGTGCCCGCTGCTACAGGTAAAAGCTTTCTGCTCTAATGATTTTTTTAAATTCTGCTGGTTTTCCTATTAGCCGACCTGCTTGCCTGCCTGATCTCATGCATGTCTCCCGGGACCTATCCGCCAGCTTGACTCCCTACCCGTCTAGCTACTACCTTAATTAGCTTCGCTAGCACCGTGAAATGACGTTTTTGGTGCTAAACACCACGGCTTCAGCTTCTGTTACAGAGTAACCTGCCTTAACCCTTTCAACCGTAACCGTAACCGTCGTTGTAACCGCGTAACGCACGGGCCTATCCCTAACCCTGCCTATCCCCAACCCATCACCCGAACAACCCTCCCCCCCCCACTACCCCTACCGCCCGCCAGGTGGCTCCCGACCCACCCTTATCAGCACAAGTGACTTCCAACTGGCGTCACACATCGCCACCGTCAACGCGGGTGTGCGCCGAGCCAAGGGGGACGCAGCCACTGAGAGCCCAACCGAGAGGGCGCTGCGCCGCGATGGAGGGAGCGAACCGGGGTTGCAACAGCCGCAGGAGCAGGAGCCGGAGGAGGAGGAGCCCACACGCACGCAGCAGTGGCAGCGGCAGCAGCAGCAGCAGGGGGAACAGCAACAGCGGCAGCAGGAGGAGCCAATGAGGCGCAATCTATCAGGAGCTGCTGCGGCAACGGAGCGGGAAGGTCGTCGAGAGTGGAGCCAGGGTCTTGGAGCCAGACCCGAGGGGGGAGGAGAGCAGCAGGCGGTTCAGGGATGCGTGGAGGAGGAGGAGGAGGAGGAAGAGGAGGAAGAGGAGGAAGAGGAGGAAGAGGAGGAAGAGGAGGAAGAGGAGGAAGAGGAGGAAGAGGAGAAGGAGCGTCATGAGCGGCGGCGGCGCACGACAACAAGGCAGTCTCAGCAACACCGCGGGCGAGGGGCGACGGCAGCGGCCCCAGCAGCAGCAGCTCCTGCAGCTGTAGCAGCTCTAGCAGAAGCAACAGCAGCAGTGCCCTTGCATGCAGGAATTTCCAAGCGTTCTCGGCGGTGACGGGGTGGCTGGAAAAGAAAAAGAGGAAAGGGATTAGAAAGGAAAGGCAGCGGAAAAAGTGACGAGCTTTTGCCTCATGATTTTTCGCAATGCTTTTGTCCATGGGATGAGCAGGGCTCGCCATTCCCCCGTTTCACTGTACGCTGGAGAGCGGAAGGCCAATATGACAAGGGCGGTTTTCCGAATGTACGATCTACGTCTGTTGTGCAGAACAGCGCCGTACTGCCGTAATAACCCACCTATACTGTACAGCAATGCCGCGTTGCATTATAGATGAACATGGGGGCTGCTAATTGCGACCGTAACGGTACGGCATAACCGCATTGTGCTGTAGGGTGCTATATATTTGCGGCACTGAAAGGCGGGCGGGGATGCTGAAACCCTTGATAAAGAAAAAGAGTTCGCTGCTGTAAGGGCCAAAAAGGTCTTGACACCATCCACACAAGGGTGCTGCTGCTCCTGCTGCTCCTACTGCTACATGCCCTTACATGTATGTCATTACCGACGACTTCTGCGCACCTCACCACATGCCATCCTCTCCACGACTTTCCAGGCTTCCAGCCCTCCGGGAAGTGCGTGTAACCACTACTGCAGGGGGCAGAGCAAATGTCTATATGTGCAAAAAGAGAATTAAGGAAAGGAAGGAAGAGGAGGCGTGTTAAGGGAGGCGCGTTAGCCAACTGGCGTAGCGGTGATACGAACGGTGCGGGATATAGCTATAGCGGGACCTAATCGCCTGGACGGCTCGATCTATGTCGGTCTGTCGGTCTGTCGGTCCATCCGTGTATTGACTTGCTCTGCCCTGTCTTGTTTGGAGCGCCAGCACTGCCTCCGGGAACTCGCCTCCCCGATTTAACAGGTCCACGAAATGACTGACGCGTCAGAATACGTGCGTTCGCTGTTTGCTTGCCCTTGGTAACGACAAGGACGGAAACTCCTGCAAAGAACCTTTATGTGTGTGTGTGTGTTACATGGTTGGGGGTGCGTGACCCCATACCTGTAAGACTACCCATACGAGCCGAAGGCCCAAGGGCAATACTACAACGCCTAAAAGCCACGGAGAAAAGAAAAAACACCGCACATCAGCCCAGACTAGCGTCCAAAGGGGGTAATTGAGTTTCGGTGAGCCCACATACGTTCCAACATCCTCGCCAGGCGTGCGGGTTCCCATTGCATGGCCTCCAACATACTCTGTTGATGATCGAATCCCTCTTCAGCACGAATATCATTATAGGCTGGGCATTCCAATAACACGTGTTTTTCATCCTCAATTCGGCTATTAGGACCACAACAGTGGCAAAACCGCTGCCCCCTGGGGACATGGTACTTGCCCCTTCGTGCTCTGTTCGCCTCCAAAGCCCAGCAACATAAACGAAACTGCATTAGCTTACGATGTGCTAAACGAGGAATGAAAACCTTAGCATGTGTTGGCCACATGACGGCTGCGGCTCCCGAAAAGGGCAGCCCCATCCAGTGCTTATACTTCGCCATTTGCACTCCCTTTATGGCTTGAGGAACTTGCGACAGGGATGTTCGGCCAGCCCCGTCCAGGGTGGCTTCTTTCATACTTCCCCTGATTTGTTGGATCCGTAGCAGGTTCCCGGCTTTTCTAGGCGTGTGTATTTTGGGGGAGGCAAGGGTTGAGCACACATAAGGCCCCAAGCCCCGGAAGCAGAACCTGACTTAAGATTGCCGGGGAATGTCGTTGGACTGCGGGCCAGTGCTGTGTGGTGAGCTGGCGACAGCTAACGCCGTAGTTAGTGGTTAAGCGAGTTAGACGACGGTTGCGTGGCGGTTAATGGAGTGGCGGTTAACGGCATCGGTGCCGTGGCTTACATCGTCGCGTCGATGCTTTGAGGCCCGGTGTTGACACCGAGCCGTAAAAACCTCTTTAGGTGGTTTGAAGTTTCAGTGTGGTCTTAGTGAAGAACGGTACGGTTGCACAATAGTACGGCAGTACGGTGAAAGATTTTGAAGCAGCAGTTATCTGCTGCCTCTAGTAAAATTCTTGAAATTAATCCTAACCACAAAATTGGATTTTACAAAATTGCTATATAACCAAAAAATAGCCATGTGCAACAAACCGGCAAACTTTTTAGAAGATAACTTTGGGCCGCCGTTTCTGAAGTGAACCTAACGAAAATTATTATGTAAGGGCTTATGTCGTCGATATATTACAAGGTCAATATGGAGACGAGTCTGAGTAGGCTGTCTCCAGCCAAAAGTTTTTGTGGACAGCTGAGCAGCTGAAGGCTGAAGGATAACTAAGAATTCCCATTACCGCCATCCCGGTGTTGTGAAGGTAACAGTGCGGTTGCGTGAGCACGTATTGCAAGCAACCTTAGCATGTCGTTCTGTTACATGGATGAGAGCTAGGACACAAAAACTAATAAGGCAGGAGACTAGAGATTCTGTGCAACCTGCACGGCATGGCACCGCAACCAGTTTGCTCAGGACTGACTGTAACAAACTTAGTTCTACAACAACACTCCCACGCGGGCAGATCTCCAGGAACTGAAACCTTCCAAAACACCTCAACGCGCGCCCATCGCCAGGACGCACTTCTTAAACTGTGGAAGTGGCAACGGCTTCGTCAGACAATCAGCGACCATGTCCGCCGACTTGCAGTAGGCAAACACAATCTCACCCCGCGCCACACAAAGTGATGACGCAAGTCAATGTGCTTCGACGTAAAGCGGGCGAGATCGGATTATTGATGACCTTGGTTGCCGCCTGGTTATCGCACGAGATGTACCGATGACACACGCATCTGTAAATTACGTGCCAAGCGGCGGTACCACAGAGTCTCACTTTATATAATACTTTTTATTACACCTACACTATCTTGCAACTACGTTATGGCATTCTAGTATTAAAATTTCTTTTATTAGGTGCCAGGCCCCCTGGAAAGACTGTCTACTTATATGCCTCCTTTCTCTAGCTCCAGATTTCTTCAGATCAGTTATTATACTGAATTGCATTACAAAGTTATCAATCCACGATGCCAAGGGCGCGATTGAATTTTTTTCAGCCGGCGCGACTGCTAATTCTGCCCTTTGCCTAAATACGACATCGCAAGCCATCAGGTCCAAACTGCGTTTCAATCCTCACCAGCTGCAATTAGGGCACCGAAACGCGGCTTTTATTACGTGCCAATCTCTTAGGCGTAGAGACTGCAATATATACATTCCACACACGTCGCGAGCTGCAGGACGATGCAAGGTCGTGAAAAGAGTGCGAGCATGAGGATTTAAATGCCGCAGGAAACAAGCGCGATATTGGAAAAAAGAGGGCCTCAATCGTCTCTGGGAATTTACGAAGATCGACCATGACGATGCTGAAGCACGGAGGATATACCGCAGGAAGTATAGCAGCAGCGGAAGGAAGCTGTCTTCACTGCTCCGGGAAGAAACAAGTTATTAACAAATAAACATGACGCGCGCTCAGATCGTATTGCATCGTTTTTTTAAGCGAGCAATATGCAACTCCAGCAGCAGAAGACTCTCCGCAAACAATGCCCCTTCATAACGGGCGACATCGCGCTTTCATCGCTCCATAGCCATATGTATTCCCGACATCTTCCACAGCATCGAAACGGCAAAACACCCGCAGCGAAGCTCTCTCCTTTTCTGCTACGGACGCATTGCAAACGATCAACTGTTTTTTGAATTTTTTTTGAAAGTTTTTCCCTGACACGCAACGAAAAACAATAACCGCGAATGAGCAACCTACACATATTTGGTAAAAGAAACAGAATATCGAGGACCACGCGAGGACACTTGAACACCAGAGCTCTGTTGAACACGCGGCGTCGGCGGGCGCTTGGCCATATCCAAAATATCCAAATTCCGTATTCCGGCAAATCAGAGAAAACTGAGTCTCACTCGAAATTTCTCTCACCAACTAGAATCAGCGCATTTCACAATACTGAAAAATATGGACGCTCTTAGGACTTCCAACAATTGCCGCTAAAGCTGTACCCTCTCGTGCCCACGGCCGACCTTTACACAAGCATACAAAGGAAAAGAGAGAATGATCTTGAATCATTTCCAAAGTCCTCCTCCTCCACCTTTGGGGGAAAAAAGCGCTTTGCGAGAGCGACTAGCACGCCTTGGAAAGCCACGTGCTTACGAAGACAAGGAACACCCCCCGATCCACACAACGGAAAAACCCTTCCCCTCCTCCCCCTTTCCCCCCTCGCCTCTCCCGGCACGCCTCTCCCGGCACACCACCATCCGCGGTGCATCGTTACTAGATCTCACCATACACACATCACATGACAACACACCAACACCGCTCCCAACACCAAGCTAACAATCACAACACCGTGCTATCACGCTATAGGGCCTACACAAACATCTCCACGCCTGCCGTCCCTCCCATTGCCCTACTCACCACACCCGCTTTTCCCCTCTTCGTCCCCTCAAACACACCACCCTCCCCACGCCCCTTCGTGCCTCTCCACAACCGGCCTGGGCCCCCACCAGCCACACACCACCACATCCACGGCCGCCTGTCAGTCCACCTGTAAGTCCGTCTGTCAGTCCCTCTGTCAGTCCAATCCATCTAGCAGTTTTTGTCAAGTCGTTGCATTCGTTGTCGCGCCGTGGAGGGGGTTGGCCACCAGCTTCAGCCCTCCCTTGATCTTGAGGGTGAGGCTCATGATCATGTTGCGGCGAACGGCCTCGGGCCCCCCCAGGCCGGGGTCCAGCTGGAAGTGGTAGCGGCCCAGCAGCACCACCAACATGGTTCGGACCTCCATCAGACCCAAAGCCTGACCACCACACGGGGGAAAGCGATGGCTCGACTTTTTGCATCCCACAAAACTACATTTAGCTACACACACTTAAACCATACAATCATGTTTTTTATTAAAATTAAAAACATTGTCAGGACGGGACTATCTGTAGGGTCTGCCAGGACGATTTGTAGGCGGGGGATTGTTAGGTGATTTTCCTTGTCGTGGTTGTGGTGGTGGTGGTGGTGGTGGTGGTGGGAAGGACTGGGCATAAAGAAAGAAAGTAGTGATGGGTTGTGCTGAGCGGCGCGATGGCGATGCTTTCGCCAAGGAGCTGGGAGGCACCAAGGGGAAGACAAGGAGGAGGGGGAAGGACGGCAAACGTTACACACAGCCCTCCAGACAGGTGACCCTGTATCACCACACCTCTCTCTCCCCCAGTTGCCGTACATACCTGTCCCAGACAGCTCTTCAGGCCATCGCTGAAGGGGATAAAGCGCTTGCCGCCGGCGCTGCCACTACCGCCGCCGCCAGCGTCCGCCGTACCGCCGCCACTACCGCTCCCGCTGACGCCACCGCCACTGCTCCCCTCCGTCGCGAAGTCCCGCGGCGTTGCGGCGGCGGAGCTGCCGTCGTCCCCGCCGCCAGTGGCGGCGGTGGCGGCAGCAGCGGCGCCACTGGCGGCGCCGCTACCCGGCAGCCAACGCTCCGGCAAGAATTCATCAGGTCGGTCCCAGTTGTGTACGGCATTGTGCAGGGCGTACAACATGGGCCACACGATGACTCCAGGGGGGATGACGTAATCGCCTACTCGAGTTGGCTGAGTCACCTCCCTGTTTTCCATCCCGTACGAACGGTGTGGTCGTACGAGCGAACACACGTAATCCGAGCGGTTATATTATAAAAAACGGAGGAGACTGCGGTCATGGTATTATTGAAAGGCGGTTGGCGTGCTGGCGGTGGTGGCGGTGGCGATGGTGTTGTCGGAAGGCGGTTGGCGGCGGTTGGAAAAGGAACGACATACAACAAACCCGGACCTGCTAGGTCAGCCCCTCGAGGGATACGAGTTCGGTCTTGTGTCCCAGGCGCGGGTGTGCACGGGTTTGCGGAGTAACCACTGGATATAGACAATTTAATATCCTTCATGAACCTAAATCAAATATTATTGATACCTAGGGTTTGCGCCCAAACAAGTTCCTGATGTATCATTTGTGGTGTGTCAAAGTGATATGCTGGAAGCTGTTTTAGACGGTATGAATATTTCAGTTATTCAGCCCGTTCGTTGCAATCTAACCAACCACCTACTGGCAAACTGCCAACCGCCAACCGTTGACCCACATATCTACCTGACGGAGGCGGTGGCCGCCACGGGGAACATCCGCATCGTCTCGTCGATGACGGCGTTGAGGTACGGCAGCTGAGTCAGATCGTCCAGGGTAGGGTCCCGAGCTTGGGAGCCTGCAGGTGTACGGAAAGGTTGTTGGTATAATGCTCCCGTGGTCGGTCATATTCGGCCCTCTCCACCTTCCTTCCTCCTCCACCCCAAGCCCCGTCAACATCCTCCGGCATTTTAATACATTATAAATATAAATGAATACAAAATAAAGATAATTTTAAAAATAGGTTTAAATATACTTATAAATTGACAAAAATTTTAATTATTAATTTAGATTATGATTTAAATATTTCATTTCAGTACATTATTAAATTTTTATTTAATTTCATATCATTTTAATTTATTTCACTTTTTATTTCTCCCAATTAAGAATAACCCCCAACAGCTCTTGAAACATTAAGGAAACCCAGGACCCGGCATCCCGGCAGGGAGGGGCCACTTTCCCCCCTCCACACACTCCTCCCACTCCCTTGCCCTCTTTCATCCCCCCTACCCCAGGCGGTTGGGCCCTAGGCACCAGTCGAGTGGCTCCTCGAGTGGCTCCCACCTTTGCCCCAGTCAAGCGCCTCCTTCCCCTACCCGGTCTCCCCCCACTCCCGGACCACTTCCTACTCGACCCTCCCGCAAAAGCCTCCTCCCAATCTCAATCTCCCCACACAACCACCACCGCTCACCAGCGCCCTCAGCCACCAGCCCTCGAGCCGCCAGCTCCTGCCGGCACCGCAGCTGCGCCCCGGGGTGGGCCGCCAGCGCGAACAGCACCCAGGCAACTGAATGTGAGGACGTGTCAAAACCCGCCATCATCAAAGCGCCGATCTCCGGCACCAACGCATCGCGGCCCAGCGGCGCGCCAGTGACTGGGTGCCGTACACGGCCGAGACAGGCCCACAGATCCGTAACGCCCTCCGGCGGCAGCCGCGTCGACGGCGAGCAGCGGCTGCGAATGATTTCGTACATGTCGCCGTACACTTTGGCTAACCTGAGCTGTGCGGCACGGATACGCGCCTGGGCCTGTACGGCAGGTCAGGTCATGGCGTCGCGGTCGGGGAGCCCCCAGCGGTGTGTGTGTGTGTGTGTGTGTGTGTGTGTGTGTGTGTGTGTGTGTGTGTGTGTGTGTGTGTGTGTGTGCGCGGTGGGCGCCCTCCTCCCAAGGGAGGTGTAGCATCATCAGGAGCGCCGAACAGAGCGCTCAGAACGACGCACTTGCAAGCTCCCTATAGCGACCGAACCGCACATGCACTTGCACGTCAAAGCACATGCATGTCCTCCTGCCCCGTTCTCCCCTCCGCACCGGGCCGGGCCCCCCCCCCCCTCCGCACCGTGGGTCGCACCAGCGCCATAGCCACCTTCCTCAGCGGTACCTTCAGTCGCTCGTTGGCCTCCTCCAACACGAGGTTCATATCGGCAGCGACCTGGCGACCTGTGGCGGGTGGCGGGTGGCGGGTGGCGGGTGGCGGGTGGCGGGTGGCGGGTACTACGAGTTACAAGTTCCGCACACACGTGGGGGTTCTCCGTAAAAGGGGGGGGGGGCCGCATGGACGGTGGCGGGTGGCGGGTGGCGGGTGGCGGGTGGTGTGTTGGCGGGTGGCGGGGCGGGGGGAAGGAGTAAACTGACAAGAGGAAGGGGTAGGGGAGCGAGGAATACGGCGAGTCGCATGCGAGCCTGCACCTGTCAAATGCAAATGTCGCATTTCGAATCCTTGGGGGGGGAGCAGCGTTAAGCTAGCGTTTTTAAAAATGGCGTAATTCGATACGCTGATGACTTAGGGTGATTTGCCGTACATACCCGGGAAGTCCTCCGGCCTGATGCCAAACAAGGCCTCCATGAACACGTGCAACATGCTGAGCTCTAAGTGCTCCTGAATGTCAACCACCACGCCGGCAGCAAAGCTGGCAGCAGAAGCGCCGTCATCCTCATCATTGTTGTTGTTCATCACGGGTGCACCAGTTGTCGTAGTACAGACATCCGTGGCGGTTGTTGCAGCGGTTCGGGAGCTGTTAGCGGTTGTCGCATCGGTGGTTCGGCTGGCGGGTGAGCTGGCGATGCCGCTACCGGTGTCGTACTCGCAGCAGACACAGACACCGTCGCTGCTGCTGCCACCGCCGCCGCCACAGTCACTGTCGCCGTCAGCATCGCTATCGCTATCGCTGACGGGTATGGCATGCGCGGTGACGGCAGACGACGGCTCCCGCCGCAGCAGCGCCGCCGCCACGTCAGCGGCCGCGGCGGCGGCCACGCTGCCGCCGCAGCCGCAGTTCCCGCAGGCACAGGGTCGTTGCGTCGGCGTCGGCGCCGGGGTCGGCGGCGATGACGGGATGCAGTTCTCCTCCCCCTCCCTAGCCCCCCCCTCCCCCTCCTCTCCTTCGGACGCTCGACGAACCGTCAACTTTGGCGACGGCGTAACGGCTGCCGCCATGCCATTCGTACCGCCAGCAGCCTTAACTACGCAGGCGACGGCGTCGGCGGCGTCGGCGGACGGCGGCTTTCCGTTCGCGGCGCCAGCTGGCCACCAACGACTCCAGAGGAAACCGCGTCGCAACGTGGTGATGTTCGTGCTGGTGGTGGTGTTGGGTGTTGTGGTGGTGGGTGCCGGTGTTCTGGAGCTGCTCTGGATAGTTGCCCCCTGCCGCAGGTCCTCAGAACTGTCCTGCCGTACACCTTGCAGGGGGCTACAGATGGCGCTGACGCCGCCGCCGCCGCCGCCGCCGCTGCCATCGGCTATGCCGTTCGCGCCCTCACCTGTTTTTCCACTTCGAGGGTTCCCCGGGGTCGAAGTCGGGGAAGGGGAGGATGGGGGGATCCTGGTGCTGCTGGCACGTCCCTCGGCTACTGCATCACGGGGTTGAAGCTGCAGCTGCTGCTGCTGCTGCGGCGGCGGCGGCGGCGGCGGCGACGGCGACGGCGATGACAAGGGCCGCTCCCGCTGGTGGCGCTGGTGGTGGTGGCTCTCTTCTTGCTGGGAGTCTTGATCGGCCTGGCGCTGGTGGTGGTGGCCCTGAGGGCCGTAATGTTGCTGACGGTGGTGATGATGATGATTTGTCAGTTGTATGTACGGGTTGGCGGGGTCCGGTTGTACGGCAGGGTCCAGGGCAGCGGCCACCAAGCGAGAATGGCGTAGCGCGATGGGGAAGGCCTTCCTGCGGCGGTTGGTGGTTAGTGGTTGGTGGTTCGGCGTCCGGCTAACTGAATCCGCAAAGTAAAAACCGTACCACCAGTCGTTCACGTCCCCATATGCTCAACTATCACTCACCACTCACCACAATGCCCCACCACCGATGCAACCCCTTCCACACACCGCTGGTTTCAGGCCGCACTCTCCGTCTCCCCCCCCCCCCCATACACACATCCCTACTACCTGACGTTGGCCGAGCTGAATGCGGCGGCGGCAGCCTTCCGTACAGCCGCCCACTGAGTCTCATCGCTGGTGGTGAAGAAGCTGTGGGCGCCGGCGGCGTTCGTTGCCTGTTGCGTTGTTAGTTGGTAGTTACATAATTAAAGGATGATTATGACTATTATTATGATGATGATGTAACGGCGGGCTGTATGGATGGAAATGGCGATTTGAAATATTGCATTTATTACCTGCTGTCGTACATCCAGTCGTACATCCAGCAGTAGTAGTGTACCTCACAGGAAGCATGGTCACCCTCTAAAGTAATGAATATCCTTTTCCCTCTCCCCCTTACCAAATCAAAAAACTTGTATCCTACGCACTTGCGCGGAATCGAATCCGGGCCCCGTCCAAGGACCTGGCGGCAGTGGGGGCGGAGACGGGGGACATCACTCCCACGCAGCGTCAAAAGCCAATTTCAAAATTTACTTGTTTCTAATCAGTATAGCTAACTGATTGTGATCATTGAAAATGGGCGGGGACTGGGGCACATGGAAAGGGGGGCCCCTGCCGTGTAAAGGGGAGGCCAGGCGTGCGACCCAGTCCACCACACCGCGAAGGGCTTATGGGGGCCGAGGGAAGAGAGAGGAAACGTCTTATTACTTGCAAAGTAGGTGGCAACAACAGCAGCCGCAGCCGAAGCCGCAGCCAGCAGTAATGGCCCACGTCTTCCCACCCCGCCTAACGCTGCCAGTCCGTAAACTGTAAAGGTTTTCTGAGTGAAACGAAAGGATAAGGTCTTCTGTGTGCTTCCGCTGAGAGCGAACTCGGCGGAAGAATGTCGTTGGTGCGTACGGCTGGGCCGTACAGGAGTGCGACAGAAAGAGTATGTATGTATGCATAAAAGCGTATGATGTCTGCAAGTTCTCAGTATCAGGGAGTACCGACAAGTTTCCACCTCGGCTTCCACCGCCCAACCTACAGCGTACAGACGAAGCAGAGTCGCAACCGGTAACCCGCAGACTCGCGCCTCCCCCCCACGGAAGCAAACCCATCTTTCCCCCCTGCATGGTATCTCTTCGTCCGTACGGCGTACGGCCCCTCCCTAAGCGGTACGGCACCTATCATGAAAACTGATTCTGGCCATTGAGGCACTCAGGTCCCGCCTATGGAGGTTTGTCGCCGTCTCCAACCTCAAGGATAACGCACCCCCCACCCGTCTACTTTCGCCTTTCCCAACCCCCCCCCCCCCCACACACACACCCTCGTCCCCCAGTCCAAGGTCCCCGTGTTCTATTCACACCTGCACAGCTATCCGCGGGTCACTGACCACCACCACCCACTGGAAACCCAAACTGAACTTGTACACGCCGCCGTACTGATTGGCCCATTCCAACATCTGCAGGTCGGCGGAAAGCAATAATGGGAGCGCCCACAGGGCTTATGTAGCAGCAGTAGCAACAGTAGCATTAGCAGTCGTAGCAGCAACAGTAGCAGCAGCAACACTAGTAGCAGCAGCAGCAACACTAGTAGCAGCAGCAGTAGCAGCAGTAGCAGCGGCAGCAGTAGCAGCAGCAGTAGCAGCAGCAGCAACAGCAGCAGTAGCAGCAGCAGTAGCAGCAGCAGCAACAGCAGCAGCAGCAGCAACAGCAGCAGCAGCAGCAACAGCAGCAGCAGCAGCAACAGCAGCAGCAGCAGCAACAGCAGCAGCAGTAGCAGCGGCAGCAGTAGCAGCAGCAGCAACAGCAGCAGTACTTCTCCAGTAGCGGTAACCACGTTAACCAGCACCGCCACGGGGCCACCAAACAGCACAGACTTATCACCAATCCTGACCCGCCTTTACACACACACTAAACAGCACATAGCAATAAAAGCCCAACCCAACACCAGGGTCACATTCATTACATAATGGCCAGCCGGGCCAGGCCCGTTGAGGATGGTAAATCATGAACATCTCAGGAGTAATATGTTACGGCCCCGTTGCCGACGATATCTTGAAAACCCCAAATCCCGCAAACAAGACCCCAGGGCCACAGCCACTGTAAAGTGGGTTTCAGACTGTGAGCAATGGATTCGCTTCTCGGGAGTCCTGCACTAGGCTCTTACCGCCGCAGCCACTGCCACTCGCCATCACGCCACCATCTAACCACCCCCGCCATGATGACTCGGCATAGGGCCCCGAAACCCCCCCAAAATCGGCAGTCAGTCTCGTTCCTTTAACCGCCCCTAACGGCCACACCTCACAAACATAAGCCCCACCTGCACGTGGTAGTCGGGCCGCATGACTGCCGTGATGTTGCCCAACCCAAAGCTGCCCCGGGGACCCGGCACCCGCGCCAGGTCGTACTTGGGCGAGAAGAGGGTGGAGGCCAGATGGCCGTAGAAACACAGCTCCTCCCAGCTGCTGGACATGGCTGTAGCTGTAGCTGTAGCTGTAGCTGTCGCTGTAGCTGTAGGTGTAGCTGTAGCTGTCTTTCAGTGTCCCGGGGGTTTAGCTACCGGCTTATTTTCGGGTTATTACGTGCTCTATTCAGGAGCTCGCGCTCTTCTCCCCCTCCTGGTGGGCCTGATGTGGTGGCTGTAGCGCCTGTAGCTGCGTAACTGCAGAGCTAGGGTGAGAGTAGATAAGTGTTGGCAACAGCTGATGCAAGGCTGGGTGTGGTAGCTGTAGCCTAAGGCGCCGTGGCGGGCGGCCTGTTATTGCCGCTTTGACAGTTCCTTTTCCTGTTCCTGCGCCTGTGGCTGCTGGCAGCTGCAGCTGATGCTAAATTTGCTAAGGTTGGTGGTGGTGGTAGTGCTCGTCGCGGGCTGTTATCTGTTAATTTGTTGATGAAGCGGCTCCTCCTGCCTGCAGTCGTGAGACAGAAAGGATTGGGAGGTCGGCGTGCGCGAGTGCGCGAGTGCGTGGGTAGTGCGCGCGAGTGCGTATCGTGCGTTGCCTCCGAGAGAGTCAAGAGGAGAATCAAGAAAGAAAGAAGTAGTTGAGGACATAGCAGATGAATTTATTTTTGCTCTGTAGCCGCTGGGAGCCGTGTGGTGGTGGGCTCCGTTGGGGAAGCCATTCCGCAAAGTCCTCAGGAAGATGCACCACTTACCAAAGGGATATCCAAAGGAAAGACCAGGCAGAAGTAAAAGAAGAATGAGGAGAAGAACAACGCTCTACAGGCTGATCAGGATACGCAAGCCATGGCACAACAATTTGCTTAGCCCTGCTGCCGCGTCCTGGTTTATTGTCCCCGGCGCCCGGCAGACAGCAGCTGGCTGTCGCCTTGCCTTTTTTTGCGCGCGTTGCTGCAGTCCAGAAAGATATAAAAATGCAGTTTGGGTGAAGGGAACAGCTAAGAATGAAAGTGGCTCCGCCTCAACGCGTCAGCTACTTTTAATATTGTTGTTGCTGTTGCTCTGCCGAGCGGGAATGTTTCGTGATAGGCTGAAATTTCCCCTCAGCCCCTCACACTTCGGGGAGCACTGGGCCAAGTAATGGTGATGCAGAATTAGCCTTACGTCGTCGTGGCGATGGATGCACAGGTTTAACAAATCTGACACAGCGGCTTTTAGGCCGCTTGTTAGGCCCGTTGGAAATCATGGCTGACCTGTACGGAGTCCAAAGCTTCTTGACGTCGCAGGACCGAGGTGAGCCGCGCTTTCTGAGGCCGTCTACTCTTTAATTGCCCATGGAGTATTTGCGTTGGCTCAGTGCAAAATTAACTTGTCCCTCGAGCCAAAGGAAAGACTCCTTGCGTGAGGTTTTTGTATGAACCGTGGGTCATCAACGGCTAGCATGTGGGACTCAGACCGCAATTGAGCATGCGCCTGATGCCGGTGGGCACAAAGGTCAGGGTTTCTGTGCGTGTCCGTTACAGGAGGGAGTACGTCTGTTTTTCTCGGTATTACAATCAGCCTGATCATTCCAACGTTCCATCAAGCGTGTGCGCGTGTGCTGCCGGACCAGAGGCTTTTAAAATGTGCTTCGGGTGATCGTTGCAATAGGTGCGATTGATTTACATAATTGTGTATTGGGTACTTGTGTTTTGCATGTGAATGTAAAGTGTTGTTGCACAGAAGCCGGAGGTGAGCAGCTTGCGAACTGCTTGCTATGGGTGCCTGTCCGTTTCAAGCAACGCAACCCAAACAAATTTACCAGCTGCACAAAGCTTTAAAGGTTGGATTTTTCTTTCACGTTGCACTGTGTTGTTGAGTGTTGGGAACTTAAAACTAAGGGCGATTACTAGATCCATTTCTTTCTGTGCATGCGTCGCAGAACAAGGACAGTTGCTTTTTAGGCCACAAGCTATTAATACGACGCTCACGCCGAAGGATAAAGATCCTGCGGAGTTCCTCCAGATCGCGGATTTCGGCAGAGCGTTTTAGAAGTGGAGGTGTGCATGGTGTGTCATGGCATGGAGGTGTGCATGGCATGGGATTTGAAATCGCCCGGTAACCTTTCTCGAAGCTGTCGTCATCTATAAACGATGCGAAAATCTCGAGATCAGACTATCTAATTTTACTGGGCAGACCTTCATTTCATACTTGACCCTTCATCCATAGGTCCAGTTTGATTTTATCCAGAAATGCAACAGGATCAGGATCTTACGCGGGTTATAATGCAGTTCAAATTTTAAGTTCATGCCTTCAATTTCAAACGACCAAGCAACTTTATCAACCACAAACACTAAAAAATGGGGCTATACAAACCCTCTTCAGTCCTCCCCATCCCCGGACAAGGAGACTTAGGGACTTCACGACACACAACGGCTTCGAGTCGCATAGCTTCGGCCTGCAAGCCAGCCAAAAGGTCTCCCAGCGACGTTGCGAACTGCGCGAATTTCGCGAATTTCGGTACCCAGGTATGCGACCCAGCTGCGCCTGCTCTGCTTGAACGGCGACAGCACCCGCGGTAAAAATCAAATCATAAGGCAGCGGAGCCCAGGCCCAAAGACAACGTCCATCGTTTTCCCCAATATCAAAAAATCGACAAATTGACCTGCCGGAATGCAATATGCCGCAAAGCATAATCCCTCCTTTATACTCCTGGCTGGGCACCAAGCGTGAGTCCCTTTTTCGCCCCGTTCCCGTTGGCGCCGGTGACCGCGGGCGTACGGCCTTGGTCAACAGCCGTTCCACCACGCTCGTACACGTCCATGTCGCCAAAGTGTTGCACCTTGCCGTGGTTGTGATGGTACAATGGTCCGCCTAGCTTCTGAAGCTCCGAAACCTCCTCGTCCCGCTGCCGTTGCAGCTGTTGCTGCGGTTGGTCGTGGTGCGAGCGGCCGTGGTTGCCGCCGCCGTAGTCGCCACCGCCGTCACCGTCGCCACCGTCGCCACCGCCGCCGCCGCCACCGGTAAACTTACCCACCAGGCCTGCCAGCGCGCCAGCGACACCAGCTCCGTGCTTGGCGTGACGCTGCCGCTGCTGCTGCTGCTCCCCGCCGTCGGCCGCTGCAGCGGCGCCGTCATTAAAACCTGCGGTCTGAGGCGTGTAGCCGAAAAACCTGCCGTGGGCTTTAGGAACACCGCCGCCGCCGCCGCCGCCGGCGTCAGAAGCATCGATAGGTCCCGCGGGGTACTGCCGGTCAGCACCGGCTGCCGCCGCCGCCGTCGTACTGCCGCCGCTGCCAGGAGGCGTCAGAGCGCCGCTGCTGGTCGCGGCGTCAGAACGACGGAGCTGCTGCGACACGTCAACCTCCGCCTCCGCCGACATGCGACGGTCGCGTCGTAAAGCCTTGTCAAAGACGCCCCAATGATGACGTGGGTGCTGGTGCTGGTGCTGGTGCTCGTGGTTCTCGACGCTCGGGCGGTGGCGGCTCCTGGCGGCGGGGGTGCCGCCGGCGGCTCCACCGCCGTCCGCGGCGTCAAGCACATCCAGATCGACGCTGCGCTCCCGTTCCCGGTCCTTCAGACTTGTGTACGACTCCCGAGCACGCTCCACGTCACCGTCGGTGGTGCTGCCGCTGGTGTGCCCTGCCGCCGCCGGTCGCGGCGCAGGCGGCGGCGGCGGCTCGAAGGGAAGCTGGTCGTGGGCGTTGCTGCGGCGGTGCTGCGGCACAGCGGCGGCGGCGGCGGCGGTACCGCCGCCACCTGCGCGGCCGAGCCTGCCGGCGGTGGCGGTTCCCATAAACTCCAGCGCAGCGGCGAAGGCGTCAGCAGGGGATGCGAAGGACTCCTTGTCGTGACCGTAGCCGCTGCCAGCACCGTAGGTACCTGCTCCTGGAGGCCCGCCGCCGCCTAGTCCTGGGTAGGCTACAGGAATGGGCGGGATGAGGCGAAAGGCCGTTGGCGGCCCCCCCGTCGGCGGCAGCCCGGATGTGGAGACAGCGGGCGCCTCCGCGGAAACCGACGAAGCTGGCGGGTAGTAAGAAGGCGCACTGGATGCAGCTGTGGCAGCGGCGGCGGCGGCGGTGCCGCTGCTGCCGCCGCCGGCGTGCTCTTCCTGGCGGCGGTACGGCTGTACGTGCAGCGGCGGCTGCAGCGCTGCCGCCCTGGTGCCGATGGTGACGTACCACATGCGCGCAATCATCTGTCGTACCCGCCAGGCCCAAAAGTCTGCACAGGCGAGCGCCGCTGCGGCAGCCATCACCATCGGCGCTAGCATGTACGACAGCAATCCGCCTCCGCCGTGGCTGCCAACGTTGACGCCGCTCCCGACACTGACGCCGATCGACGCGGCCTCCGACGGCGTTCGCTCAGGTACGGAGACGGATGAGCCGTACCGCGACAGATCGCCTGCGCCTCCGCCGCCGCCGCCGCTGGATATTATCAGTGCCCGCGCGGCGGAGGGCAACATGATATGTTTCAACGGGCCTGCGGGGCGGTTGGTTCGGTTCAGAAGCGGTTTATTGAGGTTGAGGAGGAGTTTAGGTCGGAAAGCGGTTACTATCTAAACCATTTTCGGTTCCGCTTGGGCTTCTATGGCGGTGGCAATGGCGCCGTATATAGCGCGCCGTCGGCAGCTGCAGGGCGAGGCAGTCAGGATTTCCAATCCTTGAGTGGACCGGAGGGCCTCCTAGTTTGTTATAGAGCAGCGTGCTATATCCTGGAGCAGCTAGCTGCAGACCCCCCCGCCCACGCCCACGCCCACACACCCCCGTCCCCCCACACAGGGCTGTGCTGACGTGTCTCACGCTCGAGAATCTAGCTAGTAATAGGAAGCAACTGCTGCGGAGGTTGCAGTAAGAGAGGAGCAGCAGTAGCAGCAGCAGTGAAGCATGTGTATTAGTGAGCTGGCTCTCCCATAACAAAACCTTGGTGGTAGGGTTTGGGGCGCATGCGGCCTAGGGACGCGGTATCAACGCGAGGACGGAATACAACGAAAAGGACGAACCCCCACGGAACGAGGTAGATTTGTGACGAGGTAGAATAAAAATGATGTTCCGATCCAAACCCAAACCACTTAAATATTAAAGACAAAATGCCGTTGAAATCCATAATAAAAACAACCTGTAGAAGGGCACCGTCTATTTATTACATTGTAGGCATAAAAGAGCCTTATAATCCACATATATATATTTATGGATTTCAGGCAACAAGAAGTCTCGAAGTAGCTTCAACCCAAGACATCCTTCGGACCTCTATGCATATGGGCTCCAAAAAGCTCACACAACCTACCTGGCACGGCGGTGCCGACGCCGGGCCGCCGCCACCCCACTACTGCCGCCGCCTGCCGCCGGTGCGCCAACCGCTCCGCTGGGACCGCCGCCACTGCCGCCACCACGCCCGCCACCACCCTTGCCGTACGATCCGCCATGCGTAAGCTCAGCGTCGCCGCCAGCAGCAGCATCCCGAGCCACGTACTCCACACCCGTTCTGCGACATGGGGTCCGATTAAAGGATGCTCAGGGCCTCAAGAGGCAGTTGAGGGATAGGGTGTCAAGAGCGCACAGAAGTTTCACGGAAATTATAGGTACGACAAGCAAGGGAGGCTGTATGTGTTCCTCGGCACGATGAAATCTAAGGAAGGGCGACGACGACGATGATGATGATGATGATGATGATGATGATGATGATGATGATGATGATGATGATGATGATGATGATGATGATGATGATGATGATGATGATGATGATGATATGATGATGAGATAAACGTTTTATTACAAGATGGAACACAAAATGTGAAATTTTGAAAGCACACAGTTTTTTCGTCATAATAAAACGATGTCTTTTAAACACGCAAATTCCCGTTTTCGAGTAGAGTTCTGCAGTATCCGTGCGCGTCACTACCAGTGCTGAGCATCTGAGCGAAACAGTCTTATTACGGGCCGAACCATCCCTGCACAGGTCCGCACCTAATACGGTGAACCTAAACTGACGATTCCCCCTTTCCCCCACGGGTCACACGGAATCAACGAACCGACCAACCGATTCGTAACATAACGTAAAAATTCTGGCAATGTGCACCAGCAGTAATCAGTACCTTAGCCTACCTGCCGTATCCACCGCCCACTCCACCACCTCCCAGGCCAGGTGAAGCACCCACGAAGCCGCAGTGCCGCCGGCTTGTGCCGCACGGTGTGTGCCATGTACGGCAGCACGCGTGCCGGCATAAGCTCCGTACGCGCCGAAAGCTGGCAGCCCCAGTGCGGCCGCCGCTGCTGTTCCTGTAGGCTCCGGATCAAGCACTTCTAGTAAAGTGAAAGCGCACAATTAAAATATGCGATATGTGAATGGAAACATATTCGCATATTTGCGCGCCCAGCTAATAGCTGCGCAACGCAACGTGAGAAGGAACGTCAGGTGCGACATCGAGGCAACAGTCCCCTTACGAGGGGCGACATTACCAGGGGCAAAACATGCCAGCAGGCATCCACCCCCTGGGGGTGCATCGGGGTGGTCCGCAGTGGTGAACAGGACAACAGCAGCAGCAGTAGCAGCAGCAGGACAACAGCAGCGTAACAGCTGCCCTGCTACTGCCCAGCCAGGCGTCAGCAGTGTTCAAACGCTCACGTACCTGCTACTGCCGCTGTGCCCGCCAACGGTACCGCCCCGAGCAGTAGTGCCGTCTTCGCCCCCCCCTCCACCACCCCCTCCGTCAGCTGCAAGCCGCGGTGCGCCAGAGCGCCTGAGGGCGGGAGGTCACCGGGTGACCGTCACCCCCGTTGGCCCCCCCGACAGGTTGACACCTTGGAGAAGTCCCCCAATGGGGGGTTAGAGACGAACTTACGAACGAGTGAAGCTGATGCCAAGGGGGCCCCCCCTCCCCCCGTGGGAAAGGCGAGAGGAGGAGGCTAAATAAGCGCATCACAACACGTATCGCTTTTCTCGCCAACCTGGACCGACACGCGGTGCTGCTGGGGCACCTGCACACTCGCTTACTCAGTGACTAACTCCACAAACACGCCCATCCCAATCCTAACCCCCTCCCCCCTCCCCTCTTCCTCTCTCCCCCCCTCCCCCCTTTCCCCCCTGCCCCCCCCCCCCCCCAAGCCGGGGCGCTAACCCGCCGTGGCGGCTCCATGACCCACGGAGGCCTGTACGGCCGCCAGCCTCTCTCGAAGCGGGGGTCGGGGGGGCGTAAGGCCCAACAGGCCCTCGTGATAGGCACGGAGCTGAGTTGTACGACAAGTGGAGGGAGGGGGAGAAGGGGGTTGGGAGAAAAAGATAGGGCCGGGTGTGAGGAATGCAGCCTGGGGTACGGAGTACGGCACTGCGGGGCTGACACCCGCAGCAACAAGCAAGACCACTATTTCCCCTGACAAACTGCAGCGAGCAGCGACAGTAGAATCGCAAAAAACTGCAGAACTGCTAAAGGAGGTGTGACGGCTGCTGAGGTACGCTATGTTTACTAACAGTCGAGATAAGAAGTCGAAAGATAATGCGCTGCTTTATCCCACACATAACCCCGCGCGCACGCGAGAATTTCATGCAGTGTGGAGGCGACATATGCGCGTTGAGGAAAGACACGACTGAACGCAGTACGTACGTACGTACGTTATTGCCGTACTCGTCGTCCAGCTCCTCGTCTGTATTGTATTCCTGCTGCTCGTTGCCGAGGCCGAAATCGCCGAAAGCGACGTCGGAGCTGGGCAGCTGGCCTCTGCCGCCGCCGCCGCCGCCGCCGAGCCCCAGAGCAGCGCGATACGTCGCACTGCGTTTCCTCTCCTCATGCATCTCCGGGCTGAAGGGCGCCCACAGCGGACTCGTCTCGTCGACAATCCAACGGCCCAATAACGCTGTTCGACCAAAAATTTCGTACATTGTCCGTATACGACAAAAAGTGGCTTACGGTTAGGAGAGGAACAGAGATAGATGTGAATTTATAGTTTATTATATATTATTTACTTATATATTACTGATTTGAAAACTATATTTATTTCAAGGGAGGGACTTCCATGATAAGTACCCTCCTAAGTGTTTAGATGTGTTAAACGGTTATCTCATGGGCTCCCCCCCCCTCTCCTTCCCCTCCTTCTGCCCCTGTCCCCTGTCCCCTGCCAGCACTATGCACCCCGAAGTCAGCCCGGCCAGTGCCTTCCACCCTTTCCAGCCCCTACACGCACATACACGCATACTCATGTACACACAGACAGACGCACACACATACAGACATATACACACACCACATCGCAACACAGTCGTACCTCCCCAACCCCGCAATCCTCCCTACTCCTATCCCTTTCCTTCCCTTACTCGCAAGCCCTGCAGCCAGTGCCGCCGCCGCCATCCAGGCCCCTAATACCGCCTCAGTCGCCCAGTTCGCCGTCGACGTGGCATCGCGCAAGAGCCGTTGTACAAGTCCAGGCCGCCGCCGCTGCGGCGGCAGACCTGGCTCACCAAACGCCGTCGCCGCCGCCGCCGTCCTCAGCGGCATGCTTTCGAAGCTAGGTGTACGACCAACCGAACCGGCGGCCTGCAGCGCCCACCTTAACGTCCCAACGGCAGCCGTCCATATGCCGTACAGTACGCCAACCATGGCTCCTATGGCGGATCGGTTTGCCATCAGGGTTATCAAAGTTCAGCGTTTATAGCTTTTGAACCAGAAAAGCTAAACCCTAAGACACAAAGGCACCCCACCGCAAAGCGTCACCGGAAAAACATCAGCAAAACTCACGACTGCACTTCCTTCCCCCCGCACCCGCACACCTAGCTCGGGGTGTGCCCTTCACAGCCGTACACTCCCAGCCATCCACCCCTTTCATAAAAAACAAAGCGGGAGAAACAAGACCGTGAGCAATCATTAAAAAGCTTGAGCTATAAGCGCTAAATTCCAATTGACTAAAAAAATTGCAAGAGTTACAAGACTCATGTGAGCAATACTAAAATAGGCAACAATTTTACAAATCCTTCCACCTCCCGCCCGCCCCAAATACCCTAGTGTAATCACTTACCGGCACCTAAGCCGAAAATGGCGAGCATCACGCCCGCTAGCCCCGACACGGCGCGACCCGGTGACCGTACCGCCCGCCCCGGCAGCGCCAGCACGCCGCCTGCCACTTCCTGTGTCGTACCGGAAGTACGGACCTGGCTGCCGGCGGCGCCAACAGCGCCACGTGCCAGAGCTGCCGCAGCGTGCACCGGCGCCGCGGCAGCGGCAGCTGCCGTGTCGACCACGCCCGACAGTACGGCACCCGCGGTTTCAATGGGTGCTGTCATCGCTGCCGTACCCAGGTCAACAATGCCCTTCACAGCAGCGGCGGCGGTCTCCGCCGGCGCTTTGACGGCCGCAGTAACAGCGTCGACGGTGGCATGTACGGCGGTGTCGATGGTGCGGAGTGGCGCCGTGGCGGCGGCGGCTGCGCCGCCGCCGACGGCGCCACCGACGGCCCTAGCCGCCTCCAACGGCACCTCGTACAGCTTGGTGGCGGCGCCGGTGGCGGCTTGCAGCGTGGCCTTGGTGGCCCGCACAGGTAGCGCCGCGGCGGCTAGGTAGCGACGGCAGATGCATCATGAAAAGATTAAAGTGGTGAAAGTGCGAAAAGGGGGAAAGGAGAAAGGCAAAAAAGAGGCTGATACCTTATGAACCATGAACCCTACACACGTACTACACACGTACTGATACTTAGATACCGTACTACCCCGTGATGGCCGTACCTTCCACGACGTCTGCTGCCGTGCGCACCGCCGCCGCCCCCAGCCGTACCGGCGCCTCCGCCACCGCCGCTCCCAGCTCCGCCCCGCCCGCCACCAGCGCTCGCCCCGCCTCCAGGGGGGCTTCCATCACGCGAGCCCCCGCCGCCACCGCCGCCCCGGGACCCCCCACCGCCAGCGCCACCGGCACCTCGGCCGCACCCAGGGCCACATCCGCAGCGCCCTTCACCAGCGAACCAGCGGCGCTCACGGGCGCCGTCAACGCAGCTGGGGACAAAAGGAAGGGGCGGAAGGGGGAGGGGGAAAAAAAGAAGGGGACGAGACAGCCGGTTGGTCTGAGCGCAAGCTAAGGAAATCGGTTGCGCTTGGTGTACTGTGCGGGCTACACTTCATCACCATACCGCACAATCCGCTAAGTGGTGTGGTGTACATGCACGCATTAAATAGAGGAGTGCAAACTGGGCCCCGGACAGGAATGGACTACTGAGGATAAACGTCGGCAAGTTTGGTTGTCCCCTTTGGCAACCCCTTCATCCCCTTTAGGGAATGATCAAAGCCAAAACGTACAACGGCGTTCGTTCGGGCCAAGGCCTGCACTGATATTCGTCAAAACCAGCCGCAGCTGTAGACGCAGCAGCAGCAGCAGCAATATCAACCGCAGCCGCAGCAGCAAGTGCAAGGAGCTAACCCCCTTTCCACCCCCCCTTCGGCGTCTTGACAACCCTCTTTCCTTTTCCCCGGGCCTTCACTGCGTGCGGGTCCTAGGAGGTGACAGATCTAAACTGCCTGAAACTGGCAGCCCCTCACCCTGCCTTTCAAAAACACGTTCCCCACGTTCCACACACGTTGCACACACGTCAGAACAACGCGTCATGTTCGTTTGTGCATCATAGCGGACAGCCACACAGAACAGCATCATAGCGGAGGGCGTTTCCTTGCAGAATGCAGAACCCTAACAGCCACGGAGACCACGTGGAGGAGGACGCCGCCGAGGAAGCCGTCCCGCCAAAAAGCCAATTCACAATCCGAGCCCCGGCCTTACCTCGCCCCAGGTCTATGGCGCCCTCCGCCGCGCCGCCCAGCGTCCGTACGGCACTTGCTGCCGTATCGGCAAAGGTCTCCACTACCGTTTTGGTTACGTCAGCGGCCGCGCCGACTGGCGCCGCCGCGGCGGCGGCGGTGCCGTGCACCAGCGACGCCGCGCCCCGCTCCGCCGCCTCCATCAGCGGCTCCAGACCCCAGGCGGCTGCCGTACTGACGGCGGCGGCGCGGACCGTCTCCGCAACACCTTGAATCACTCCCCCTGTGGGGTGGGGGAGGGAGGAACACTTAATGAGGTTTCAGGAGTGTGTTTGGAGCGACAGAATACGTACGCGTTTTTTTAGGGTGCACGAGGTTTTAGCTGACGAAGCATCTAACAGTGTACATCATTATAGCAAATCTTTTAAAGGCGCGGGGTCCCTTCCCTTCCCTTCGTTCATCTGTCAGGAATAAGAGAGAGCGCGAGAGCAGGCGGGTGCACCGGTATTTCCTTTCCCAGACTGTACGGCAGTACGACATGTCCTTGGCCGGTTCATTCAGTTTGTACGACACAATCAGAGCACTTTTCAGCGGGTGGTCGCCATTGCAACCTGGCGCCGGAGAGAGGAATCCTGCATAGCGCAACCAAGTACTCCCCCTCCTCCTCGACCTCTCGTCCCGTCCCTCACCTCGCCTCCCCCGTCCCTCACCTCACCTGCAACATGGTGGGGTTTCACCGATTGCGGCCGTTGCAGGCCCCCCACGTGCTCCGTAGCACCTGACGGCGCCGTCACATCTCCCTCTTCAACAACACCGCGACCAGCCGCCTGCCGCTGGGCCTGCGCCAGCGCCGTCGTCGTACTATCGACCCGCTCGTCCTTAATGGCACCCTTGTCTTCGGCGGCTCTGTCGACCCCCTCCAGCTGCAGCGGCACACCCAGGCCAGGGCGCTCAGCGGATAGCGCCATGTCCCCGGTGGTCGGCCGGCGGTACGGCGCCGCCGGCCCGGCGGCAGCGGCGGCGTCTTCTGGGTGCTCCGCCGCCGCGGCGTCGGGAATGAGAGGGCCGGCGGGTGCGGCCGCCACCGGTCCGGACTCCCCCTCCCTGGACTCGCGAGACCCTGGCGCCAGCGATAGAGGCGCTCCGGAGGCGACGGCGCTGCGAACGCCGGCCGCTGGGGATAGCGAGTCGATTTGGGCGGGATTACGACCTCACGTTTGGGACGTGTGTCAGTTTAAAGCAACCGTCGGTTGACGATGGGAAAGTGTTTGTTAGTACTAAAGCATGAGTGAACAGAAAGGGGGTAACTGAAATATCGCGACGTGTGAACTGATAAGCGCTCGTTTCAGGTCGAGTGGAAAAGAACAGGTTTTAAAAAGTGAAAAAAGCACTAAGGGCAGCAAAAGGGAAAGCAACAGAATTTTAGTGCCCGCAACCTAAAGAGGTACGCACCTACGGTGCCCGCAGCGACGGCCGCCGTGCCGTACAGCGGCGCCTTGGCAGCACCCGCCACCGCGTCGATGGCGCCAGCCGCCAGCCCGCCCAGCCCCTCGATGCCTCGCGCCACCGCCTCCGTGCCCGCCGCTACAGCGCCGCCGACGGCAGCAGCGGCAAGCTCCGCCGGCGCTTTGACGGCCGCAGTAACAGCGTCGACGGTGGCATGTACGGCGGTGTCCATGGCGCGGATTGGCGCCGTGGCGGCGGCGGCTGCGCCGCCGCCGACGGCGCCACCGACGGCCCTAGCCGCCTCCAACGGCGCCTCGTACAGCTTGGTGGCGGCGCCGGTGGCGGCTTGCAGCGTGGCCTTGGTGGCTTCCAAGGGTGCGACCGCAATACCTGACGTGAACGAGCGGGTGAAACCCTCGACCTCCGTATCGGCAAGAACGTGAGGACTTAAAAAGAAGAGTTACATGACTTAAGCGTTTACACCGGAGTTGGAAAAAAGAGATGAGGATTAAAAGAAGAGAGATTCAGCACTTTTCAGTAACCGAAAGAGCTGCTGTCAACCGGCGAGCGCAACTCGGCTGCTTCAAGCTGTTTGGAAACGAAACAAGCAAAAGGCACTTTATATCAATTTCAACAAATTTTTCCACTTCGCAAATAGTTACTTTTGCAGCTTTTGGGTAAAGCCACGACTGCTAGGGGAAACAAAGACCCTTGAAGTGGGCGTTTTTTCGATCAGCAGATGATGATGAAGAGAGGGGCAGGCAGCGGACGATGAGGATGTCAGCGGCGGCGCGATAGCCATATGCCATGAAGCAAGCTGCTGTGTTCGGGCAGGCGAAGGCCGTCCGTACACTGTACTACATAATCCAGGATTGGCTACCCTCCCATTCGCCCTTGGAACGCTACATAGGCACAACAACACATATCGCGATGCCGTACTACCGTGTTGTGCTATCTCGTGCCGTACCTTCCACGACGTCTGCTGCCGTGCGCACCGCCGCCGCCCCCAGCCGTACCGGCGCCTCCGCCACCGCCGCTCCCAGCTCCGCCCCGCCCGCCACCAGCGCCCGCCCCGCCTCCAGGGGGGCCTCCATCCCGCGAGCCCCCGCCGCCACCGCCGCCCCGGGGCCTCCCACCGCCAGCGCCACCGGCACCTCCGCCGCACCCAGGGCCACATCCGCAGCGCCCTTCACCAGCGAGCCAGCGGCGCTCACGGGGGCCGTCAACGCAGCTGGGGACAGAATGAAGGGGCGGAAGGGGGAGGGGCGACCCAAGGCAAAAGCCATACAGCAAAACTTGGTTTTGTCAAGAAATGGCCCGTCCCGCTTACACACGAACCTAGATTGGAATGCTATATACTGTTTCGGTGCCACGATGATGTGAAAACGAGTAAGAGCTGTCCTCATGATGCCAGGATTCAAGATCCAAAATACGTTTGAAAAATCAGAAAAGATCCAATGCATTTAAAAGAGGCAAGGACAAACCCGAACTACAAGACTACAAGCGACAGGCGCAAGTTGTATTCGGAGGACTGAACTCCGTACCGTTCCGTACTTCGTGTAACTCCGCAACACACACACATACATCTACTACATACAGACAAACCACAAGCCGCAAAGCTGCACACCGGAGCCGCACCTCTCCCGGCGGCCCCAGCTGCGCTCACAGCTCCGCCCGCAGCCTGTGCCGGCGCCTTTGCCGCCGCCGTACCCGCCTCCACCATCCGCTTAGCCAGCCCCGCCAGCCCCTCCACCGGCGCCACCGCCGCCGCCTCCACTCCCCCCACTAGCTCCTTGGCGCCCCGCTCCACCGCCGACACGACGGGGCTCACGACGGTGCCGCCTAGTAGCGCCGCCGCGCCCGCCCCGGCAACGGCTGCAAAGCCACCTGCAAAGCACGCCGGCAATACGCGCCCAGTCCGTGTTAGCGGCCGCGGCCGCGGCAGCGGCGGGTGGATGGAAGGTAAAAATCAATGATGGGAAAAAATGCCATCACGCCATCAACTGCCAACCGCCAAATACAAATAAAGCTCCTCCAAGATCAGGAGCGGCAGAGTAATTAATTGGATTCAACTCTAGAAGCTTCCCGCCAGACACCCTCTGTGAGTACCGTCCCTCAAGAGGCCGTGTAGGAGGTGTCGTACAACATTTACGACATTGGACAGACCTCTGCCCTGCTGGTAGCCGCCACCGACGCCTTCCTCCTCCTCCGCCAGCAGCGGCTGAGGCTGCGGTACGACATTCACCTCCCCCGGCGCCCGCGCCGGTGACGACGTCGGCGCCACCGGGCCCCCGGCCGCCGCCGCCGCCGCTGCCGCCGCCGCCAGGCCCATCCCCTCCGGAATGCCGCTGGCCGCGTCTGGCGGTCCCAGACCGCCGCCGGCCGCCTCCGTTTCCTCCGTCGTACGGCCCGCCTTTGCCTCCGTCCCCCCAAGGATCTCACCGCCGGCGGCGGCGGCGGCGGCCGGTATTGCCGCCAGCCCTCCTTGCCCAGCCGCCGCGATCTGGGCGCCTGCCGGTACATGTACGGGCATAAAGACATGTACGGATGCATGTAAACTAAGTATGTAAGTACATACTGCATACATACTTTATATGTGTACACGAGCTGACCACATACTGGACACACTTCCTTCCCCCCATAAGCAGAGCCCCACACCCTGACCACATGAGACACGCTTTCGGACTCAGCGCGCGGTCCACTTGGTGCCCAGATGCAGCTGCCTTCGTCGAGGTGAAAACACCTTCACCAACCAACATATTCACCAAACGTATGAACCCCTCGTTTGACCATATGCCGTTTGTCTTGCTACTCTGGGGGTGCTCCTGCCGGTGGTGGTTAAGGTTAGCGTAGCGGAGCCTTCAAGTACAGGTTTCGGCGCGATAATGTCTCTTAGACACATTGTACGAACGGATCAACGGCCCGCTTATCGCAGAACAGTAGACGAGCTGACGGCGGCGGGGAACGCAACCGGCGCACCGTTGTCGGCGGCGCCGCCGCCAGCGCCCACGCCGCGGGCGCTGGCGGTAGCAGCTATGTACGATTCGTCGAGGGAGGGACGTGGTGTACGGGGCAGCATCTCGGACGGTAGCCGTACGCCAGGCTGTAGCCCTCGCCTGCTGTTGTCGTTTCCTGGAAGGGATTCATCCAGGGAGGGAAGCGGTGCGACATTAGCTTGGGAGGGCAAGGGAGACGGGTGATTCCCGGACAGAAAGCGTGTGGGTTGTTACTCGTGTGTGTTTTGAAGGCGTGTCCTTAGCCACATCCGCGCCGTCGGGCAACAAATGCACCGCCGCCACCGCCATGGCGGTTGGAGGATGTACAGCATGCACACGCACATACAGATGTACGGCTCGCTTGTCGCTTGGTCCAGGTTTTACAGTGTGCCCACTCTCCCACGCTCACCCCCCATCTCCTCCGCCATGCTGTCGTACGGCTCCGGCGGCGGCTGACCCGCCGCTCCAGGGGCACCACCCGCCGCCGCCACCTCGCCTCCACCCCCTCCGCCTTCACGGCCTTCGCCGCCACCGCCATCACGCGCCGAACCCGCCACCGCCGAAGCTTCTGCCACGCCACCGCCGCCACCGCCACCGCCGCCGCCACCGCCACCGCCGGCTCCTACTCGCCCGCCGTGAACCGCTCCTTCTCCGCCGGCTGTGAACGCCGCTGCCACTGGCGCTGAGAGGGCGGCGGCGGCAGCGCTAGGGCCGGCGGCGGGGCCCGTGGCGAGCGGTGATGGTACGTGTACGGCAGCTGGGGAGATGGGCGCGTCAGGTGGAGCAGTGGGTGGCAATTCCGTCGAGGTGCTCGAGGGAGGATGGAGAGGATGAAGCAATCGCTGCATGGCAGTACGGCCCTGCTCATACGCGTACGACCCCATGGTGAGCTGTGGAATGGCGGCGAGGGGGTGGGGGGTGGGGGGGTGGGAAAGACGAACCACACACGATAGAAGCTGCTGCCAGGGCAAGAGAGTATCAAACGTAGAACTGACCGAAAGGCGACCGTGACCTCGGGATGACGAAGTGAAGATCAGTGTTTTTTTTTGGTAATATATTACTTTTTTGGGAATAAATGGGGGTCTGAGCCTGGAAGAAATGGAATAATTGGTCAGTTGGCCGTACTGGTTCATTACTTCGGCCATAAGTCGCCCCAAATGCCTTCTGCACATATAAAGCTGAACATTTGGAGCTTATACACTATTTATGTATAAAACATTTGATGATATCACCATGAGACGGCCCGCTGTTGCATTCAACTTAGGTCAACGGGGCATTCGTTCATTCTTGACCAAAGCAAACGGCTCAGAAACTCCGCAGACACTGCTCACAGAGACACTGGCGCAAATGCTGTTAGGTGCACAGAACGATGGTGGTACGGCATGTTTGTTTCCAGACGTCAGGTGTTGTTTACAGCACACCGTACAGCCTTTGAGGGGGGGGTCTGGGGGTGGCGCAGCCCCCCCAGCGACTATACAAAAAGGAATTGTAACCGCAAGAAACACCCAGTTCATTACTCTAGGGTATTAGGCCCAAAACGAAAAATAAAACACTGGTGAAGATGTCGGAAGACTACCTACCTAAGCCGCCAGAACTAAAAAAGAAGAAATAGCATTGCCAATCCGTAAAAAGGTAGGTGTAGAAAAGTAGGTGGGGGGGTGGGGGGAAATCCCAACAGCATTTGAAGGCAGGTGATGAAGAGGTGTGTGTGTATGTACATACATACACAGCACACGACACCACCGCCGCAGCCATCAGCGTGCCGTTTAATTCCGTTTTTTCATCGAGCCCGATACCGCACTGTTTCGTCCGAGATTGATTTTTCTCCTTCCATCCGTTTTCCTTGTTAACCTGAACATCCGCCGGTAAACATACATACATACATACCTGCAGACCGATATCCGCCGCCTCGGGGTTGGTCCACATCACGTGCCGCCGGGGCTCAGGGACAACCGGCGCCGTACCCGCCGTACCCGTACCCCCCTCAATCCCAAAGGCGATGTCTTCGGAGCGGTTCGCCAGGGCCGCCAGGTCCAGGGAGGTCACGGCCAGATCCTCCCACCGCTCAAACAGAGAGAGGACCAGACGCCGGTGGTGGGGGTGACCGCCGCCGCCGCCGCCGCTGGCAGTGGCATCGCCGCCGCCGCTGGCGACGCCATCGCGCTTGCCTTGCAGGCAGAGCTGGACGATCTGCCACCGGCGGGTAAAGGTGTTGTGGTGGTTTGAGGGGCTGGTTGGTAGTCGCCGGTGGTTTATGGTGGTAAAAGGTTTGGTTGCTATTGTTGCGGAGGAGAGCGAGTGAGAAGCTGGGCATGCAAAAAATAGCCCCAAAATATGCCACAGAGGGAAAGACCGGCCAATAAATAAAACTCATTCGACTGAGAAACACGACTCGAGTTTAAGGGTCACTTTGCTGCACGCGCGCGCGATGCTGTATGCGACGGCGTGCATCTAGAAACGTTTACATGCGACTGCAGATTGGTTGATGTGGGCCTGGGGTGCCTCGGAGGGCCCACAGTGAACGGGGGGCAGTCCGGTTGGCGGCTTTCACCAATTCGGTGGCAATGGGAAAAAGTGGAGGGGGTAACACCAAACCGTATCACCAATCCCGGTGTCCCTAAGATTATTTCTAGAAGCGTTTTTTACTTTCACCAATCCAGAAATCACCAATCGGCCATAGCGGTATGGTACTTCATTTTTGGTTGGGTTTCTTGTCCATGCTGCTGCCACCCTTTAGCATTAGTTCAAAGTCCTGGGTTCGATGTCTGCGAACCCATGACATTGCTTGGAGCCGGGGATTATGGCTAGCTTCCGAGATGTGGAATTGATGGACCAGATTCGCGCAGTGTATTGGTGTGAATGGACGAGAAGGGAGCCTAGGCGACAGGGGTCACCGGCCTTGGACTCACAGTTAGTACAGCAGTTGTAGTCATGGTGGACGGTGCTGTATAGTGGCTAGGAATGACATTGTGTTCCAGGGGCCCAGAAAACTCCTACACTGTAACCTTTCAACACATAGCATAAAGATTAACATGACAGGTCACACCCGCCTTTTTTTCTCGTGTGGACTGCCTTCAAGGTCAGCGCCGGTGTGAAAGGTAGCTGGACTGCCGTACAGGTAACCGCCCACCATTCTCGGCCCTGTAGTACTGCCGTACAGGTTACCAACCGTCTTCCTGCTACCGCCCGCCTTTTTTGGCAGTGGGGCGTGGCCGCATTCCATAAAATTGTGGAGATATTATGGAAAAGGACATGCCATTTTATGGAAAAATAGGACCTCATTCTATGGAAAAAGAGAGCCTCATTTTATGGAATCTCGACCCCCCCTTTTTCCCAGAGTGCTCGAAACGCAGATAAACTTATTTGATATTTTCCAGATTCATTGCCCAAACTGACGAAACAAATTATGTTTCTTTTGATTCTTTTACCTGCTTATCAGGGTATTTTACAAAAAAATTGGCATTAAGCATTTTCTGTCCGGCTATTCTTTTTGGCTGCACTAATTTGTTACATAAACATTTTAAAAAATTATATAAGTTAAAAATTATAATTACATAATTTCCATTGGCATAAACAATTACCTGCTGTCCTCTTTTCATCCCAGGAACTTCTATTTCCTGGACAACTATCTCTGCTCTGATCAGCATACCTTTTTGGGTATATGATAGTAAACAAAGTAGGAATATGTAAATATTGTTATCTTTACTTGCTTAAATGTTTTAACTGAAAAACCCAAGCTAGGAAAATTAACCGATTACAAACGAGCCATTGCTCTGCAAAAAATATAATATTCCTGTTGCTATGGTTATTACCATAGCAAGAGGTATTGTCAACGATAAATTCTCTAGCTTAATTTTCCAGCTAGCAGATTAAGATTGAAGTCAACATATTTCAAGGAGTGAGCTATTCGGTCCGCACCTTTTAGCATGGCTTAAAGGCGACGGAGATGTTAATCCGTCCAAATATGGAGTCTCTAACTTTTTTAGTTTTTTTTACCATTTCTGAGGTGCTTTTAAGGTTGATATTGGAACGGTGGAGGAATTAGGGCTATACATGACTCTGCATGACTTCAGAGAATTTAATTTCAGACTTGCTTAGGGTTTGCTTGCAGCCACGCACAAGTTTCCATCAAGGCGTCATATGAGGCTTTCCGGCTTCGGGAAGCCGGTGATAGCGCATTTGTTCGCAGCTAAGATAGTCCCGGCCATCTCACCTTGGGGTTCAGGACGTTTGCCATGGGGTTGGCGGGGTCGCGACGGAGCTTGATGCTGAAATGGAAGGGCCTTATCTCCGCCGTCCCTCCCTGGACTCCCGCGGCGACAGGCTCCGTCTGCGAGGGAAAGAGGGGGAAGGTCTTCAAAACACACTCGTATGCGCACGTGTACTTCTTGTACGCGGCTCATCGTCGGTTGATTATTAGGTACTGACCGACACACGTAGACGTGCGGACACAGGACCCTGATCTTCGTAATGACCAAAGTCACACCGCACCGCATTATTGCTGCCTTGTTTAGACTAAAGACACATCCGGATGCATTATTACTGTTCCGTCCTTTTCCTTTAGCCCGCACGGCCTCGCTCCCTCGCCCAGTAGGGGCAGCAACGGCCAGCAAGCGAGAAAAGTCAAAGATGGCAGAAGGTAGAAATGAAAACGCGATGTAAAATTGGTTTAGATGTTGTGGGAGTGTCCCTTTGCATTTTCATTTCCTTTTGTTCTTTTGAAAACGTCGCAGTGGGAAAAATCAGTACAGGGGACGTCGGGACCTCGAGCGCGCTCGCTTCCTCAATTTTTTTCGCTTCACTATAAACTCTTGTTTTTTTCTCGGCGCGCTGCGCTAGCCGAAACAACCGGCCGCGATGGCGCGGAGTCTCACCGCTTCAGATGCGCCAAGCTTCTTTTTTCCGGAAAAGATTGCCACCCGGGCGCTGTGCACGTCCGATGGAATTCCGGTCGCGAGTCCGCCCTCGATCTCGAACTCGTAGGCGAAGGTAGCGCCTCCGCGCGTAGAGAACATAGGCGAGGCCATAGTATGGCCACCTGGCGGATAAGTCGCTATGGGCTGCTTTGCTTAATTGATGAAGACGTCAAGCGAAACACGGCGAACCGAACTAGTTAGCCAGACTCAGCAAAACTGCTTGATGCTAATGGTAATGAGATTATTGATGTACCGTAAATGTCGCCGCTGACGTGTGCTTTTGGAGCGCGTCTTTCAGGGGTTGGTGAGGCAGTAGGTGGCCGCATGACCCAGGGGTCACTTTCTAGGTGACTAGCGAGCTTATTCCATCTCAAACGTGTATTACTACCGTTTCTTGTTCCCAACGCGAAACTTATTGCTATGACTGTATGTATGTATGTATTGGTTGATTGTCTCCTCCAATCCAAACCTGAAGCCTCGTGCAACATCAACGATCCGTACTACCAAGGGATCCAACCTTACGTCATCACTCGGGTCGGAAACCCATAAGACTCTGATTTAAAAAGGAGAAACATGCTCCATGTTGAAGAGGTTTTTCCTTACACGTGACGGATGGCCCAGCTGCCAGCAAGGATACAGTTAGCAGTTATGTGGACACCAATGCAAAAGCACCTGCCGGCTGCAACTTGCATGAAACATAATCAAAAGGTTTACACACCGCATCAATGCTTGCTGTGCTGCGGAATCTCTGACGGAATGCGTGACATGCTGAACACCCCATCACCTTCTTGGAAATCTTGTCAGCGGCCATAGGGCTGCTTTATCGCCCCCATCCAACCTGCTATACATATGATTGTCGGGGTTCAGCTTGACCCGCGGCCACTAGCCTGATGGCAGTCCCTACCTTCCCCCCGATGTTTCGGGGCACCCTCATCCTTCTCATCACTCGTACCGACTCCTGCGAAGTCAGCAACTCTTTCGGGTTCAGCACCCACTGCCACCAGCACCACCAGTGGAATCTGCCGCCAGATCAACGGCGGCGTCAACTCCACCCTCCTAGTCGGTCGGCTTACAGGTCTCTCACTATAACCGGGTCGGTCCATCATCACCGTCAATCGGCATGGAGGCTCTACCACCCTCTTACTGTCGAGGGATGCTCATCCCGCTCTTTGTCGGAATCGGTCCTGGAACCTCTTTCCAGGGACACACTGTCGCACCTTAACAACATTTTCGCTGTGACTGAAGCCGCATAAATGTGTATACAACATCCAACTCACCGTCTCGACACAGCCCGACCTCGAGCCCTTCGGATGCGGTACGCAAACGGGATCCCACTCTTGCCGTACACAGACGAGTTTGCCTTGCATCCTAAGGGATGGATCGTGCAAATCCCTGTTACTTCCACTCCTCCCTGTAACTAGACCCAAAACGTACACATCTCACACGCCCTGGCAATACTCATTTCAGGTACCCTGCCCCACCCACACACCGCACCAACGAAAGCTCGTTAACATGTCATCTCCGTATGCACGAATGCCGTAAAAAGCCGTAAACAAGGCGCCCATTATAAATGGGCGATACTGTCCCAACCAGGACCGGAATTGACAGGCGCATCTATCAGCATATAGCCGAAAACACCTAGGAACGCTGCTACCGTAGTCCTGACATACACACGAAGTCACGCGTACATACATACATACATACATTCATACGTACATGGTATTGCTATTGGCACGGGGGCAGCCCACAGTGCCATGCCTCTGCTGCAGTTATAAAACCCATATCATTAAAATTAGCTATCATCGTAGTACGACAATACGGCACAAACGAAAAAAACGCTGATGTACACAGAAAGCGTGAACCCACGCCTAAGGTCAAATTATGGTACAATGAGAGTCACGTACAGGTAAGGAAGGAGTTGGAACTCCCTAGGTTCGTTTAAAGGCCTGACAGTACCGCTCATCGCTCATAAAAGGTAGTAAGCGTGTTGCAAGACCCGTATACGCAGTTGCATGGTATGCACATACATTTGGATCTACATCCCTTCTCACACATATCGCACGCGCACGCAGCGAAGAAGATGGACATACATGTTGAGAAAGAGCGGGGGCATTTGAAACGCGCTTGCAAGAGGCCTTCTGGCCACCTTGCATGTGAATGCTTCGCTGCTGCTGTGGCCTGTACACCGCTATATAAACCGTTTTAATGATACAGACAGAAACAGAATACAGATATACTGAAGTGGGTAAAAGGCCGGGCACGGACTTGAAGCAGACACCACCAGCCTGCCTACAGCTTGACGTCGACAATACACTACAGCTCCCATGCCCAAGCCCTCCACCCCGAGGTGCGTTCCCTTCTTCCCCCTCCTCCACCGGGCCTCTCGACCGAATCCCAGCGTCCGTAGGCGGTCACCTTGGGGCTCTCAACGAAAATGCGTGCGCGAACACACCCCAAACGCACCGCGCTTTTCATGTGGCAATGCCGGTCATTCGGTGCGTCCCATCACGGAATGATGAATTAGTTTATGGCGATGCAATTTGAGGGAATGGCAACAGAGTTCCAAAGCTTTGCAGCTTCGGGAAAAAGGTGGGGTTTGGAAAACTGGTCATGCAAAACGCGCCTCGCAAGGGCGCAACGGGCGTTAAGATATTCTATATGCACCATGCAGGGTGATAGGATACGGGGACCACAGTGGCATCGGCTGACATCGGCGTGAGCAGGTCCGGACTGGGAAGTCCCAGCGCCAACGCGTCATACATGCGCACACAAGGGGAGAGAAGGGGTACAGACAGAAAGACATAGATGCAGACAGACAAACAGACAGCGACAAAGCGCGACGCTGCTGGCAGCAGGGAAAAAGATTTCTTCGGTCGTTATCACCGGGCTGTCGCACTCTTACAGCGCAGGCGAGAAACACCACGACGTGCGGCTGCTGCTGAATGAATCTTGATGGTCTCTCCATACGCACCTGCAAGACACTCGGTACACTGCTGCGCTCGTACAGAACGTCATTTTCGCTCCTCTTGCCCCCGTAATACTTGACGTTCCCTTTTTCCCGTTTCTGATGCTGCGCATAGGGCCCGCGTCAGCACCATCTATCATCCCTCCCTCCTGCTAAGACCAAGGCAGAGATTTACGGCGACCGACAGAGCAACTGCTGCGGCCATTGCGGTCGCAGTAGGTTTCGTCCGCCAGCTTAAGCTCCACCATCCAGATTTTACTTCTCAATTAAGCCAGAAAACAGTTTCAAAGCCCTTGCATGACGTGTCTTAGGACGCGCGTTAGCCACGGACGGGAGCCTTTGGAGGGGCCAGGAGCAATACCGCGACATCAGACACTGCACTACAAAAATCCGTGCGAAAATTATGCTGATGGTGATAATACCGCGTTATGTGATGGCATATCAGCAGTCGCGGCTGCACCGGCACCCGCTGCTCGGTTGCTCCTGCCAATGGGGCCAAGGCCACGAAGGACTCCTCCTTCAAGGCAGCGTCAGCTGCGGTGACGCGGCATCACGACAGGACGCGGCATCACGACAGGGTGGAGGAGCTGGGAGTGGCACTAGCGGCGCGGCTGCGTGGGCCTTTTGACTTGCATGCATGAAGGAAAATGACCTCCTGTTGCTGCTGCAGCTGTTGTTGTAGCTGCACAAGCTGATGACGCAACTGGCCATCATCCGACGGCTCCGGAACTGCATCTGCCAGCGTGGGCAGCACCGCAGCCGCAGCCGCCAGTGCATATATTGGGTTGCTTGGTAGGCGGGATTGCGTCCCCCCTGGCATGGCATGAGGCGAGCATGCCAGCCCGCTCGGCAGCTTAACGACGACAGAGCTAGACGCAGTTCCGGCGTTTGCCGTGTTTGCGGTTGTAGTCGTGGTCGTGATGGTGGGTCCGGTAGTGGTGGTACCGCCCTCGTCTTCATCATGTGATGTGCCCCCTGCGTCGCATTGCCCAGCGGTGTGGCTGTCCGTGCTGACGTTGCTGTCCTCTGACTCACCGACCGGAAGACGCTCATGACGCTTGGCCGGCCGGCCGTACAGTGGCGGCTGCGGCGGCTGCGCTGCGGCGTCGGCGCCACCTGGCATCCGAACCAACGGCAGCACGTACGGCGATACCAGCAGCTCCCCCGGCAAAATCGCCGGCAAGATAGTTGCAGGGCCCATAAGCTCAGGAGATTGAAGCCATCTCAGCGCACATGCCGCCGCCGCCGCCAACGTTGCCGCTGCGGAGCTGCCTGACGCCGTCCCCGTTGACCCCCCAGCAGCAGCCGCTACTACCGGGTCCTGCAAATAGCGCACGGATGGAGGCGCCCCTAGTCCCGCCAACGACGGGCGCAGTAGACCCAGCTGCTGCATCTCGCTGATCCGCTGCAGGTTCAAGTCCAACGGGGCAACGGTCAGCGAGCTGGAAGGAGACTGGTCAGCAGCTACGGCGGCCGAGGTCAACTGAGGCTGCTGCTGTGCCAGGCCGAACAGCTGACGAGGCTGTTGGGTGGGGGCCGAGGGCCGTGATTTGGGCACCGGCGGCGGTGCTGGAGAGGCGGCAGATTCCACGTCGGTTGAGAGGGGGTTAGCGCCTTTGGGGCAGTGCTCCTCGATGCAGCGCAGTCGCAGCTCGGGTTCTGACTGTGGAGGGGCCTTGCGCTTGTGAGGACCTTTTCCCTCGAGCAAAGAAAAGGCCGAGCCGGTATGTTGCTGCTGCTCCTCATGCCATGTCGGAAGAGCAGGTGGTGATGCCACCAGTGGTTGCTGCTGCTGTTGCTGCTGCTGATGATGATGTTCCTGGGGTTGTCCCGGGACCGCAAGTGGCCCTCGTGGATGATCTGCACCCGCGGCATTGGCACTTAGCCTGTCTGCTGGTTCGACAGGGCTGGGACTCACATCACCTTGAGCAGCTGGACGCGGCACGTTGCCGGTCGCGCCGGCGGAGGTAATTACACTCTCACCAGCTGTGGTTTCAGTAGCGGCGGCTTGGCCGACGGCCGCGTGCACGTGCTGTCATCAGGGCGGAAGATAGGGAACGAGTTTAAAGGAAGTGTAGACAGATACAAAAAATGCCATATGTGCTCCTGACGCGGTGACAACAAAAGAATGGCATATGTCTCAACAAGGACATCACAAACGTTAGGGAAAAAGATGAGGCAAGCTGCATAGGCGGCATGCCTGCTGTGGGGTGCTCAACCTCTTCGCTCGCTGATGAAGTGCTGGCATCCCAAAGGGCTCGCTCCTGAAACTGCCTGGATGCAACAACAAAGCAGCTCCGGGTCATCTCTCTGTCCACTGTTCACTGACCTCTAAGGCGTTTAGGTGGTGTTACATGCACTGGTCATCATTATTGTTGCTACTGTACACCCTGCCCTCGTGCATCATGCATTCCTTAAGCTATTACAGGAGGGCATTGGGGTATTGAAAAAAGGTTATGCTTAACTTCACTTCACATCCAACAATCGATCAGAACAATCAATCAATTGAACCAGAACTCGACACATGAACGAGACCCGAGCTTGACGAGCGCAGGCGGGAACAGCAGCTGTTGCCACTTTGAAAGCAGCTGAAGCCGACCTCGCGACCATGAGTCGTCTCTTTTCCTCTTACGTGGGTTCTCTCAGGAAGCCGACCGTAACGCGTGAAAAAGATGCCGCATGCGTTGCAGAGCAGCTTGTTCGTTCCTCGGGGCCTCCGCCACTGCCATGGGTGGTAAAAAGCGTGGTGACAAGTCCGGACAGGGGCCGTAGCCGCACGCCATGAACAGCAGCAGCAGCAGCAGTAGCAGCAAAAGCAGCAATCACTGTTCAAAATGCCATTGCAGCGCAGGAAAACGGCTTGTTCACCAAAGAAGGCGGTATCCTCAAGCCACAAGAAACTGACAAGAACTCCAGTTGGCGGCGGTTCATCGCAGGCAGGATTGAATTTTAGCTTGCCACAGACAGATGCGCAGCTGAAGCCGCACAGTTACGGTCTGGACGCCTTGGTTTAACAGCAACCACGGCTTCATGCCGTCAAATAACGTGACAAGGTATGCAGAAACTGGCTCCCTTCAGCCAGCAATACCCGTACGCCGCAACCTACGTGACCCGGGTTGGTTGTGAATGTATCCTGTTGCCCTTTCGTTCTTAACAGGCCGAAGCGCTGGTTTAAGGTTATCAAATATATATGGTGCCTGCCGCGACAAACCTGGGGCGTTGCGGTGACCCCACACCACATGCAAGGTCCGCCTGGTACCAGCCGCGAGCTGCTGCCCGTGCTGGCTGGCCTGTGGGGACCGTGAGCGGGGTGCTGAGCATACTCCTTAGCATGCTTGATCTTCGGGCGTGATGAGCCTACACGAGATAACGAAGTTTACTTGGAAGAGTTATGACGGAAAAAGCCGGCAACAAAGCGTTTTGAGGCTTACCATTGTTGGCTGTGTGGTCCTCAGAATTGCCTTGCGCCGTTGCAGGGTTGGATCCCAGAGATTCAGTCTCAAAACCAATGCCTCCTTCAAAAGCTAACCTAACAACTTCCAGGAGCGCCCGCGCCTTAGCATGCGCGAAAACCCCGCTCTGCAAGAGCAGTTGTGACATTCGACCAACAAAGGTTGAGGTCGCATCCTAATAGTTGATAACAGTCACGAGTAGTCAGCAACAAGATCCTTACCTCCAACATGGCTTCCCCCATGACGGAGGCGAGGGAGAAGGGCAGGCACCAGGAATCGGTTGACGTTCGCTTGTTCCGTTCCGGGTAGCGAAGCGCAATATGTCCGACGAGTCAAAGTGAAGCTGGTATTGAGTCCAACTAACCCCAACGTGCTGCGTATTAATCCTTGGCTCCTGGGCTGACGATTAGGGAACAAAGCACCTCGATAGCACCTTGACAAAACCTTCTGGCAAACTGGCATCCGGCGCTTAGCTTTCCTTTTATATTCGGTGTTTGCCACAGAATAACGAATACAGAGTCCTATCTTATGCAGAGAATGTTCCCTGCCAGCTACTACCGAAGCAGACCCAATCAAATCACGCAGCTCTGACGACAGCGAATCCGTGAAGGAGATAAACATACATAGCAAGAATTGTGGCCCAGCGAATTCTTCGTGTCGGCGTATTGCGCATTCACAAGATAGGAACCCTAGACAAATGAAAACGAATATGCGTCATCCAGCCATTATGACAGGATCATTTCCTTATGGTGTTCCCAACTTTTTACTGTCACATTGTTCACCTAAGGAGGTATAAGGAGGTATTCCACGTCATACTAGGAAGCCGTACGTCAATCTGAACAGGGACAAAGCCAAATAGTTAACAAACCTGTTATCAATTTCAATGCGATGTCTTATGTCCACTTGATGGCTGAGGGGGTGTGAGTCAACGGCAGTCCAACTTCGTACTTGGGCCTCTTGTCACCTCTCAGCTCTCACCCTGAGTGATTCCCTCCTCCATACTCGTTACATTTGAAAGGTTGCAGCTGCTTTCAAGCAGACCCATATGTTTGTCAACGTGAATAAAGGTCTGTTGAACTGCTCAGGGCAACTGGGCTTGAGTCCGTCATCCGCCCAGGCCTTCTCGGCCAAGGCGCTCAAGCACGACGCTCATTAAAGCACAGGAGTAACACCCCCTAATGAAAGTTTTGCATATTTTGTGTCCTCCATGCATAAGTAAACAAACCCTAAGTATAACTTCAAATGCAGGCAACACGGCGGCCTGGAGCCGCGTCAACGCGTCAGTACATAACTAACCCTTTGGTCCAAAACAACCGCAACCGATGCAAACATCATTCCACGAGTAAATCTATCTTATGGAAGCTTTAGATATCATATAATAGACCAAATGGTTAAACCACTCAGCAAAAATGCAATCAGCATAGCGACATGGGGACATAGTAGGGCTGAATGGTATGTGCCCCAGCGCTCTCTATCATCCACACTGCCTATACATCTTCTTGAACACGTCCCCTAACCAGATCCGGTATCACGTCCGTACGGCTGTACAGCCTATGGTAATATCGTACAGGACGGCAATGGATCACCCAAAACACCGACGGACGTACATACAGCGATGTGAACGGATGCATGCAACAAGGGTGAAGGTCACGGAGATATGAATAAAGAGACGGGAGGCCACATATATCGTCCAAAGCATGTACGATCAGACAGATAGATTGACAGACAGGCAGGCAGAGAGATAGACAGCCAGAGACAGCCAGAGCGACAGACACACAGCAGGACAAACAGGCATGAGCGACACTGCAACACTCGACCGCCACGCCGCCTGGTATGATGCACGAACTCCTCGCCATTATATACTTGTAGAAAAGGAAACCAGACGAATTACAGGAATATGATAGATGAAGCCCCTTCAAAACTTCGTAGCATTACAAGACCAACAACACCGGACAGCAGAGCTCCGACAAAACAAACGTCCAGACGACGTCCAGATTTATGTTGGTGTCACTGGCTTGTCATCTGGTTACAGTGCTGGTGTTGAGAAACGTTTGAACGATGGTGTTGATTCCTCCTAGGACCGGCAAAGGCGCCATCAACGGCAAAGACAGCACCGCGCGCTCCCGTACTGCTGGACCACACTGGAGCGCTGCGGTGGCCGGACCTGCAGTACGACAGCGTCGGGTGGGGTAGGGGGCATGGATAAAATGTTTCAAGGCTTACCTTAAGCCACCAGACACAGGCCGTACCAGTATACATGTACGATTTCGCCACATGACATATTGTTTTAAGCCACAGTGATGCATCGCCGGTAGCAGGTTTCGGATTCGCAATGAGCGAGACATAATAAATTTTTTGACCATCAAAGGATGGCTGTGCCTCTATGTCGATATGTATAACATTTGATGGATCCGGTTATGGTGAGAGACCTGCGAGCCAATCACCACCACCACCACCACCAGCAGGAGAGTGCTTCCCCCAGAAAGACATTATTGACTTTGCAGTTGTCGGCACACAGGGTTGACGAGAAGGATGGGGTGCCTGGGAGCGCGGGGGAATGTTGCAGGGACTGCTAGCAGATGCTAGTGGTCGCGGGCGAAGTCTATATCTACCCCGACATCACACAATCATACGTGTGTAGGTTCGGTCGCATATCCTCCGACTGATTCCGACTGATTCCGACAGATCTATAAACTGAACTTTTCAACGGCAACCAGACCGACGCATAAGTAGAAATAGAAACGCATCAGAAGGTGACGCCACAAGGGCCTTTCTTCAACCTCACCCTCGTCCTGGACAGCCGGATGATGTGCTGCGGGGAGCAGCGAGGGCCCCAAGGGCCCCGACGGGCGCAAGGGGGGCCAGATCTTCCCTTGAAGGCCGCGGCGAGAGGGTGACACCGGGCCTCCGAGGAAGCCCGTTTGAAGTGGAGCTGCAGCCGGTGCCGCCGCCGCCGCCGCCGCGGCCGTCGCCCGCGCCGCTGGAGGCGGGGCCGCCTCTTCCTCATCAGTCTGTTGAAATGTCGTATTTGTCACAATGCCGTACACACCGAGATAAGGCAGCATCAAGAGCAGGGCAGCCGGCATATGTTTTCGTGTTTACATTTCACATAGAAAGCGTCCGACCAAACACCCTACAACGCCAACGAACCCACAAGAACCCAAAACTTAATCACCATAAAAAGTAACAAAATCAACGACGCAATAAAACGAGCAGAGAGCAAGAAGTGATCGGCCCGGTTGCAAAAGCTGCGCGCCCGGTGTTAGATAGGACCGGGATCCAGAAGCCCGGAGTAATGGATTACATGACAGGAATTACGCGAGCTGTCGTACAAGCTCGACACAAGTGCCGTACCTCTAGCTTCTCATCGCACAAAATATCGCACGTCAGCGTTTCTGTCTTGGCTGGCGACGGCGCCCGCGTTGGTGTTGCCTTGCTGGTGCGTAGAGCTGCGGGCGAGCTGCTCATGGCGTGGATTTGCTGTTGTGCGCACACAGCAACAGTGCATTGATGTGCCGTGTGGCAATGGAGGTTAAGTGCAAAGAAAATATATTTAGAAAAAAGAGTAAGGTGAAAGTGAGTGGCAGAAATTGTGATAGAAGAAGGATCTTCAGAAAAAGGAATCCAAGGATGGGTCGCATAGATGGCCGCAGCAGAATGCGACTATTGCTGCTGTGGACCCCGATCGGGTCGAGTGCAACGCTCCTAGGAACGTCTCCCGCAGCATTATATGCAGTTGGGATGGAATCTGGGACGAAACGAACGCCGAACAGTCCTCGGCGTGTGCAATCAACACCCACAAGGGCACAACCCTCCTTTGGTTCGATGAGCACTTTGGCATTTCGGCAAAATGTATGACGACGACATGGACGGACCTCGCGGCAAGGTAGCAGGCCGCCGCGACTGCACGGCGACGGTATCGTAAGCGTCGCTAGGTACCGCTCCCCTAGGTATCGTGCCACGCACGCCACGCGTGCTGTTACCACCATCGCCCCCGCCCCCGCCGCCGCCGCCGCTGCTGCTGCTGCTGCTGCTGCCGCCACAAGCACGCACGTGGATTAACCTCTCGCGCCTACCTTCTTTCTCTTAGGCAATGAGTGGTGTCTGCTAAAGTAGATGCCACAGGCGTTGCAGAGCACCACCTTCTTGGTGAGCGGCCGCCGCCACTGGGGGCTCTCCGTAGTGCCGCAGTGCGCACAAGGCCCACCGGGGATGCCGGTCCTGGGACTACCAGTCTGCAGAGACCTGCACGCGCGTTAGACCATGAGCACGCCATCGCACAGGTCTCCAGCCTGGTCGATACAGGTTGGAGTCACTTGCATCAGGCATGTTCGTACTGGTTCAGGTCAGGGCATGTCGAGGTCAGACCTGAAATGAAGGTCGGGTCGTGATGACTCAGGGTTGAGGTCAGCTGACGTGGCATGGGGTGTATGGGCGTTGGTCCAGGTCAACACTGGCTGCGTCAGTTCCAATCACATCGCAATTCAAGATGTAAATCACACACACACACACACATGTACTTCATCGCCGCCCATGAGCATATACTTCCTACTCCGGCATCATCCATCTTCCTCTATTCTCTTCTTTCTTTTTCATTTGTAAGTTAGGACTGGCACGCCGCGTGGATGTGCATCCGTGGCCTTCGCACATTCGCCTTCGTGGCATGCGCACACCTTCAGAACAACACCTACTAACTCCCGCTGCTGTTGTTGTTGTTGTTGCTGTCGCTGCTCCTGCTCCTTCTTCGCCTATATTATCTGTCTTTTCCCTTTGTCCACAGGTCAACTAATGTTCTGCTTCACGGGAAGGGTTTCTTGTGTCCGGGGCACCTTACCCTGTGCTTGTCGCCGCATCGCACGCGCTGTGGTAGCATATGATCCTCTGCTCTGACCGCGAGCTCAGGATAGGAAAAAAGTTTTTAGTTCTATCTAGCTAGCTGGTACGTTAGGTGGCCTTGCTGTCTGTCGTCATTTCTAGTCGCCGACCACATTAGCCACTACAGCGCTGCTTATTTGCACGGGCTCTTGATATCACTCTCCTAATCAACGCCTACTTGATTAATATTCAAGTTACGTCTACATTTTCACTTAAAAATCCTAATGACACGTCGCTGGTGACTACGTAGCTCGCTTCGGTATCAGGTTATTCGAGTACCACCATCGTCATACATTTTCCCGTATCGCGGCTCATCCACAAACATACATAATTACACACAAAAAAACTACAACCACTAAAATATACACACATACATATGCATACATATTCGCAGTACCGGCTGCGTCACCAACCATTGAAAAGTAGTTTGTTAATCCTGTCCGAGCTAATACACGCAAGATCGGAACATCCAGGGTTTATCCCCCCCCTGCTTAGGCCGATTCTACACTTACTTTTTAATATTGCGGTGCAGCGCCTCTTCACTGCCGTCACCGGCAGAGTTTTGTTCCGTACGGTCTACAGCACCGTGCTCGCCAACAAAATCGCCGCCGCCAGGAGCGTCATCCCTTGCGTCTCCAACATCCCTGCCATCCTCAAACACCCCCACGTTCGCGTGCGGCGAGCCGTGCGAATGGGGGGTTTCCGGATGAGGATGTAATGACCCTGTGCCCGTTGTTGCTGCGGCTGCTGCTGCTGCTGCTATTGCTGCTGCTGCCGCTGCTGCTGCCGCCGTAAACGATTCGTACTCCAGGTCCGAAAGCTGGTGAAGATCCATAACGCCACCCGCAGCCGCATCAGCAGCGGGATCATGCGTCCAGGCCTCTTTTCGCGCCGGCCCGCTCGCGACAATGTACGTCTGTCGTACGACAGCTTGTTTCGGGATGACGGGGGATGAGCAATAGCGACGCCGCTTCGCAGGCGGCTCGTGTCGTGTATTGCCTTCGACGTGGACATAAGCGATGGGCTCCGGATCCGGTTCCGGGTACGGCAGGTCCGGAATTGTTGTCGTACGTGTCGGATTTGCGGCGTAGATTTCCCGCGGGGGTGCGGAAAGCCGGCTGCGGGGAGTTCTGCGAGTTGAGAGATGGATATTGCTCCGTAGGGGCATCGGCGCTTGTGCCGCGGCGGTTGTAAAATCGTCGCGCCCCTCGCCGCCATTATCGTCGAGAGCTTGTCGTACCGTCTCCAAGAGTGCGTGCGCCAGGGCTTCGCAGGGATCGATCATGCGAAGACGCCTGCCTTGCCTGTCAAGCAGCTGTTGCTGCTGCTGTTGCTGCTGCTGAAGCTGGGGTAACAGCGGCAACAAAAGCATTGTTGGAAGGATTGAATAGTGATGCGCTGTGTAAGGATGCTGACAATGGAATACGTTGCACCGGCGGCATCTTGCCGCGCGCAATCGCTATCCACGTGGTTCCGCGGTGATGGTCACAGCAATCTCCGTGGGAGAGTGATAGGGCCGTCCTATGTGCTCCCATGCAGCTTAAGGTGATTCAACGATGTAGCGGATGTTGTTAGGAATTGCAAAGGACTTACATTTGTTAAGTTCGATAAGTTGGATGCGTCGCCTCGCTAAGGCTAAGCTTGCCTTACCCGGCACCGATTTGCCAACCTAGAAGCAGCGTAACTTTAAGGATGATGCATCTGCCTACCAACCGTAAAACTTCAACTTACGTATCCCCGCGGTTTTGACGAAAACTGGCGGTAACAGCGAGGCAACTGACAACGAGTTCTCGTTGATTTCACTTGCCGCCAACATGTGCCTAGACAATGCTGCAGCAGTTGAATATTAATACAGACAATAAAATTATACCTGATAATTTGTGTAGGTTTGGCTTAACTTTACTTTGGTCACAACAAAAGCTGCAGCATGGATAAGTTGCCCTTGGCAATAATTTGCCAGTTGTGATGATCCGGTATATTTGGATTCCCTTGTTGTTACCCAGAAGAGTTTTGGGTTGATCAATTCGCAAATGGACACACGTAGCTATCGCCCCGCCTCGCTACGACCGAACTTACTAGCATCTCTTTGTGGCTTCCACAGCTTGTAGAGCATGCAGTAGTTGCGCTTTAATTCTGTAAGGATTCTGGGTAGGCGCTTCAGTGGCGTTGACGAACTGGAAGTGGGAATGGCGAACGGCTCCTCTCAAGTCCAAACAGGCGACTTCGGCGATCGATGTTTCAATATTGGGGTAACAATAATTTATAAATCTTGGAGTATAATGCCGAAAAGTCATCGGAAGGAAGCCACTTGTAACCCCAGCGTTACTCGGCCAACGTAACCTTGGTATAGCATGACGTGAAAAGGACACGAAAGGCAGCAGCATAGGAAGTCTCCTTTTATAAGTCCCTATTGCGTTCATCAAGTCACTTCGTGCCTTCAAGCCTCTACAGCAGATCGCGGCGCCCGCGCTCCACACCGTCGTACTTCCGTCCTTACGACTGTGTACATGGTATGCCTGTTTTACTTTCACACATGAACAAGCAATTACGTGTAATGATTGGCTCTATTGAAGTACAGCAATTATGTTTCTTGGCAAGCTAGATGGCTTCACGTGGTGCCGAACGGTCGCATTTGGACATACGTGTGGAAAGCCCTTGGTGGGCACCTACCCGCGTTTCTGCGCGCTGAATCGCTAATGGCGGGATGCATCCCCCAACACCTTTTTTTATGTCTGCGTTTCAACGTGCGCTAAGTTACATGACACAGGATCCTCAATATCTGACGACACTTTGTTACACCCCGACAAGGCATTTTTTGTTGGACGAACCATTGAATCCTGCTACCTTTCCCAAACGGTAACCGCCCAGACCAACCAATGCTACAGCGCCATGCTCGAATTAGTGTATCCGCAATGACAAACTTATACCACAGCATTAAACATCGCTCCTCCTCCACAGTTAAGCAAAACGAGCCTCCTGTAACGACTGCAACAACAGTCATCCACTCACCGACGATTTCACTAGAGGACAGCACAGAATAAGAAGCATATGAGCCGATGCAAACCATCTCCCCTTGCAAAACCTTTGATGCGCAAGTCTTGGACGAAAAATGTCGCAATGCGACTTCTACACCGAGAATCTTCTCTGTTTCAGGACGTGGCCATCCGCATTCTAAGAAGAGTTTCATCTTTATACAAAAGACGATACTTTTCACAAAAGAAATATGAAACTGTGCACGCGCGACAAGTGTGCAATCCTAGAGAGCAATCCCAGAGACGTCCCCAACGTCCCTAAGCGAGGGATTATCATAGATCACCTCCTGGTCAAATATACATGCGTATCAAGGCCAGCCAGGAACGCATCAGCTGCTGCGTCCTCCTGTCGTCATCGACGAGCCAAAGCGGTTAACGCAACTATATGTCAAGCAAAAAAAGCAGGGCACAATTACGATAAACCTAGATTCTGGCCAAAAACTGCAAGGTATGTATTTTGTATTTGCTCACCCGAAAGCCCGCTTCACATGAAATGTCCCACGTTCCGGAGCCCTGGGCTAAACTGACGCTACGGAAGCGATCATTTCCCCGATATTCTTCAGCAACCGACGTTTTGTAAAGCGCAGCTTCACCGGAAGCGAAAAAGTATCCTCCCTTTCCACAGGGAAGACGGAAAAGAAAAAGATAACTATATATTATCACAGTGCACACGTCGCAAAAGGACGCGCAGGCGAGCTTCATGTTTAAGTTGCCATAATATACATCAAGATACAACGCGAGGGCGCACGAGAACCAATCCGCGAACAGGGAATTGACGACGGCCAAGCCTCTACATCATCGCAAGCCGCAGCTTCCTCGCGTCGATGTTAGTAACTTACATCACCAGGCCCAAGCTGATCCCAACGACGCACTCGACGTCGTGTCTTTCTCGCCTCGGACCAGCAGCACCGAGGGCAACAGGCACTCACCCAAAAAGGGAGCGCCCTCGCAAAGGCCGCCGGATGTCAACATATCGACGTGTAGAAGCAAACGCTGCCTCTCCGCCTCGGCCCCTCTTTTACTAACGCGCCTCCCTCATGGCCTTCCGGTGCCGTCGCTATCAACCCTCCGCCCGCGCAGTCGCGCCGTCAAAAAGCTGCTGCTGCTGCTGCTATCGTCGCCGCCGTTGTTATAGCGCCCACCCGCACATGCGCCGGTGCACCAGAGGCTCCGTCGTCAAGTGGTTCAGTGCCGAGGGCAGCGTCATGAAGGCCGCGGCAGACAGCAAGTGGAACGCAGCGTGCGTGTACGGAAACCAAGCCAGCGGCGGCATGTCCTCTAGCGTGAAGCACGCGGTGGCAGCGGCCGACAGGGCGGTGTGGGCGGCCCATTCCGAGAGCAGCTGCCGCTGTGAAAGTGTCAACAACAGGAAACGTACCTGCGTTTCGGGCATATGCAGGACTCCGGCTCAGTCGTTAGGTGGCACAGATCACACACAGAGGTGGGGTTTCTGCTTTAGGAGCCCCGTACGTACAGCCCTGCTGCTACTCGCCATGTGTGCTTGTTGGTGTAAAGCGATATTCCGTTTGAGAAAGACGGAGCGCGAAGCAGCAAACGGTACGATAAGGCGTGGGAAGGGGGCAAAGGAAAGGTCCGGAGGACTGGGGCCCACTGTAACAAATTGCAAACTGGTGGCAAGCAGTGACTGCAGCTGTCCGCTGGTCGCTGGTGCAGGTTTGAAAGGTCCGCTTTCCTCATCGGCGCGGACCACGAAGCGGCGGAAGACACGGACGAGCGATTGTCATGAAATTTTCCCGCACAATTCTTTTCGTAGATGTATATAGCCCATAGACGGCTGCAAATAATCAACCCACAGCCTTTTATATTCTTTCCCTTTCTTACGCCCCTAAGACAACAATACTAAGCCATTGTTTCGACGCCTCGTCTCACCGATACCGGGCAATCTGCACCCCGCACCTCAACAGCAACGAAGTTGGAGCTGGAGACAAGAGTGGGCCTGAATGGAGCAACCGCCAGCATCAGCAACACCTGCCAGCGGGGTGCAGCTCCAACAACCGCCCGCCGCAGCAGCCAGCTGGACGCGGCTATAGCATAATAGTCCGCCTTGCGTGCGATCGGGCGGATGCGGCCCCAAGAACCGTGGTAGACGGTCGCGACCGCGCCGACCACCATAAAAGCCCATCCAAACCGCCGAGCAGCAAAGGAACGGCAAAGCCTGTTAACGGATGTGGTCGATGCAATAGGGTGAAAACAGTGAAACGATAGGGTGACTGACGTCTGCTGTTGGTTAGAAATCGCGATTGGTTTTCGCGACTTACGGTTGCGGTTTCCGTTTGCCCAGCTTGGCGGGCGGACGGAGAAAGCAAGAATGGAAACTACAACGTCCTGCCTGAGAAATTGTGAAAAATACACCATATGGGAGTGACAAGAAAATAGACCAACGCTGCGAGGCAGCCATTTGTGGTGCTGTGTTAAATGTTTGGCTCGGTTTTCGATCAGGCATGCAGATATTTTCGCGAATGTTTTCGCGACTTAGTCGAGTCGTCTCCGCATGTCAGCTGCAGCTTGAGGGCCACGATTAACAGCTGCATGACTTTATAATATATTTTTCATCATTATCGCTTGAACATACCGCACGATTTTGCCGCCGGCCTGAAAAAACATGCCGCAGGTCAACATGTTCAGGACGCGCTCCAGCAAGTTTCTGTCGTTATCGCCAGGACCCTGCGACAACAGCCGCAGCAGATAACAAGATCAGCGGTCGCAACAGAGGGGGTGTAACTTAAGGCAGCAGTTGCTGAGTTTTAGTGAAAAGCGTCGAGTACGCAACACCAAGGCGCAGGGCTGTGGCCCATCCGCTGGATGGGCAAACGTACGCTCCTTGCGGATGCTCCTCGTGCGGTGTTAAGGGAACTTTAAACACATTGAAATTGGGATCGGGATCGCGAATGCGGCGGCAGAAGTCCTTCTAAGTTCGCGGCACACCGAATGAACTTATGGTTCAGAGAATCCGATGTGGGTTGGTGATCCTGGTACACAGACCCTTCCAAAAAAAGATATGTACAGCGTGCTGCCAAGCCTTTCTGACTATCGGATTGGAAGAGCATTTTCTTGTGCTTTTGCAAAGGCTGCGTTGGTTTGCAACCTTTCCGTGTTGTCCGCCTAATGATGATGATGACGAGGGATTATGATGGTGGGTCCATTTCTCCGCACCAGGGGCGAGTGGCAAGGTGGCGGACCACTAGGTGCCCACAACAATCTCACCTGTGGCCGAATTTGACTACCCATGATCCGCAGAAGGCGACCGAAACGCCGCAGCACCCTCTGACGCGATGCACAAGATGTGTGGTTGTACCCCGCTAGGTTCTGCTGCTGCTGCTCGTGTGCTTGACGGGGCCCATCCTCTTGCTGCCGCTGGCGTTGGCGTAGAAGCAGCGGCTCCGGTTGTTCCACCGTCACGGAGCAGACATGCTGTTCCTGCTGCAGTAGATGATGCTCCTGCTGGTGAGTGGCATGCCCTTGCAGCTTCTTGTGCGGGGCCCTTTGCCATCGTGGCGTGCGCCAGCGCGGCTGGTGGTGGTTATGTTGGGCCGGGAGTTCCTGAACTGGAGGCCCGGAGGAACAAGAGAGTGACGAGGCCGAGAGTTTCTCTGTAAAGGCCGAAGTACAAGTCCGAGCGACCGGACATTTAGCGCTGCTTTGCGTGCCGCTGCCCGTCCTTCGCAGCCGCCGACTAAGCTGCCTGAGAGGAGGAAGCAAGCGTGCCAAACCTTGTGCCAAATTCCGCAAAGGACGTCGCAGCGGGACTGCCTTTCTCGTCTGATTTCCTTGTATCTGCTTATGGTGGCAAGCATCCAGCGTTGAACCGCTAAGCAAGACAAGAGAATGGGGCTCCATGTTTTTACATAAATACGTTGCAGATACCGTAAACCCTAGCCTTTACGAAACGTACCAGAGACGAGAGGAGGCTCCATTGGACACCGGCACAATGACCACATTGTTTATAGATGCTGCTATGTTATTCTTATGCTAATGAACATTCGCTGCGTAATGCGATGCTTGGAACATTCGTTATACGACAAACATCGACTCCGAAGCCTGTTCCGGAGCGATTAGATTTTAATTGAAACGGAAGAGGAAATTTTTCATCAATCGTGAAAATAATTTGTGGTGTGTAAATCTCCTCAGTAAAGGACCTGATCGCGGGCTTCACAAACACGGATATATTTTGAAAGCTGCAAGGATAATGCAGCAACACCTGAAAAAGTTCGGGAATGTTTCAGCTTAGTATTGATATTTTTTGGAAGGTATGATGACGTCCTCGTTGCTTTGCACCACGCCGTGAAAGCGGGAAATGCGGCCGCCGTTTTTGCTGGTGGCAGCTAGTGGACATGTGAGATTTTCGTGAAAGGGTATGGAAATTGTTGTCGCATGCGCTTGATGCCTTTCGCACGTAGGCAGCCATGCTGTATTGTCAGCTTCCCTCTTTGTCCACGCCGATTGGAAGATTGGTTACGCCATCGTAACCACCGCTCGTAACACCTCATCAACAGAAACAGCCTCCCATCACCCATCGCCGCCGCAGGACGTGGATGCCTTCTCCGTAGGCTTGATTGTTTGCTGCGCGTCATGACTTTGCGGACGTTGTTAAGACTGATTTCCGCAGTCCAGAAGGGATTCTCAGCCATTAAAGATTCCAAAGGAGACCAGCACCCCGAACCAACCAAGCCGCTGGGCCTCAGGAAATCACCTAACGGAAAGCGCCACACGACCTAAGCGGAACCCCGCTCAAACCTGAGCCCGCTCCACCCCGCGACTGCTCCGCCTCGGCCCTCTGTCCTCTTGTTACTACCTCCTTCAAGAGATGCCCTGCCGCGCCTCCGTAATACGCTCCTCCATCCCACGTAAGGCATGTCGTTGCCTGTCCTTGCAAGAATCTCGACGCATCATGCTAACGTCCCATCTCGCGGCCCAACAGCGGTGCACCCCCCTCATGCGCCCCATCTGGACTCAACACGTGACGCGGTCTAGCGCCACGAACGTCCCCTTTGGTTGACTTGTCCACCGCAGCAATTCGCGAACCGCTTCAACACAACCGCCACTTGCCACGCCACCCTCCCCGATGCGCCCACACCATCCAACACTCGCCCCGCTCTCATGGTGTCCCCTCATGGTGTCCCCGTGCAGCTTGCCGTGTGTGTTTCGTACAACGAGCTGCAGCATGGCTCGATAGTCTTGCACGGTGGTGATATTGGAAGACGCCCCAGCCTTTACGTGTATACAGCTGAGGCGCTGCACCTCAGCTTCCTCTATCGGTTCCCCCATTACTCAAAATGGCGGCAGCAGCAACGAAACCGCCTCAATGGCGCTGGAGGCGACAGTGCAGAGCAGTGGTGTACGCCGTCCATGCCCGCCCATGCTATGACTTGCTGCAATCGTGAATCAGGATGCGAATGTGCCTATGCGGTTCAGCCGAGCTGCAGTTTACTAGCTTGATAGATATCCTAGCCACAAATAAACAACATTACCTGGCATGCATTACGCGCAACTTAGCGGCTTAGAACTCCTTTCTTTGCTTCGGATGCATGTTTTATGCCGCCCTGTTCGGCATCGGCGTTCCGAAACCAATAAAGCACTTCAGGTCTCGGGGTTGGCTGAGTACCGTCAAACGGCATCCATGGCAGCGAGGCGACGGATGGACTGCATCCACATGAACCACATCATCCTCGCTCTCCTGCTTCACATCCAGGTCAGCCGCACGCCGCTAATCCATCCGGGACTGCCGCCGTATCCCTTCTTGGGCTGCGGGTTCTTGGGGTCGGCTTGCTTGAGCCAGCACTGGCGGAAGCGGTACCGCTCGCCGCTGCAACCCGATGGATCAACACACCAGGTCCATAAGTTGCAGCCCTGTCAGGGTACATAGGCACGCACAGCAGCCATGCATGTGCGCGAGAGCAGGAAGACGCGTGGAAAGAAGATACCTTGCATGGAAGGAAGCGCACCTTGATTGGCAACCGTAAGCAGTTCGTTTCGGGGGTTCACCGCCTCCCCTCCCTCCGCCCTCTTTCCCACATCAATCACCCCTACTAGCCGTCACACCTGGGTACTGGCACACTGGTTGCAGCAGTCCTCTGCCGAGTCGGCGCTGTTACCCTCTCCCGAGGTAAGTATCTGGACGTGCACGGAGAGAGGAGGATGCGAGAGCAGCAGACACGGGTAGCTAGGATGGGGACTTTTGAGGCGCAAGGGACCAGCACGAACACTGCAGAGGTGCACTGCAGACGTGCAACAGCATTATGAGCGCTAGTTTGCCGGTTCTAGCTGCTGCCCGCAATGGTGCTGGAGTAGCGGTGCATACTTATCTATCACAAACAAAGAGTAGGAGGTGGACCCCCTGCTCTCGGTCAGTGCCAAGCCCAGTCAGGTACGGTACGAGGTGATATAAACACTAAGGTGTGCAAAGGCGCTCCAGGCCGAAAGGGCCTTATGGCAGGCAACTTCAAAACGATAACGAGAGCTGAGCTGAGGTCACATGTTGTGTTTCAGCTGCCATGGGGCTTCCCAGGGTGTGTGCGGTATCTCGTTAGTCGAACGGAAGGGGTCAGGGGTCCTCCACACGCCTCTCCCCCGTGTGGAATACTTCGTGTGGAATCACGACCCAGTCCACCGAAGTTGTACGCACCGAGGTCTCGTTGAGATCGGTGTCCAGCAGCACAGTGCAGGGCTGAGAGCCCGAGCACCCCTGCAAACCATTCGACGCATCTCGGCAGTTGCTGGGGACGATAAATGCAGAACCATAGTCCTGAATGTGTGCGCACATGCCCTGCATGATGGTGGGTGGTTGCACATGGCACAACCAGATTATATGATAATTTACCGAAGGGGCCTAGGGCTTCGCCCATTACGAAATGCTTAGCCCAAGAGGCGGTCCTACAGCACTGACCTCGAAGGCGCAGAAGTGGACAAGAGCAGTGCACCTGGCTCGCTTAAAAGGCCGTCTTGTAACAACACCATTGTGTGGCAGGACTGTTACAAAGGTTTTTTAACCATGAACCAGGCCCTGCAGTACAACTGCAGTGCCTTCCCCGCCGCCAGCAGCGTTACATCACAAGTCTGCAGCATTTCATTATACAGCACTGACCTCGAAATTGTAGCCGCCATACTGGTAGGTGGAGACGCAACTACACGAGTAGCCCTTCTCGGGGAAGGGCGCACTGTCGGTGAAGTTCGCGGCTGTGGTGCCGCTCATCCAGCCAGTTGCCGTATCAGCCGAGTTCTTGGGGCGGGGGAACTTGCCACGGGTGGATGCACCTTGTTTTGGCGGCGTGTCGTACTTGAGCCAGCACTGTTGGTACCTGCAGTAGAGGCAGGCGGGCGGACCTCGGCTTCCAACAGGGCCGTACAAGGCAAAGGCCACCAATCTCCCCCCTTTGCCGGTTCCTTCCAGCACCCCGAGATGCATGGACGGGGCGGAGGCCACCCATGCTGGGCCAGATACCCCCGTGTGTGTGTGGATGTAAAGTGTGATGCGACTGTGAACGACCGCCGCAACAAGGCCGTACGGCACTACCAAGTACGGCCGCAACCGGCACGGGGTTGATAACGGTGACCGACTCCCCTCCTCCCATAATACCCCCTTACGACGGGAAGCTAAGGACACGCACACCACAACCGTCAAGTGGTGCCGTCTCACCAAAATCGCAAGCCAGAAGCTGCACGTGGCTCAGGGTTCTCCATCCCCATCCGGACCGAACATTGAAAATTTGAGAATTTTCCGTTTTGCCCGAAAGGAAAATTGAGGCACCACTCTTGTAGTGTAAGGCCCGCCTTGTCGCCAGTCAGATGACTGAAGTATAAACACACATTGAGGCTCAAACTGCACTAAACTACCCGACATATACGTGAAACTGTATCGCACAAATTCCCCTCGGTTTTGGGCAACATCATTGCGTGAACGATTGCCCCGCGATCCCAAATAAGGTCCCAGGCAGCAGATCTAGCATTTTGCGATAGAATCCTTTCGCTTAAATTTACTCCGAAAGCCGCTTGGGACCGTTTCGGAGTGCCCGGGGGCTGGCAGGGAGGCTGTCGGGTAGGGCCCAGATATTTGTAGAGGGTTCGGCTACAAGCGATGTTTTGGTTACCCTTGTGAAGAGCCCTGACGTGGGCCCTGTCTTCATGACGTGCAAGTGCACGTGTGCACCCACCTCCTTGGCTCCTTGGTGTAGGAGCCGCCCGGTGCACAGCCACTCGCGGCAGCACACCATACCCACACATTGCAACCGGTGGTGTTGAGGCAGCTGTCACGGCATGCGGCGGCGCTTGGCTGGAAATTGTGCGCCTCGTCCGCGTCCAGTACGATGGCGCCCTCCGCGTCCCGATTGGCAACCGCCACAATGGAAGCGGGCGATGCGGCGGCGTGGAGCCGGACTGAGGGTGTGGGGAAGGTGCGGCCCGGCAGGGGCCAGGTCAGGAGGGGTTGTGGATTGGGAGTGGGAATGTGAGGAATGTGAGGCGGCGGCAATGGCAAGGGGAACGCGCAGCGGGAGCTGACTCCAGACATAGACGGCCGAAGGAGCCAAGGCGCCAAAGGTTCGTTCGGGGCACTGCGCGGTGTCCCTGTTACGTATTGAGGAGCCCACAAAGGTCCGACGTGCTTCCTCACCAGATGCTGTGAGGGCCAGCAGCAGCAGCACTGCGAGCACCGGCATCCTTAGCCTCTGATGGTCGCCTAACTGACCCATGGTTCGGTCTTGCCAACGCGAATGGAGCACAGCGGAAAGGAAAGAACACTTCCTTTGGTGTGTCGGTGCAGAAACTTTTTAACCTTAAAGGGGTTGTAAAGATAAGGCTCTTGGAAAGGTTGCAAGGTATTTTAAAGCGTAGCGAAGGTCGGAGCCGCTTGGTAATTCCCATGACCCGCGAGTCCTTCGATTCTGCAAAAAAAAAGCTGCTAATAACACCGACATTGCATCATCCTTGGAAGCACGATAGACAGCATAATTTCATGCCTTGGCCATGAACGTTGATTTGGAATCGTTTTCGGAACGCGAGTAGGCGGTGCATCACAACCATAATTGTTGGCTTCAAAGCTGTATATTTTGTGTTCACGCTGAGCCGATGCTTGGGGAACGCCGGTAAAACGTCTCCTGCGAGACGCCAACCTGCGCTAACGACCTTCCTTATGTTCATTGTCCCACAGAATCCGCCACGTATATGTAAAGGTGCGACGAAACCCTTCCAGCAGGCTTTCTACCCTGATATTTGACAGCAGGTCGTTATAGCATGACCATGCATCCACAAATGTCTAGCTTCAGCCGACCATTGGAGGATTTGGGCTCCTTCCAGTTAAGGAACGCGTCTGCACTTGTCATGCCTGCCTGGCAATTAGGGTAATGGTCGGTATGTGTGGGATGTTGCGCCACTAACTCCATTTGGGATCTGATGCTTCTCGCGATTCACCTGGCGGCCCACCCGCTATGCTCGCGCACCTTTCAATGGGGGAACGTGCGCAGGGGGCGGTCTACCACAATCCTCGGAGGGCCAGTATCAGGAGATTACCCAGAGATTACCGAGAATCGTAACACCATTGAACCTGTCCTTTGGATCCGCAACATTTAGCCCCAGGAGCATGGTGTTACCCCATCCTGGTTTGGGGAAACTCCTTGATGTTGGACGGGCAAGGTGTTCCGTTGGATGTGCACTTCGAGTGTGCGTGGATTTGATATTGTGGGTATTGCATTACGATGTTTTATTGTTGCTATGTGTTATGTTTTCGGTTTGAAGTTGGACTCACAGGGCCTTTCCTATCTCTCGGGCGATAAACCGTCGTTGTTTAGTGCCTTTTCCGGCTTTGACATCGCAAAGCAAATTTCGTGGCCCCTTAGCTCAGCTGGTTAGAGCGTGGTGCTAATATATCTAGGCACGCCAAGGTCATCGGTTCGATCCCGATAGGGGCCATGTAGGTTAACGTTTTCGTAATTCTTCGTCCTGACATGTTTTCCTGATCCTTCATCCTGCGAAATATACACCGAAGCTCTCTCGTGTCCTATTATATTCACCATTTTCTGGTACATGTGTAGGTCACTTTTCTGCCATCCTTACTCTGGGGTTGTCCACATTTCTATACTACTCTTTCCTTTCCGTATCCTGCGCCTGACCCTCCCCCGCATCCTCACCGCTCTGCAACCCTGCTGCAGAGGTTGCTGCCTGAGTTTGAATGTAAAGTTGATGCGATGCGTTCCTGGGGGGACAACCAAGGTGGATTGAGCCTAATTAAGAACCCAATTCTTTCGGGGCGCGTGAGTTATGTAGTTGAGATTCACCACTTTGTAGACTCACCACTTTGTGAACAGATGTTGATGAGGCAGGTAAAGTTTCAGTACAGCCTTACAGGTAGTAGGTGACGGACACCCTCACGAAGCCGCTACCGGAGGGAAAGTTCGTGCAGCGAAGATTCCGAGCCGGATTGGGGGTTCGTTGAGTTAAATTCGTCCGGAAGTGCTCCGTCCGATGGAGGCTGTTGATAACGGGGCTCATAACCTATGGATAAGCAGGGAAGTGGAGCTGTGCAGGTATAGCCGGCCTCAACCGTTACAGGTATCACTGAACAGCCTCTCATCAGCGAAAACGCCATCTCCTTTATCCCACATATTGCATCTCATCCGCCGTACATTCGTCCCAACTCCCTGACTTCCAGTGTCCTGGCCGATTAACTTTTTAATTTAAGATTTCACTACCTGGTTGGTTTAATCATCACTACCTCTTTCTATTTCTCTAAAACTTCAGACTTGATTTGCCGCAGTGCCAGGCCAAGCGAGTAACACGTCATGTGTCCCGAAGCTCCGGGGCAGGGTTCCTTTGCATAACTATTCTGCACAATATTCCCAGCACCTTGCCCTCGTCATCGACGCCAGACTGAACCATGGTTCCGTTAGGGGATCGGAGAGAAATCGAATCTTACCTCTGCAGGAATGTTTAGATGTGCATTAAAGGGGGGGACGTTGATACGTGAAACGCGCGTACGACATGTCCGAATGCACGCAACTTGGGACACTATGGGGAAGTAATACCCACAGCTCCTGTCGCCGTCATTAAGCCAATGGGCAACACGAGTCGCCGAGACGGTTCCGTTCCAAAAGTGTGGTTACCTGCCATCTGAAAGCTTCATGTGTGTTACACCGCGCTTTGTCATCATCAGGCCTTGTTGGCGGTCAGCTTCATAGTTGTCAGCCAGGCATTCGCACTACGAAGTAAGGTAAGCATCAAGCGAGGTCGTATTGGCGTCTGGAGTTTCATCTTAGAAAATATGACGGCATATGCGCCGCCCATCGGCATGTCGATGCTGCGGTATTTTTTTGGGTCAATACAAATGCAGCAGCAGCAGCTCTACAGAAGCCAGGTTGTTGGTTGCGGCCGCGTAATGCAAAGAGCGCCTGCGTGGATGCGTCTTCGGCGTGAAGAGGATCCGGAGGGTTCTCTGGATCATCTCTGCCGCCGGCTCTTCGGGATCTTTGGCTCCGGAACCAGCAAGAAACTATTTGACACCCGCCCAGGCATCGCAGCATGGCGGGTAAGGCTTCGGTGCCGTAAAAAGGGCAGCTGCAGTACAGTACAATACGGCGGCGGGCCCCAAAACCATGTCCATCGTCATCACTCGACAGGTGGCTACAGCTTCCCCCGACAGGTTCCTTCGTTACCAAGTGCTGGTTCGGTTAGGTCCCCCGGGGAGACACAGGTGGCCCCGAGGCAAAGGCAAAGCACAGTCATCTTCAGGCGAATTTGTTACCATCTACGAGCCCCTGCCGTACCGTGCACCTTCTGCATCCCTCCGATAGTCCGTGCGGTTGGGCATTCACTTATTAAAATGTGAGGGTACGTGCCGTTACAACTTTACACGGCGTGCGCTAACCCAAGCCACGCGAGAGTGTGTATTTGCTGCATTTGGCACAAACAATGCGTTTGCTAACAATAACGGCTTGCACCGCTGAAATCGTAGCGTTCATGTTCGCGGCAAAATGTCATTGAGTACGAAGCGGAGGCAGCTTCCCTTGCTACCAGAGGGTCCCGCTCACCGAGGTGGAGCGGAGTCACAGAGCGCTGCAAAGGCGCGGCAGTACAGGACAAGGAATGTCGCTGCATTCAAAGTCACCCGCAAACACACACGTAGCTGCACAACCATACTTACATACATACAAACACTTGGCTTCCCTACCATTCGTGCTTCAATAATAATAAAGTTAATCGGGCGCCATTGTTGTCAGTTCCTGCCCGCAGCTCAGACACACACGTGCACGGCTAAATCCGTACACATAGCTAGCTGTTGGCGATAACGATTAAGGCAACTAGAGCTAATTCTTCTCCTCTTTCTTCTCAGCCCCTGGTGTACGTGTCTCGTATAAACCAGCGCGGATGTTTCCAGCTGTGCCTCCAACACACACGGGGCCATTGGGGGGGATGTAAGCTACGTGACACATCAGATGCCAGATCCCGCAGGAAATCCCAATCATTATTCAACGCCATTTTTATTGCGCGGCATCGGCACGGCATTGCCTGTGTGCCACCTCCTGGTGCTGGCAAATAAAAGCCTCCATACAGCCGATCATCGCCGCTTTGGCCCTACCCTACTACAGTTCTAGATCCCTCTTGCCGCCACCACCACCCATCCCCACCTCCATTACACCCCTCCACCCCCCTCACACACGCACCGACCCCGGCGCAAATGAAAGGAAGCAGCTCAGCAGAGGAGCCACAGAACACCCGGACAGGCGCGGCTAAAGATCCCCCCTCCGGCAAAACCCAAGTGCGCTTCCTGCTTTAACTAACCGTACCATTCCCGCACGTGAAGTGCCCACTCGGAGCCTCAGCTGCGGTGATGAGCCCTCCGTGGCACCCGGGCTTTACGGACGGCCACCTCTCCCCCCCCCCGGCGCGCTTCTGTGGAACTGATTACCGTACCTCTTGCAACTAAGTGTACAACAGTCCTTGGAAGGAAAAAGAAGGAAAAAATGCATCCAAAGCCATCCATCGTAAAGCGGCATATAGCTTTAGCCAGCTGAGCATTATAAGGACTCTTATTTGCTGATCACCGTTCGGGTAGGGTTAGCGAGGACCCAGCTACAGCGGACAGTCGCAGCGGAAGATTCGACGACGCTGTCGTTCATCATCGCCCAGCTCGCCGCACTGCGCAACACGGGATGCATACTAGAATCACCTCCACCTGCAAGATATAGATAAATACATAGATGGATACATACATGCATACATACATATATGCATCTTCTTGTGGTTTCTAGCTCCCTGCAAACCTTTCTTTCTTGGAGGCTTTTGTTTGGTTCGTTGGCTGTGTCAGGGGACATATATACAGTCGCACGTGTGCGCTTTCCGAACGCGACCGGACAGGACACACAAACAGCAAAGCAGGCAGCAAGTAGTGAGCACCTTTCGCCTACTCCGAGCTTCTCCCGGCCCCCCGAGCATTCTCCGCACCTATCCACGTCCTGCTGCTGCTACTGCTACAGCTACTGCGGCCCGCAGATCTAGAAAGCCCGCACCACAGACGCAACCTAGCCACCGCAGCGGGCTCAGCCAGCCTCAGTCACTATCCCGCGAGGGGACCTTCTCCTGTCCCCCCTGGAGCAATACACCCAGGTCCCCGGCCGCGTCCTCCGCGGGGGAGATGTCAGCGGTGGTGGTGATGGTCCCCAGGTGGGGGTCTTGCCGCCGCCGCGGCGGTAGCCGGGCCCCTTCCAGGGGTTGCGCTGCCGCCATCGCCGCCGCCGCCGCCGCTGCCACCGCCGCCTCTGCTGCATGTTGACCACCGGCGCCATTGCTGCTGCTGCCGCACCCGCCGCCACCGTCACTGGCACGGGACCTGCAGCTGCAGCACTCAGGACCAGTCCGTACCGGCGCTGATGCCGCTGCCGCCGCCGCCGCGCCAGCGGGGCCGGCAGCGGCGGCGGCGGCAGCATTGGCCGCAGCGGCGGTGTTGTTCCCGACGCCGCAGGACGCCCGGGGTAAGAGCGCCGCTGTCGGAAGAGCGCTGCCCGCGGGGGGGCCGCCCGGTGAGGAGGGTCCGCTGGCGGCGTCCAGCCCCGCCAGCGGCTTCATGACGTCCTTCACCCCCAGCTTGAGATTTCGTTCCACCTGGGAAAACGCAACCATACAGAGATAACGGAGATGCGTGGGTTGCGTGGCGGGAAGAGTTCCGTGTGCAATTGCGGGATAATGTTTTGGGGGGGTTCAAAACCGTTATGCTGCCTCGTGCCGGAAGTGCGAGGGAGGAACGATCTTCAGCAGCCGTAGAGGCGGCAAGCTCCTAAGGAGACGCGTCAGAGTCAGAGAGCCGTACACAGAGAGAGAGGTTGGGAGGGAGGGAGGGCCATCATCATCACGAGAGCCATCCGCACCTTGTGTTCCTCCAAACTGCGCCTCTCGTAATCCACGTGTACGAACGCTCGCTCCACATTGTCGATAGCCTCGATCTGAATGTGTTAAACCAGGGTTGCGGGAAGGTTGGGTGAAACTGTCTGTGTTGACGACCACGATGGCGACATACATACAGACGGTAGAGGCGGTAGGTAGACGCAAACCACAAACCCCGGCCCCGGGCTTCCTCTCATCCCCTTCGCGACCCCCTCTCTCCCCCCTCTCTCTCCCCCCAATACACACAGGCGCACAGACACACACGCCTGTGTCGCCATCTCCCCACGCGTCCAACACACCAATCCTACCTCAGCCCCCGCCCCGGTGTCTTTCCCCCCCACCCCCCATCCCCCCCATCCCACCCCAACCCCCCCACACACAGCTCTTACTCCGCACCTTGTGTTGTAGCGCCAGTGCGATATCATGTGACTCCCGCACCGTCATGTCCGCGGGCAGCAGCACCTCCACCTCCACCACCATGTGGCTACCGTGGTGGTAGGCAGTCACACGATCCAACTGGGGCCAGCGACACGAGGCCACCACACGGCAAGTGCGTTAAGCATAAACTCCACTTATGTCTGCCCGCCAAATGCCAATTCCTATTCTTTGCCTTTTTCTCCTTACATCCGTCTGTATGTATGTATGTATGTATGTATGTATGTATGTATGTATGTATGTATGTATGTATGTATGTATGTATGTATGTATGTATGTATGTATGTATGTATGTATGTACGTCCCTAACGTGCTCTCAACATATCCACCGGCTGATCCCCACCCACCTGCAGCTCCGTACAATGGTTCTGAGTCACGTGCGTCACCTCCTCGGTGAGCTCCTCGGGGGCCTCCAACCCGATCATCTTCTGACCCTGAATAACGGTGGCAGTAGCAGTGCAAGAGTTGCAGTGGCCGTGTCACCGGCAGTAGCAGTAGAGGTAGTAATGTCCGTAGTGGTGTGAGTAGCAGTATCAATAGCAGCAGTAGCAGCAGCAGCAGTAGCAGCAACAGCAGTAGCAGCAACAGCAGGGGATGACCACAGTGACCCACGGGTTGCTCCTAAAAGGTTGCTTGCGTTGTGAAATGGTGTGGGTTGTAGCGCAGCCAGCGTGTACGTAACGGAGCTGGCTGCGGTCGCGGAGGAAGCGGCGGCGGTGGCGGTGGACGCAGGGGGGAAGCGGCGGCAGGATTTCTCCTGACCTGCTCCCAGCAGATGGCTAGCCAGTTCCGAATGATGAGCAGAGAGAACAGCACCGCCACAGCCGGGTCCACGAACCAGAAGCGCGGCAGGTTGCCGGCGACTGCAGCCCCAGCAATGGCGGCTACGTTGGACATCACGTCGTTTAGGTGGTCCTCGGAAAGCGCCACCTGCAGGGAGTTGCACGCGGTTTGTAAGGGTTTTAGCGGTTTCAAGGTTGGTTTTAGAAGGTAACGATGTTTTAGGAAGTAACGATGTTTTAGGAGGTAACGGTGATCCGCAATTCCGGCGCGTTCTATCGGCAAGTACGCGCATACATACATACATATAGACGCGCTACAAACGTAGCTGTGTGTAATTGATTGGATACACGAGCTGGTTGACGCCGTTTTTCCTCACTGCTCGAAATATAACTAGTGGGGGCAGCAGCAGCATCAGCATCTGCAGCGGCACGGTGCCGCCGCGTGGGGGGTTGCCATTCTGCACGGGACACAGCAGGGCAGAGCAGCGCATATCCCAGGGTTTCTGCCCTGAAGGTGTTACGATCGGCGGCACGCGGTAACGGGCGCGTCCCTACAGAGCGCTTGTTGGTGTCGCGTGGTCGCATAGCTGTGAGAGCATTGGAGTCACATGCATGCCGACAGCTATGCGTGCTCACAGCTGAATACACCGAAACAAGGGAGGGAGTGGGATTTGATGTGAAACATGGCGGCTGTCCATCATGGGATGACAGGATGGCATCGTCGTAAAAGGAAAAAGGACTACGGCGTCAGTACTGCCGTACTTGCCGTACTTGCCATGATGGGATTCTTCCGTAGCGCCTGGCAGTAAATGTACAACCCCAGCTTCAGGGCCGTGGCAGCGGACAGCGTCCCAATCAGTACGGCATCGACATTAAGGGGGAACACGTGACCTGCGGTTGCGGTACATATAACGTCTGTAAGTGCACCAGATGTGCATTTTATTGACTTATTTTTGAGCCGCCGCGATGAGGGAAATGCCGATTATGGCGATACATGGGTACTTTCACTGAAGCGAGCTCGGTCGCCGCCAGCGACGTGTTAGAAATCTCTGAATGAATTAGAATGAAAAAACTGCAGACATAGCTGGAATTCTTCAAGTGGATGCTGATTAGGAGGGTGATGGGTGATGAAGAGGGTTTGGCACAAAGATGATTTGATGATTGCGGCGTTGGTGTGTGTAATATAGAACTTCAAGGGGAGGGGTTTTCAAAGAGGTTCTTCGGGCATGGTTGGAGGAAAGAAAGGGGGGAGGAAGGGAGGAGCTGTGGCACGCCCTAAGAGAGGCCGCGGGAGAAGCACGTTTCCATGTTGGTGCGGGCAGAGGCCGCCGCAAACACACCGTGTAGCCCTTCCCAGATGCTGCCGGCAGACTCGCGAATGACCAGCGCCGTAGAGACGAACATGATACCGGCGCATGCTAACACAGATAGCTCCGCCATGCGCGTTCGGCCGATGGGAAAGCGCTGGTCAAACCTGCGGAGTCGTTGGAGAGGACCGGGAGATCCGGGGGATTGACCTAGTCAACAGCGACAAGGGCTAAGAGCGGGCTTCTTCCTGTACGGCGGCAGAGGACAAAGTACGACGCAAAGCAAATGCAAGATTGAGCACCGCATGCGTTAATGGAGGGTTTCTTGCTGAATTGGCACTGATGGCCATGCGGTATGAAGTTCCCATTGATGGAGGGGGGGATGCCTCAGGGAGTCAATCGAGGGGATTGTCTCAATTAGCACGACAACTTTACACAACCAACCGTTATAAGCCAAATCCTACATGAATACCTGGCCGCCTGGTACTCAGCTACCGCAAGCACCGCTTGGCTGAGTATATCAACAAGGCTGTCGACCGCACTCGCAAGGACGGCGTAGGAGCCGGACAGTCCGAACACAACTGCCTTGGAGACAAGCAGCAACACGTTTATTAGCCAGCTCGCGTTGATTCCAAGGCGCACACGCCTCGAGAATGCATCGGCTTCCTTGTTGGGCCGCAATTGCTGCGAAGGGACAACGGCATCTGTTGGCGAGGCCGTGAGGAGCGGCCCGGCTGATTCGATATCATGCAAATCGGCAGATAAGCTAAGACGACTAGCTCTGCTTAGGCTGCGCGCTGAGGTTATACGTGTGAACCCTTTGGGGTCTGTGCATGAGCTTGTCTGGCCGAGCACAACTTCACGCGCAAGTTGAGCCATGGCCGTAACGGCCGTAACGGCAAAAATGGACGTCACCCTGTTGAGCATACCAAGCGAATATGGGTGATTTGTCACACTTCTTGGCAATCCGTACGTCGTATTGACACTTCTAACCTGCGAACGGCTAAAGATAAGGTCAAGCTGCCACAGACAAGTATGGCTAATTAAGGACATTAATTCAGCTGTCGAAAGAATTCGGCATGCAAACAACTAGATCCGTTATCGCGACGGTTGACCTGCATTCCGGTGAGCCTACCTCGATAAGCCATGATAACTTTCCCAGTTACCTAGCTTGGGAAGCCATAATTACGTTTCGTTCCTTGTTTTTAAGCTGGTAACAAATTAAAGTGATAATGTGGGATAAGGCTCCTTAAGTACTTCGGTGCTGCACATGCAGTTAGACGCCATGCATGACGAGCCGGAAGTCGGCGGCAACGCTGTGTACGGCCGTGGCGCCATTCCCGCCGTCCTCCCGGCTAATCATCAGTGCCAGACAGGATAAATGTTGCAGGAGATACACTGGTCGTCACTGATACGTATTGTAGGCTGCCTGACTGCACCGTGCTGCATAATTTTATTGCTTGATCCGGTGTTTCACGGCGGCCAATTAATGCAGTTCAGACCATTTGGCGTCAGGGTGCTGATCTGTGCGTGGGACGCTGCTATGTTTAACTAATCGTGCTGGACTCTGACCTACAGGTGCTGGACACGGCCGTACCGCCAGTGGCCGCCACCTGCCACAACGCCAATCACTATAACGGGCTGTTGCACCCACATTTTGCAGCAACACGCGGGATAATGGGTTCTGTTGATGCCAGACCGCAACAGGCGGCCAGGTATCATGGATTGCATCTTGCATAGTCGTACTCGGTATCTCCACCGATATCAGATCGTTAATGGAGGAGTAAGGGGGCACTGTTTGGAAACCGGTCACCACCGGATATTATCCATGTATGGGATGAGGGACAGATGTTACCATTGAGCACCAGGCTTAAGGTTTTGCAGGGGCTTGGTGTATAGTGGCCCAAAAGGGTAACGTGTCAGCACAGGTTAGGATGCCAGCAATCAGCGCTTGCGACTTCACCGAACCCAGCTAACAGTAATGTTGTAAAACCCTGCCAAGCTTTCCAGATCCACATTGGCCAATAACTAATTCAGCTGCTACTCGCTTCGGGCTCCACATTTCAATAGCCGGAAGTGGGTTCTCCAGAGCATATTGGGCCGGTTAGCACACGTTTACGCGTGTACATGCATGTTTGTGATGCAGCCGGGGGACTGGGCTGGGCTGGCCTGCAAGTACTCGTTTCCATGTCTTATTCAAGCTTCGTGGTTAAATGGATAGGTCCCTGGCATGGTGAGTGAGCCAACTCATCTGGCCTTGCACAGTAGATGTGCCGTGATCATTCGTGTAGAAAGACTCAGATTCCTCCACGGCACGCTGCTTCGCTAACTGGTTTCTTCCATGACGACATACGCAGCACATTGTATTCTGCCGCCAACAAAGTGTTTCGGGAGGTGGTGTGAGCTGCACGAACCCCGGGGGAGCCGGGGCGGTACGTCTAGGGCTTGGCTACGTGCGTAGGTCCAGCATGGCGAGTAAGCTGTCCTGGTAAACCGCTTCCAGGAGTATGTTCCATACGTGGAAGCCTTAACGGCAGCTGCTGCCGCGTTGCGTTTCCGAGCATGGCAACCCGACTCCGGATACACGTCCGTTATATCAGAGGTTCCAAGCTCAAGTCCAATTAATGAGGACCATATCTGATTCGACATCAACAACACGTTTCCAAACGCACAAGCTTTTCCTGCTGATCTCTCATGCGAGGTATGAAAAGAAGTGAGCTGTGTGGGCAAGGCGCCGCTGCAGCCTTTCGGTGCGTCCCTGCCCTCTGAATCCCACATCGAAGCTGTTTCGTGAACAGCCCGCAGCAAGTCCGTCGCTGTCCAAGTTGGAAAACTGAACAACGGGCTGGTCCACGCGTCAATCTAAAGCGAACTCCAGTGAGCATCCCCAGAGTCCTGTACTATAACGGTCCGCCATGCGTTGCATCAGCAACAGCACCACCTGGCCATGTAGCCTGGAAAATCACACCAAACGGAGCCCAATCTCCAAAGACACGCACCAAGTTGCCAGGAAATTGGTATTTTCCAAGAAGCCATGTCAGAAGCACTGAGATAGTTCGGAGCAGGCAGCCATAAAGTTAGGATGAGCGTGGGGGGTTGCGTGCTGACCGTTGCTCAACCACAAAAAGCATAACTAGAGACACCTGAGCAAGTCTGAGAGGAGATTACAATAACGAGGCCCCGGCGACAGTTACGCTCCTTCATCGGTGGCGTCTTATGCAGCAAGTCTACGTCGGCATAACTGGAGCAACAGTTGCTCTTCCACGTATCGGAGTAAATACGATTGTTTCTTTATGTGCAATGTTTACGTCCAGCTTAGCTCTGAGGATAAGCCCCCCGGTCGCCCCAAACCCCATCCCGCCCCCAACCCGCCCTCGCCGCAGTGATGTGCCATTTTCAAGTCCAGTCGCGCAGAAATACGGGTTGTCTATTTTTATATTACTCTTCAAAGTTCTGCCCCTTGTTTAGGTTCTAGTTTCACAACCGGGGGTGAGAACAGCAGCGCCATTCGGGCCGGCTAACTCTGTTCCTCTCCCGCACCAGACTCTCTGCCTTTTAGCAACATAAAAAGTGGTACATACTTCTGGGCCTGCCACGCCCGCGGTGGAGCTCGGCGATCGCGGCGCCACCGGCTGGACCCCGAAGCGGGGCTCACAGGTATGGCATCCCCCGCGTCCCTCCGCGGCCCTGCGGGCGCAGGGGTTGCCATCAGTAACAACCTGAGGACCCAAAGCTGCGGTATCTGGCCCATGCGTGGACCGGAACGCGCCTGCAAGATATCGGTTCGCTGTGCGGGAAAGCCCCCAGTACAGAGCGGGGCAAGCGGCAGCCGCACAGATCAACGCAGCCTTGACCACGAAATTTTGTAGTCTCGTATTGGAAACCGTCTTCTGGGCTTTTTGTGCGCGCGAAACCAGCTTTTGCTGAATTACGGCTACTTGTGCCAAAACTCCGACCTCTCGGCGACTCCGCTGCTCACCTTCGCGCGTCCCGGTACCCGTCACCCTGGTCCTAGTATCTCAAAACCTTCCCGTCTCGCAAATGCAACAAGTCGCCTCGCAGCGGGCGTGGCTGCTGACTAGGAGCTCCTGCTCCTGAGGCGGGTATGCGCGGTGTGATGCGGCTTCACAACCTCCACGCCGTGCGCTTGCAGGCCCCGGGGTGCTTCCCTCTTTCAACCGCTGCAGCTTTCCCTAGATCCCCTCCCCGTCCCCCTCCAAAACCCAAACCAAATTCCCTTTTCAGCCGTCACGGACGCCGCGACCTGTTTGAAGCTCTCGGACAGTTCTGGCGTCTTTTTCTGAGCCCCTATCCCACGAATCTCGGTTGCGCAAATGCACAGGCTTTGGGTTTGAAGAGCACCTGTGCGCGCGGCTCCCAACCACGACGGCTGGCCGCGGCACAACGACGGCCCGCGAGCCAATGCTCCTGTGAGGCGCACACACGCACACGGACGCGGACAAGGACACGAGCGAGCGCGCAAGCGCAAGGCGCATTCGTTCAGACCGGTGAGGCCTCCTTCCGCCATCGGCGCGTCAAAGCAGATTCCGGCTTTTTGGCACGCGAAAAGCAGGATAAGGTTGTTCTCGTGAGTGAACCAGCGCCTTGGACTATCGCCTGCAGGCAGGGCAAGAAGAGGACAGCTTACAGGAATCAGGAGCAGGAGTAGCAGGAGCAGAAGCCACCAGGAGGTAGGGCTTTCAATGGTAGGATCCTGAAAACTGATTTCAGCTCTTCGAGGGCGGCCCGGAGCCTCTCGGCGTCCGAGTGGTGGTAGGCGGTTGGGAGACGTCCATTGCCAGGTGCAGATCCTGGTGTGGTGGAGGGGATGGTGTGTGGGAGGGCAAGGTCGTGATGGAGTGCGCGGCGGGAAAGCATAGAGCTGTCCTTAGCCTGCTTGCCAAGCTGGGCTGGGAAAACGTCGAGAGCTGGCTCGTTGTGTTGGAGAGCGCGAGGGCGAAAGGCAATGGCGCACTTCCGCCGCCTCCGGCGGCAACGGCAACTGCGCCAGCGCCACCACAGCTGCTTCGCCGAAATGGCCCTGTGTGGATTTGCGTGATGACCGTTTGGCTTCATCATCCCTCCGCTGACCTTCCCCCTACCTCTCCCCCCCCACACCCCACCAGCTCTTTTCCCTTCACCGTCGGTGCGTCGCTTCAGCTGCCTGCTGCTGCCGGGCGAGCTGTACGGCCCCCTGACGACAATCGCTCTATCATGGAGACGAATCGACCCAAGGATGTGGACCGGGAGGACGTGATGGTGCTAGCACGTGGAGCTGGTGAAAGAGGAGGAGGTGGAGGAGGAGGAGGTGGAGGAGGAGTGCATTCTTGCATTGAACCCAAGGTCGCCGTCATGCTTTGTACGGACCGACAAACTGGCGGCATCAGGCACACCGCGGCGGCTTCAAGGGCACCAGGCGCTAGTGCTCTGCTTACGTGCAGCGGCGGGGCCGACGTCCGTCCGTTGGGCGATGGCGAGTGTCGTACACCGCTACCGGAGGCGGCTGAGCTTGCGGCCATGCTGCCGCCGGCGACGGCGGTAGGCGGGCAAACGCCGGCTGCGGCCGCGCGGCGGCACTGGCGGCGGCAGCATGAGTTCCTGTCTCTTGACGGCGGCGAAGAGAAGTACGGCGGTGCGATGCCGCTGTCAGGCGGTGACGACGTCGGTGCTGGTGCGGCCTTCGGATCTGCCACTGCCGTGGGCGCTGCCGCCGCCGCATCCCCGGGCGGCCCATCACCGGCGCCAACTCCACAGCAGCGCCAAGCGGCCGCATCGCCCATGCTCGTCGACGGAACGAGCCCGACGGTGGAAGCGGCAGTGTCGCCGCCAGCAGTGCTATCGGGCGTGACGGCGGTCAGCTCCGGTGACACGGCATCCCCGCCTGGGGGCGGCAGCGGCGGCGCCGCCACCGTTTCCCCCAAGGCTGGGTCATCGGCCAAGGCCAAAGGAAAAGGAAAAGGCAAGAAGAAAGGGCTGGACATCGATCTGGACCTCCCGGATCTGGATTCGGAGCCGGATTTGGATTCGGAGCCGGAACTGTCGGAACATGATCCAGATGCTGATGATGACGAAGGCGACGAGGACGAGGAGGAGGACGTAACCGGGGCGCGTCAATCTGTCGCGCCAGGCAATGGACTTTTCACTTCAGAGGGACGTCACACGGCAGGCATGGCGTTAGCTGACAGAGAGCTGCGAGCCGGTCTCCTTGCGCGCTCCATGCCAAACGCGGAGGGGGCCGCCAGCGGGGGCGGCGGTAGCTATCCTCTCAGTAACGGCGGCAGTGGAAGCGGCGGCGGCAACGGTGCGCTTGGCAGCAGCCGCAACGGCAGAGCCGAGCAGGGCAGCGCGAGCGACGCGGGCGAAAGCTCCGATGGCGGCGGCGGCGGCGGCGGTGGTAGCAGCAGCAGCAGCGATCACGACGGGTACGACGTTGACAAGCGCAGGACGATCACGCCGGGTGCCCTGCGCATACGGCGCAAGGAGAAGGACAAGGCTGGATCTGGGGCCGCCGCGCTGAATGCGGTGGCGAAAGCCACCGCCACAGGCGGCGGCCAACCCGGAGGCGGCGACGCCGCCGTCAACGCCACTGCTGGCGCCGGCGCTGGCGGCTCCAAGCCGAGCATCGCAGACCTCGACGCGCCTAGTTTCTGGGCAGATGACGAGGACTACATCTACAAGGACGTCGATCCAAATGATCTGGACATTGGCATTGAGTTCCCGCGTATGGAGTTGAAGTCCGAGGACTTGGAGCTGCCGTCTGACGACTTTTGGGCCGAAGGAGAGCATGAGGGCGGCGAGGGCGAGGGGGAGATGGTGATGGGAGAGGACGGCAAGCCGGTCCGACGTGTACGGCTGAGCGCGGCGGCCCTTGCGGAAGGGGAGGCCTTCATCGGGCTTGAAGGACTGGTGAGACTGATGACCGGAGGTCGGCTCTGCGGCATTGTTACTCTGGCTCTGCGGTGGGCAGTGGATTTTTATGTTAGGCTGGGGTGCGCTCTCTCTCTCATTTTGTCGCTTTTCCCTTCTCAAAGACTTCGGTCGGCTAGGGAAGTTGGGAACCGGGGCGATGGGGGGGAAGTGAGCGTGTATATTGCACTTTCATGTGCTTTCATATGCTTAATCTCCTTCCAGAAGCATTTGGCGGTGCAGTGCTATGCTGGCTATGGTGCTGTACTATGCTGGCTGTGGTGCTGTACTCTGCTGGCGGTGCTGTGCTATGCTGGCTATGGTGCTGTACTCTGCTGGCGGTGTAGTGTTACTAGTAGCGATCCTGCCTCTTCTTGGTGTCGTTGCGCCGCCTCGGCACTTACTGCTGCCGCTGACGCTGTCAACTGGCGTTGGTGATGCGGTCGGTGACGTCGACGCTGCCGATGGCGCCGCCGCTGCCGCCGCCTCCATGGATTGCGATGCTGACGCTGACACGCAGGTTTCCTGGGGACGTGACGGCACGTACCGCGGGACGATTACACGCTTCGATCCAACTCGTACACGTCTCATGTGGCTCATGTCGTACGAGGACGGTGATGAGGAGTGGGGCGCCGTGACGGAGGACCGCAGTGGCTGGCGGGTGCATGGCGGCCTGCGGCCCGTGGCGTGGATTGGACAGCCGCCGCCGCCCACTGACCCCCTCAACATCGCGGCGGCGGCGGCGGACGCCATCCCCGCGCCCGCGAACGCCGCCGCCAGCACGCGCGCGGCAGCGGCGGCAACCGCAGCGG